AAATTTGTAATTCTCCTTACTGTCAATCATACAATTCTTATAATATTAGTTCAGAGAACTTAGTGTTCAATCAACTAATTATCCCCAAATTGATATTTTTCTTTATTCATATCTCTTGTCTGGTTGATATTGTATTGATATTGTAAGGAGAAATTCTGTCTTGGTCACTCATGGGAGTGAAAGGGTTAAAAGAACTTAGGTATGCTGTAGTTCTTCCTTGGTCTGGTAAATTGTTCCAGAGTGAGGGAGTAATGACCTAAATTCCATAGTGCTCAAGATTATACTTAGGAAGTACCAACAATTCCTTGTTGGAATAGTAGAGTGTTCTTCAAAGGGCATGTTTAATTAAAGAGTCTGTCAAATACTTCCAGTTGCTCCAATTTCATGATAAGCTTTAAATGTCAAAATTAAAATCTTGAATTCAATTCTTGATTAGACAGGCAACTAATGTAGTTCTTTCAAGTGGAGGAAATGTGGTTGTGTTTCTTTGCATATGGGCCACAGCATTTTGAACAAAGAGTGCTGTTGAGAGGATTTTGTGTAGCAATGAGGCGCTTCTTAAAATGATGATCATTTTCTTAATTCTCATGACTTTGGTGTTTTATTCAGCAATGATAGTTAGATGAGAAACTAGAAACCAGTCACTCTTAAGTGTCTAAAGGTTGAAACATTACAGCTTAATGAAAAATGAAAAAGCAAGGAAAGTAGCAAGGTACATGTATAAGCAAGAGGATTTATTCTGGCTATTTTCTCTTCCCATTGTTTTCTATTGGCAGCAAATGGGAGAACTAGGATTATAGTTGATGAAAATATCATAAGTATACTAAATAAAATTTACTGAATTTTTATATTTGCATTATTTTAGAACAGGACAGGAGGTGGCAAGGAACCATGGGTATTTCTGCAAGTATAGCAAATTCCTCACGGAAATATCGCACCAATGAAGAATTGCCACCTGCTCAGAAGTCATCTAAACATTCATCTATTGAAGTAAGTGATGATGATGACGAAGAATTGAGAAGTGTGCAAAGCTTCAGACCATCAAGCCCACTGGCTCATCAAGATGCAAGGTCCTTTACTTTTGATAAGACTTACACAAAACAGTATCGTCCAAGAAATCAAGTGGACAGGCATAGTTACCATGGCAACTTGGAGCCTATTCGTCCTGGTAATAGACACATATACCATCCTGGCAGTTTAGATCGTGGTTCCAGAGATGGAAATGGTTCATATTCCACATACAGTGTGAGAGAGCCACTCTCAAGGGCTTTGGTTTCACCAAGTACCTCAAGCATCTATGGGTTGCAGCCTAGACCTGCACGAACCATGAGAGATGTCAGAGAGTATTTGTTTCACCATCCAGAGCTATTAGCTGGTAAGAAGAACATGCAAATACAGCAATCTGTTGAGAGTGATCTGTATGGGCTCTCTACCAATCACAAGCAGATGAAAACTAAACAGAGTGTTTATATGGGACTCATAAAAGCTCCCATAATCTATGGAGCCGGTGCTCGACCAGATCATAAGCAGCTTAAGGTTGATCAAAAGTTGTACCTCAACCTTGTTTACCCTACATTAAAACCCAAAGATTACCACAGTCAGGTCATAAGATCTCGTCCTCCCCTTAAACAGGAAGGCATGGTTGTTGTGAGGAAAGATGATTATCTACGGCAGCCTAACAGATATGTCAAGAGGCCTCTGCCACACATGCTGGTGTCGAGAGTTCCAGAAGCCCCTAGTGGAAAAAATGTCCTTAGATCTGTGCATCAGGAAAGAACAATTTCAAGGGGGGAGGCTCCTACTTCCCACAGGAGTAGAAGTCAATCCCGAAGCTTAACAGGAAACACCCCTCAAAAAGCAAAAAATGACTATGTTGATTTTCCTGATGTTGTTAATAAACCACTCACAAGCAGGTCAGTTAGAAATGAACCACAAGTGCTAAGGGACAGTCAACAGATGAATGGTTTTGTAAAGTCAGGGAATTCACAGCAAAGGACTCCAAGACATGTAAAAGAAGACAGTGAGGTTGTATTCACCTTTAATGTTGATGAACTTAATTTGAAGAAAAAGACTGAAATACCTCGGTTTGAACATGACAAGGAAAAAGGACAAGTAGTGCCACTTTACTTCAGGAAGTCTCTGGCTTACAGCCCAAAGTATGAATATAGTGAAGACCTTCTGTCAAGTCCATTGTGAAGATGTTAGGCTATCACTTAATTGTTTTCTCACATACTAAGGGCAGCCTATGTGTAAATTAGCTACAGCTTTTTGATATATGGTGTTTGCATTTTTTGTTACGCATGTTGTAAATGTACTTTTGCCTTTTTGCTCAAATCTAAATTTTTTTAAAGTTTTTGGTCACCAACTGAACATTGTCTGCAAAAAACAAAATTATGTTCAGAAAAAATTGTCACATGAAAGAAGGATATACAATTGTGTGTCAAAAAATTGATTGGGAAAGGTATTTAGATACTCAGTGGGTGTTCAAAGAGCTTAGAAACAGTTGTACAAATGCACACCAAAGGCTTTAATGAAGCAACAGTACCAATATGACTGCCTGAAAAAAAGTTTGCATCTTTCTTTGCATTTGAAAAACATGGGTTGTTTCTGGATTTCAATGAGAAATGTTTATGTAAAATGAATTTGTAAAGTTTTCACGGTTAAAAAGATCTCTCCATGGTCATGGCAGAGAAATTCATGATGGGTGTTCATAATTTTGTGTTCTCTACAAATTCTAACTTCACTTAAATTGTGTTTGAAGACTCTATTCTTGGGCAGAAATCTATATTCAGGTGTGTTAAGCTTTTTGAAGTGTATTAATTATTTATCAAAGATCTACATTTATACTTACTAAAGACAATACCTTGGAAAATTTGAATAATTATGATGCAACATTCACATTTTTACCTTCCAATTTAAATGTTTTGATTATTGTGGGGGTCATAAGGCTTGAAAAAACTCTTTTCAGTGGTTAGGGGGATTCAATATCCCAACCAGAGAAACAAGTCTCTTTCTTTTTTTTTCTTTTTTTTTTTGTCACTGCAACTGGAAAAGGTCCTTGAAACCTTGTCAATACTGAACATTTGATTTCATTATTCTTTTATAGCCCAGACACAAAGTTAAACATTTCATTCCTTTTTCATTTTAGCTATTTTGTAGGGTTTGTATTCTATCACTCATGCATTTTAAAAATACTAATATAATATTAACCAAATAGTGTCACTTGTTGTTTGGCTCAAAGGTGATGATATGAATCTCTTTTTGTTATCCAGTTATGCTACAAGGCATTATTTTTTTTAAGATGCTAAGTAGTATTTTAATAAGTATTAGAATTAATATAAAATACAAAACATGCACTTGTACCATTATGGAAGACAGGTCATAACTCTTGAATAAGAAAGTGATTAAGTATAGACTAGTTTTATCCATATCAGAATTCTATGATTAGAAATAATCTGTAATTCATTAACTTCATTAATTTTAAGTTTGAAAATTACAGATGAGAACATGTTAATTGCTTTTAGTGATTAATTTATTGAAAAAAATGTAAAAATTAAAGTCCGGCTTTTTAAGTGACACCAAGGGTTCATACAAGTTGGGATAAACCAGTTGTGAAGTTAGTAAGTTTCATTTTCAAGGGAGTGGGAGGCCATAATTTTATAATTCTGAAAGTGGGTTATATGAAAGGTCATGGCAAATAACAAATTATGATATTTTGATTGCTCTCATTTTATTTTCAAACCTACACTTTGATTACAGGTCATGGAGAGCATCAAAGCAAATCCTTGCAAAGGTCTTAGAAAGAACTTTAACCCTGGCCTGACAGCACATAACTATATCCATGTAGATGAAACTGTTATCACTCTTACTGGTTGATTAAGTGATTATTTTTTTAATAATAAATGTTGAATCACAACAAAGAATTGTGTTGATTTTCTTTTAGTGACCCCAACCTGTTTGACATAGGTTGTGGGCTGAAATGTGACCCTTGTCCGAAGTTCTAATACTAGTCAGGGTCTTCAACTCCACAAACCAAAAGAGGTACAAGTAATGTATACTTAACCCCTTAACTGTGTTGTGTTCCTGGGTGAACTACTGTACTTTCACAGTGCTTCTCAAAACCCAGGAGTTTATATGGGTACCGGCACGTCAGGGAAGCCTGTTGAAATGCTGGGGAGTGACCTTGCAATGGACTAGCATCCCAGCTAGGGGGAGTGGCAATACTTATAGTTACATCATGCTTAGGAAAACAGGATAAGCACTGGCTATAAGGGCCCCTTGACTCTAGTACAGACCTTAACTATCTTTATCTTCATTTGAAACAAAATTCTTCAGTCTAATTTATGTGGAAGTTTGTGGCAGTTAGTAGGGAGATTTACTAATTGAAGTAAATGGGTCTTGCAGAGCCAATACTGCTTGCATTAAGTTGGTACTGCAAACCTAGTGTTGTGGCCTAGTTTGTATATGGGTAGATAGCAGCTGGTAAGGGAACCTCAGCCTCTCTTTGGGAAGGAGTGAGGAATGAAGCATGCTTATGAGGAGACTGCTTTCCTTTTAATACAGTATATTGCATCCTGATCCTGAACCTGTCTTTGCATGTGGGTTGAGTTTGTCCTGCTCTGGGGGTTTAACTATGGGTTCTTGTTTTACTCCCAACACAAAAGCCAACGAAAAAAATTCAAATTTGACCAAGAAATAGTGGACAAGAAGAGAAACTTTGCTAATGACCCCTGCTTGTTCCAAATCATTTTTATCATGAACATTTCTAGTTCTGGCCTGGGCTTACTTTTACTGGACAAGAAGGACATCAAGTTTTAAAAGATGGCCATTAAAAGTTGGTTTAAAATCCATTAAGGGTTGATATGTTTTTCTCAACAGCTTTAAGTTGTTTCAGCTTCTGAATGAGTCATCTCATTGCACCCATCATCTATATTTAAGGTCCTTTGTATTTAAAAACATGGTCTCTGTTAACATATTTTATTTATTTTGTATTGTGACTCAAAAACTACAAATATTTGTGTTAAAAAAATATAAGAACTTTGAAAGCAATAACAGTGTATTTACTGGTAAGCCATATCTACCTAACAATCAGAACATGTTAGCTTTTCTATTTGAATTAAGTGAGATTCCACCACACCAAAATATTCAGCTACTTCCTAATTGGGTTGCTGAAAAATTAAAGAACACATGGATTTCCAGGGTAGATGAAAAAAGGAATAACCAAAGGAAAGGTTTAGTTTAAAGATCTTGTCTTCCTTTGATGTTTGTTTACCTTTGAGAATACCTGTAATAGCAGAGATTCAAAATGACAGGCCTAAAATATGTGGGCCAAATTATTAAATTTGGTTGACACAAGTTCAAATCCAACACTCAAACCCTGGCTATCTTTTCATAACTCAGGCTAAATTAAGTGGTTTCTTCATGTCCTACTGCACTTTCATAGGTAAATTGGGGAGTCTCTAAGGGTGGAAGAGATATATCTTCTTCACAATCTGTAATTTCTTCAAGTTCTTTAATTTCTCTAAGTTCTTTAATTTCTTCAAGTTCTTTAATTTCTTGGTCTGACTCTTCATAATCCTTATCAGACTGTACATATGCAATCCTTTTGTCATTTTTAGCTGGTATATTTAATTCTGTATCATGAGAAATTGCCTCAGAGTCAGTTTCCTTCTGGCTCTTGATAAGATTAATGGCAAACATTTCATCCTCAAGGTCATAACCAAATTTGAACCGTATAAATTGTCGTACATTGTCCAGGGCTTTCCTTAGCCTTGAGTTCTCTCTGTTAGAGTCCTCCAAATCCTGACTGAGGGAAAGAACCTGCATTTGCAATTCACTGACTTGTCCTTCAAGATCTTTTACAACTGATTTTTCATCTCTAGAAGCAGCACAATCAGAAGATGAACTTGTGGATGATACTGAAAAGTTCTCTGCAGATATTACCAAGCTACTTGATTGTGAACATTCTGTATTATTTTTCCCATCAACTGATTCATTAGAAGTCTTCTCCTCTAACTTTGATGAAATTTCACTTTGAACAGCTTCCTGATTTTGCCTTTCTTGCAATATTTTCACCTGCTCTTGTTTTCTTCTCTCTTGCTCAATTTGACATTGCTTCCATTTTTCTCTCAGGACTCTTTGCTGTCGACAATGACTGTTTATCTGTAACTGCAAGGAAACTAATGCCTGGTTGAAGGAGACAAAATAACTTGAATTAAATCATTGTCACACTGGAAAACTGAAATCATTTACCACAACTCAAAGCTCAACTTTTCCAAAGTAACCGTTTGGCAAAGTTCAATAAGATAAAATTAGACACCAGAAAAACAAACAAACAAAATTAGAAGATGCCTAGAACCAGTTTGACAATAAGATCTAGTCAAACGCCAGGGATTGGCTTCTCATTAAATGGGAGGTCTGGACTTCCCTTGGAAATTTTGTAGTTTCAGACATTTGAAATTGGATTTTCCTGCAGTGTGAGGTCTATTGCAAATTATGTGCCTCCACTGATACTAGAACTCAACCAATTTGGTCACTTTTGACTAAATTATATGATCATTAGGAGTAAAATGATGTTTGTATAAAAGCTACAAACAGGTAGCCAGTGTGTTTCAAGCAAGAAGATCTACCTAGTACCTGCCTGCTATTGAAACTCCTAAGCTAGGAGGACTGCTTAAATGCAAAGGTGCACCATAAAAGGAGAGATGCCTTAGGTAGCTCTGGATTGTTTGTTAATCAATCATTGTGACATACCAACCACTACATTCAAAACAGCTTGAGCTGCAGCTGACCCAAAGCAAGAGAACAGCAGACAGATTTCTCAAAAGCTTTGATAAGTTTATACATTTTTATCACAAAGGAAGAATTATTTGAGGTTTGTATCTCCTTTCTCTAATTGAAACCATCTTTATTTGTGATGGTAAATTTGAAATGATTTGCTTTGCCATAGTGTAATATTACCATGGAGTAAAATGCATTTGAGCTGAAAGCAAGGGACCAATCTACTTATAGCAGGACTTCATGTTTAAAGTATCATTTTCGTCTCGTAACCCTTTAACTCCCATGAGTGACCAAGACAGAATTTCTCCTTACAATATCAATACAATATCAACCAGATAAATATTGAATATAAAGAAAATAATAGTTGTATGGTTGACAGTAAGAAGAATGACAAATTTTATGTGGTTAATAAGTTTTTACCTGTTTCACTTGAGTCATCTTCATAGCCTCCTGGAGGAATTCTAAATTATCAAACAAATTTCAAAAGAAAATAATTGACATGAAATCTCTCATATATTCTGGTACATAAAAAAATACTAGTTATGAAAGTATTACCTAGCAGTAACTATCAAAATTAAGCATATTTTATAATCCTTCTTTTTTTTCTTATAATTAAATAATTTCTTGCAACAACATTCTTTGGGTGAGAATAGGGAGATCAAATAGATTATTACCAGAGTGTTGTGAGTCTCAATATTCCAATTAACAAATTGTGGTAAGAACAAAAAAGTGGAACAAGTGGCAGCCAAGTGTGTCTCTGATGTTGTTACCCCATTCAAGCCTCTTCTGTAATCTGTTGTTGTACAGACCCATGGCAACATGGGATACATCTGCTTTATATGATAAAAAATAAAATGTTGTGCATGTTCACATCATCTATGCATCTTTCCTCCAACAGCTCTTAAGTATGAGCCAAAACATTTGTGTGAATAATTCTGGTTATCACATAACTCCTATCATTCGACATGGTATGTTGCATTACAGGTACAATTGACTTACACACTCAAGGTCAATCAATGCACAGTAAGTCGACGGTCACGTTGTCGTCTATGTAACATTTTATTACTTGATCCCTTTAAACCTTACCTGATGCCTTTTGATGACAAATTATGGCATCGGCAAATTTCCTGTGGTTGACCAAAGCCTCAGCTTTTCGGTCCTGCTGGTGAGCCTAAAAGGGATATAGTGCGGTGTGACTTAATATGTATATATTTGCGACTCAATTAGAAGCACTTTTCGATCGACATCGATGAGGCGAACGGAGACAGGCCAAACTTAGAGGACTTGTGTCCCAATAGCAGGCAAACTTACCCAGTTAAGGGGATAGTCCATGGAAACGGCTCCTGGCACTGGAAATAACCAAATACAACAATCAATCTGTTATTGTTGGCCAAATAATATCATAACAGAACAGAGTATTATAGTCGCCATTGAGAGAGAGATAGAGAGTTGAAAATAAATAGGCGCATGGGCAAATCAATCATGCCTCTGTTCAAAAGCTTTGAATTATCGCTGGCGTCTTCAGTCTCAACAGTTCTTCATGATCAACCAGGAAGGTACGGGAATATTCATAAAATAGGTAGGTTAAAAATCTACTTATTTTTTTTTATTTATATAAGGGTAACGTACATCATTACAAGTTATACAAAACACAATTTTTTGAATACAGGACGATACAAGTCTGTCGCAAATCTTGAATAAATTTGAATAAATTCAACGCAAAAATTTTATTAATTTTCCAAGCGCGTTGATATGATAATTGATCAGTTTTTCTTTTATCTGGGTTTCTGTAAGGGTCCTGAAAAGGACCTCTTTTTATGTGCAAAAGCTATGTAGACAGGGGGGTAGGGGCAAACACTACCCTTTAAAATATCTTTGAGTCAGTGATAAATCATTAAGGTTTACCACTTGCGATTAATTCACCTACAGAAAAAGACTCAGCCACCAAAAATTGTTTAAAGAAAATACTTTCTTTCAAATTGATTTATATTTCTTAGGGGGGCAATACTGGTTTATATTTCTTTGCGCTAAACTGGAAAGCTATAGTACGACACATCAGATGGAAATATCTCTAATGAAGGTTATAAAGAATGAAAAATGACAGAGCTTTACAGATTTTAATGGATGTAAAAAAATTCATGTCAATGATGTTGGCGTGAAATTTGGCCATTTTTGCTAAATTATATCTTTATGGTGTATACGTTACAAAAATGTTTTGAATTTTTTTAATATATACAGTTATTATATGCTATTAGTATAATTTATAATTTTAATATACATTACTATAATATTAAATCATATCAAACCAGTGTTATACGAACAGTCCTAATAAGTGCCTTGTTATGTCATTGGTAAAAATTCACTCTAACTTTAACTTTTCCAAAATCCTGGATTGTGTTTGAATCAATGATTCAATTTTCAGGAATATTCATATGTTGTATAAAAATACTATAATTATAGATATATAGGAAATTGAAGTAAATAAATTGTAATAATGATACTATTTGTGTAAACTTTATATACCAATTTGTGAAAATCTAAAATTTGATACAAAATGTTTCTCTTTTCAATGAACATCTGATGACAATGTCTATCAATTTCTTAATGAAAAACTAAATGCTTCAAAACCCATGCTTCTTTCAGCAGTAAAATATACATGGTATTTTATGAATGTGTAGCAGATATATCATTAACAACATAAACACTAAAAGAGAAAGTTGGACCTTTAGCTTTTTAACCCTTTTACTCCCAATGATCTGATTGTTAACGCTCTCCTCTAGCTGCAACAAATTTCCTTGTAAAATAGCTGCAAGAATTTGGTGTTAGATCAAGATAACAACTTTAACCTGATAGGTTTGACTATTCTTATTACCTGCCTGCTGGATAATTTATGGATATTATAGGGAGAGGTCACATGTTAATCACCTCTGGGAGTTAAAGGGTTAAAGATATTTTAACTATAAAATATATGATCCTTAATCCATCTTGTAAATCTGCCATTAATATGAGTAAAAACACTATATTTACCAGGAATTCCACATTTAGGATTACCCCAGCTAATTATTCCTCCCAGAAACCATTTCTTCTTTTTACCTTTTGTATCTCGAAATAGAAACCCTCCCCCACTGTCTCTTTTGCAAGAATCTTTATGGTTACTAGAATACCCTGCACAGAGCATATTAGATGTAACAAGCCAAGTCTCACTCAAATAAGCCCTTCGACAGTTTTTATTAGAGACAACTGGCATGTCAACTTGTTGTAATTCAGTTGTGTTTTTTCCTATTTCTGTGACTCCCCACCCTAACATTACACCCATTGTACCAGGAGTTACACCGCGCCTCTGCTGCTTGCTGGGTAAACACACTGGACGTACATGATCAGTCATATTTGCTCTCCTTCTAAGTTTTATCAGTGCTAAATCTGAGTCAAAGGTTGTCCAGTTGAAGTTTGGGTGGGGCACTATTTCTATGCTGTCTGTACTTTGGACATGTGGATCTCCTAGTGCATAAGTAATATCATGAACTCCAAGATGAATTTTGATACTGGAATAAAGCTTTCTTGTTTGTCTGTCATATACACAATGAGCAGCTGTTACAACCCAGTTTTCTGCCACAAGAGATCCACCACAGTGAAAATGTTCATCAACAATCAAAGCTACTTGCCATGGCCACTGACCAGGCATGGCTGTGCCACCTCCAAATATCCTTAAACGGGAATGATGTGTATTGTCATGGCTGAACCTGGACTCTCCACATATGGGAAGGCAGAAAGGAACATCATCAGACCACAAACCATCATTTTCACAATGCCGTAGTCTTGGTCCATGGACGAAATAATGTTGCTTACAATGATATGTGACATAGTGAGATCCATATTGTTCAATTTTCTTGAAATAACCATTTTGAGGTTTTTCAGGATCAGGGCATAGACTTGGTGTTCCTAGAGTAATTTTTGCAGGATATGTTATTGGACGAAATGTTGGACATGGATCTGGCTTGCAGCTTACAGCTTGTGAATTATTTCCTTCACAAATCATGTCACTATCTATGCTGTTGCATTTTCTATTTCTCTTTCTTGTGCCACCACCGCATGTCTGGCTGCAAGCTTCCCATGGTGACCAGCTACTCCATACTGCACAGGGTTTCACTTCACAGATGTTGCTTTCCACTTGGATAGGTCCATCATTGGCATCTGCACAGTTTCCAAGATGAAAGGGACTTCTCCTTCTGCAGTACCTCAATCGGGTCTGATGTCCCTTAGAGCAAGTTGTGGAACACTGGGACCAACTTGTCCAAGAAGACCAAAAAGAATCATTTTTATCACATGGCTTGATAAAGCAGCTTTTGTACATGACATTTTCACCATGACAGCCATCACCTCCAGCCTCTGGTTTGGGGTTGGTGCAAAATCTAAATCTCACCTGGCCTCCAGTACCACAAGATGAGGAACATGCAGTCCAATTAGACCACACATTCCATCCACCATTCACCGGGCACTCATTCTCAAAACAAGTTTTCACCTGCAGCTCTGAACCTTGGCAACCTTCATCACCCATGCCTCCATTTCCACTACAATTCCTGAATCTATGTTGCTTTCCCAATCCACAACTGACTGAACATTGAGTCCAGTTTGACCATTCATTTGATATGCTTTGATTGGAACAAAGTCCTTGCAAGCAGGTCCTCATTTCAGTCTGGTTTCCTCTGCAGGAAACAATGTTTTCTCTTTCAACAGCTTCATGGCTTGAATTCTTGCACTGCCGTGTCCTTGTCTGGTGTCCAATATCACAGGATTTACTACAGCTTGTCCAAATTGACCATTCTGACCATTCTCTGTGTAAAAAACAGGCATGCTGACTACAATATTCAGTTTGGCTAGAATTACCAGGACAATTGTTCCCTCCATGTCGTGCAGGGGGATTGCTGCATGTTCTATTGCGTGACTTTGTACTGTTACCACAGGTCTTACTGCAACCAGTCCACTTTGACCATTTACTCCACCCTCCATGAATAGGGCATGGTATTTCTTGGCAATTCTCAGTCTGAATAGTGTTTCCATTACAGGCTTGACCTCCATTCTTGGGGGCAGGGTTGTTGCAAGTTCGTACCCTAGACTTTGTACCAGTGGAGCAGCTTTTGCTACACTTAGTCCAATGTGACCAAGCTGCCCATTTACCAGGAATGGGACAAGGTGCTTTGGTACATGATGTGATTTCTAATACCTCACCAGAGCAATTTCTTCCCCAGAATTGTGGAAAGGGATTACTACAAGTTCTGTTGCGAATTCTTGTGCCATTTGCACATGTTTTGCTGCAGTCACTCCATGATGACCAGGTTGTCCATCCTCCATGGATAGGACATGGACCAAGGTCACAGTACTTCAGATCAGAGGAATTACCAGAGCAGTTGTGGCCTCCATGTTGAGGTTTTGGGTCACTGCAAGTCCTGAACCTCATCTGAGAGCCCCTTGAACATGTCACCGAACAATGGGACCAGTTTGACCAAGCAGTCCATCTTCCATGGATAGGACATGGACCAAGGTCACAATACTTAAGATCAGAGGAATTACCAGAGCAGTTGTGGCCTCCATGTTGAGGTTTTGGGTCACTGCAAGTCCTAAACCTCATCTGAGAGCCCCTTGAACATGTCACTGAACAGTGGGACCAGTTTGACCAAGCAGTCCATCCTCCATGGATAGGACATGAACCAAGGTCACAATACTTAATATCAGAGGAATTACCAGAGCAGTTGTGGCCTCCATGTTGAGGTTTTGGGTCACTGCAAGTCCTAAACCTCATCTGAGAGCCCCTTGCACATGTCACTGAACAGTGGGACCAGTTTGACCAAGCAGTCCATTCTCCATGGATAGCACATGGCTCTGTATTGCAATACTGTTTTTGGGCCGAATCTCCATCACATATTTTTCCACCATACTGAGGAAGAGGGTTGGTACATGTTCTGAATCTTGTCCTTATTCCCCCTGAACATGATGCATTACAGCTTGACCAACTGGACCAAACTGACCAATCACCATGAACTGGGCAGAAGCCTAAATAACACATTTCTGTGGAAATTTCTGCTCCAAAGCATGGTTGTCCAGGATTTTTAGCTTGCGAGTCCTTACACGTTCTCATTCTCATTCTAGTACCCCAAGAACACGTTACACTACAAGAGGACCATGGACTCCATTCGCCCTTACCTCTGCATGGCCCTCTTGTACAACTGCGTGTTTCTTGTGAAGGCCCATTACAGGTGTTTCTAATCAACCCTTTGCGAGAGTGTCGACAAGAACGAGTCTTTCTTTTCATTCCTGTTGAACAAGATTTGCTACATGGACTCCATTCTGACCAGGCCGTCCAGCTAGCTTCACAGGCTTGACCTTTACAGCTCTTTGTCTTTATATATCTCCCTTTGCAATTCTTTCCACCTCTCCCTGGTGGAGGATTTGTACAGCTTCTTGTCGAGGCTCGTACACCGGCTCCGCAAGTACTATTACAGGCACTCCAGGGGCTCCAATTTGTCCACTGACCATTTACGCAGTTGTAATGGTCATTTGATACGCGCATAACTGACGTTCCCTTTAAATGATCTGGCTTTGAACACGTTGCACGGAGAGCAGTTGAGGGGATATATTTTGCCTTGAATCTCAACCAGACTTTTAACCAACGCAATTCGCAGCTGCAATGAAACGGATTACCGTTAAGATAAACATCTATACCTCTTTTTAATCCACTGAAAGCTCCTTCTGGAATTGAAGATATGTTATTGTTTTGAAGTTGCAGCGTTTTTAGCTCTCTGAGATCTGTAAATGCGTTTTTCGATATGTTCACGATTCTGTTGTCTCTGATTGTAAGCGTCTTAAGTGTGGTCTGGGAATGAAATGTTCCTTCGTTAATGCTTGTTAAGTGGTTATTTGCCAGTGACAGAACTTGTAAAGAGAACGATCCTTGAAAAGCGTTTCCCGGAAACTTCTTGAGTTTATTACAGTGGAGATCTAATTGCCTCAAGGACGGTAGATCTTGAAACAATTCCTCGGGAATGCTCTCAATGGCGTTATTATCAAGATAGATCTGTTGGAGGTCTCTTAATCCGTGAAAAAGGAGCCTTGGTAGTGACGACAGCTTGTTGGAACCGGCGTTGAAAGATTTGAGTCGAATCAAGTCACGAAACACCGTCGCTGGAAAATCACGCAATTTGTTCGACCGTAAATTCAAGGTCATCAAATTTGTCAAATTTCTTAAAGCACTCTCCGGTATCTCTGTAACCGTGTTCCTGTAAATTGACAAGAATTCTACTTTGAGAGGTATAGAGGACGGAATAGTTGTCAAACTTCCTTTGGAACCACAGGACATGAAGAATTGGCTCGTTGTGGTACATTCGCACTCTCTTGGACATTTGCTGCTTGTCCGGCTCAATTCGTTGGAGGCAACGACCCAAAATGTTAATGACAGGACAAACAAACTCCAAACAACTCTGGAAAACATTGTGTCAGGTACGGGAACCTTCGCGTGTTTGCTATCTACGCATTAGAATGACTCGTAGATGAAACTGCTGACCTGAAGAGCTAAAAAGAAAACAACAAAGTGAGGCACGTGTTATCTTCAGTGTATCAAGCACGCGTTGTCTTACTTAACATAAATCTCAACAACCAAAAGGCCCCCCACTACTTTTGCAGACTTCAAACATAACCCCCGCGCAAAGTTTGATAACTAGACAGTTTGGAGTTATTTTGGCTGAGAGCCATCAGGTTGGAAGCAAATAAACCTTATGTGGCAACCATTAGACTTGGATTGAATTTGGAAATCTTTATGCTTGTTTACAGAAGACTTGCATTAATGAAGTTTAATGTCAACTTCATTTACCCACGGACAAAGTAAGACCACGCTCCGCTGGCGTTCTATAGCTTAACATTTGTATACAGGGATTTGTTTGATTCTTGTGTCTAGATCCGCTAACTGCGGCCTTCGCTGAGCTTTTGTGCTCAGAAAAGCTAGTGGGTCTCTGTTCACAGTGTCTCCGACCGTCCAAGTAGTATTGTTAACGAGTGGGTGACGATGGTAATTGCTAATCATACGGTCTGAGAATGGCAGATTGCCTAGCCTATAGCATATAATAGTGGCATTACATGGCAAATTTAGCAAATGATATTACAACTTACCTTTCTAAAACTAACATTCGAACCGGAAAGAGGAAAAAAGTAGCTCCGTTTAACCTCGATTGCAGTAAAGATATGTTATCTGGGATTCAGTCTAACATCTTATAAACCGATCAGCACGAAAGTCTCGTTAATTGAGACAGCACGGTCCGTGTATTCCCTATCCAAGGAAAGAAAGCAGCTTTTTTCTCAATTTGTTCTATCGGCTTAGCTTGATAGGCTTTAGCTTTATGGCTGAAGAAACTGCGTTTCAAAGATGCTTTTGTAATAACAGTCTGCACAAACTGACCTGGATGACACAATAGCTTCGCTAATTGCTTACTAACAAAAGCGTTTTATTATCTTAGATTTAATCTAGAAAGTAAATTGTCAAAACATGGCTCAAGCACAAAAGAACCCCACCTGGGGTTTGATGCACTTGTAGTCTAAACAAGAAACTCCTACCAGTTCATCGGTCAAAAGATATAAATTTCATTTTGTAAATGAAAACTAAACTCGATGTGTTGATATTGCTTAGGTGGAGGTCTGTTTCAAGTGGTCATTAATTGCAAAACATGCCACTGTAAATCAAAGTTCCCAAGCATAAGTCAATTATACTTGCGTGTAGCCTTCTTAACTAAAATCCTTATAATAACTATTATTTTTATTATTGCATGTGGCCATTTTTTGAATTGCCGCTTGGCAAGTCCATGTTATGGTGGTCAGATTTAGACACAAATAAAAGCCAATTAGGTTTAGAACACTATGACAGATATCGGACCGTAATTAAAAACTCTCTACGCTGATGACCTATTTATAAAAAGTGCTACCGAGATTTCACAAACGACATTTCGTCGCAGAATGGGAGAAAAAGTCCCTTGTCTTATTACTACTGAAATTGTCATTTTGGACCACCCACCACCTCGGGGCAGTTGGCGAAAATAACAGTTTACTCGCTACTTATTGCGTGATAATTGTTTGTTCTGTCTTGCAACATAATTACCAGGAGTCGTTAATAGTTCCTGCAGGTCATCACAAAAAAGACTATAGTTTATTCATTCCAAGCACGCAGTATCTTTCCTATGGCGCCGTTCGTAATTTGAAAAACATTCACATTCTCCCTGTGCACGTCTCTGGGTCAAGTTTTCATCATGTTCTGCGGCGTACAACATAGTGAACGAGTTTGTCTGTGCTTCTACTTCAAAGAAGCTTAATAGCTTTTTTTCAAAATTTTAGTTGTCTTCTTGCCAAAAAAATGGAAAAAACGTAGAAGTGAATTAATATTAATTTTTTATGCCCCTAGACGTTTTTTTAAGACTAGTTAATTAAGTGTTCTATGCACGCAACAACTCGGAAGGGTGTCTATTCCCTAAGAACAGTATTCACCTAACAGACTCACTTGTCGCCAACTATATGATATAGTCACAAGAAGGAGCTTTTGAAATTTATGACTCGGACTTGGGTCGACTAGTGTCTTTCCTTTGTTGTATTGCTCTGCATCAACTGTGTTGAGCCCCTTTATTGTCTCATTTTCTCTCACCCATTTAGATATTTAATCTTATCACCGGGGTTTGTAGACGGCGACACTCTGGCTTGAAATTGAGCGTCCTTCCGTTCTCCAAATAAACCGCAGATTTCCAAAATGAGACAAAGGTGTTTTAAAACAACAAAAATTTTAAAGGTTGTTACAAGCCTTACAGCTTTTAGACGTTTGTAAAAAGTAACAGGTTAATCCTCCATTTGCGTTTGTTTTCAAAAGAAGGAACAGTTAGCTAATTTCTGTAATACTCCACTTCGGATTAAGTGTTAAACTTAAACTTAACTTAGTACCTCAAACCGTCTAAGTGGATTATGTCGCCGACAAACCATTTAAGTATGTGGTTCATTGCCTCTAAGAGATAACTGCCGTTTAGGGAATAAAATTAGCTCAACATCTGACCCATCATTTCATTTTCCTCCTTGACACTGAAGTGCCTTTTTTTTTCAGTTTTTCGTTTCTTTCATTTGATGCATTACTGGGCCTCTTATCACCGTTTAGTTTATTTTTCAAATCTCGATACTGACCCAGTTTTCGATAATTGAACTAATATTAACCTAATCAACGGCCCTTTTTAGGCGCGTTAAGTACACGCAAAATCCAATTTCCTGTCCCAGAATAGTTTTGAAAAGAGAGTAACGGAAGCAATTCGCAGAAATTGGCTATTTGGTGTCCTTTTGCGGTATCTACTTCAATACAGTCGCTTATGTGTGAGGAAGGTAATTGTGGTCGAAAAGTAAGTGGCACTTTGCTGAGCTTTTTAACTGTTATCATCTTTTGGACTAGACATGTGTTGTTTTTGTCCCTTGGCTTACCAAAGCATGCAAATGAAAATTCGCTTTCTTTCCTAGATCCTGAGACATAGAAGAGATAAAAACTGCTTTTGACATACATTACGTAACCGCTGGCAACGGTCAAGAATAAGCGCATGTTACTTCTTTGTCAGGACTCAGATCAGATGCCCTCGTGAATAGCAGTGCGATTAACAACATGCACTGAAAAGTAGAGTACTCGGAAATAGTTGTGCATCAGTGCGAAGGCGATCATTTGAAAATGGTACTTATATGAGGTCTTCAGGAACACTGATGCAGAAGGTAACAGGTCTAACGCCATAAACTTCGCTTTTCACTTCAAGAGTACAGAAGTTTTCGACCATTCCTTCAACCTAGACGATCATAAATCAAAACGACACGAGGAGAACGATGTCGTTCGAAAATAAATTCGTGTTTATTGTAAGTCCAGGTGATCAACTCGCTTCAGATTTAACAGAAGGTAGGGGTTGCAGAAAAAATTATGGGATATAGTTAATTTTTAAGCTCGGTCGTCGAATTAAGATGTTAAGCATTGGTCACGAGCATGAGACGAGAAAAAGTCTGAGTCCCCTGCAGTGATTTGATCGCCTTCATACAAGTCTCTCTAATCTCCCAGATGTTATGGCGAATCTTATCTAATTTTTGGTCGTATGCACGCACGGTCTTTCCCGTACTTGTAACAAAAGTATTGTTTGATAGTATAGCATTCTACCCGTTCGGTCGAAATTTCCTAACATGGAGACTGCTTAATAGAAATAAAGGGGCGATCCTTTTGACTACTATTAGAGTTGCGTTAACCATTTGGCACTGCTTATAGAGTCATTTTAGGCAGTCGAAAGTATAAAGGAATTTCAGTTTCTCAGGAGTTACACGTTGCAGATGAATCTTAGACGGCCACAAAGCGACATTCTTGAAACTTCTAGGAGCAATTTTCGATTTGGTGTAATTGGAGACTGCTGTGGTTTTACTTTACAACGCTACGTGATTGGTGAAGGCTGAAAGTTTTCTCGAAATTTACAACCAATCGGACGCAAATCTAAAACTATGACTTGATCCGTTGTGTTTTTCCGCGCTTCACGTGGTTTTCTTGTTTTAAGTTTGAATTCTCATTGGTTCCTTGCGATATTTCCACTTTTTCTGATTGGACGTTGTTGAGATTGACAAGGTTTGATCTTACTATTGACCAACTGTACCAGAATTTAAAACCTAGCAATAAGCAGGGCGCACGTCACTCATATTAACATTTTAATGACAAAGCTCACCACAGAGTCTCGGTAGCTTTGGGTAAGTCTATGGTTCGATTTCTCATGAGGACTCCGAGAAGTTTTCCATGTTCCATGCTCATGATAAGAGGGAGAAACGTCTGTAAAATTGAACTGCGATCTTCATGTTGGTAATTTGCAACCATAGCGAATTAATCTCCTTTATTATTCAACTTTCATACGTAGTACGAATTCCCGATTTTCTGATTGGCGACCCGTAATTATTCCCAACCATCCTTGTTATTTTGTTGTTTATCTTTTCCATCAGTCTTATTGCCTTTCTTTCTCTTACCAAACCAATCCCTCGAGGGTTTCCTTTAAGGTTTCGTGTAATTTTTCTTTCTCTTTTTCATGTTGAAATAAACAACTTAGTGTATCGTGACGTTAGGAGCCTAAGTTCATCTGACTATCTTTGTTTATCAGTACCATTTACAATTTTCGGCAATCGGCTTTTGTGCTCTTTTGGCCCAATTCAATTTTGCCACTTAGAGATCATCGCTCTCCCAGTGAGTTCGTTATTAACCATAATTAACCACAATAAACAGAGTTACCCAACAACCTTGACCTAGCACCTTCGTGACAAATTTTTTACGTTAACTTGAGGCGCAGCTCACTCCACTACCTCAGACCGTTCTCTTTGTAATTGTACATTTAGAATTTGCAGGCAGGTAGGACGAAAACAAAGCGATCAGGCATAGCACTGAAAAACTCCACTATCGTGGTACACGATTGTGCGAATGTCAAATATAACTCAAGTGTTTGAATGAGCTGATTACCTTGATTCAAAGAGATTGTTGGATAGCATCGTAAGTGTTTTATAAAAATCAAGAGAGCAATCAGGGGTTCACGTGAAAGATATTCCTAACTGTACACCATACTTATGTGGTACACATGAATTGCGCGAGGTCAAATATAACTCAAGAGTTTTAATGAGCCTAACACCCAAGGCTTGGTGCAACGAGACTTTTGTAACATATAGCGGGCTTCATTCTGTAAAAAATCAAGAGAGCAGTCAGGTGAACAGATAAGATATAGCTCTAACTGCACACCATACAAATGCAAGTTTTAAATATGGCTCAAAACTGTGCTTATTGCCCTTAGTGTTTTAAGATTGTCGTGTCGGTTTGTTAGCATTATCTTATAAAAGATCAAGCGTGTGCCTAAAAGAACAGACCAATACAAGCTTTGTATTACGACGCACGATATAAATTTGGTTAAAAACAGCTAGGAATTAACCCTATGGGGTCAGAACTGGTTTGCGGTCGCCACGCCTACTTGTTTAAGAATCATTACGTCTACAGTACTATTTACAGAAGGGAAGTGCTAAGACTTCAACTGCTCTAAGGAAATCGAAAAAGTGAAACAGTCAAATAAGAGCTGAACACAATATAATTCGACTTCAACACATATAGCTGAGAGGATCATGTGTAACTGAGCTGATCTTTGTTATTGGTTCCATTCAATATTGGCTTGCATATACATATATCCTATTTACTAAAAACACGATCGATTCATTACAGTGACCTCTGACGTTTTTATTTATAAAGAAAGCGGCTTTTAGACCAAAATTGTTACGCCAAGAACCATTTCCGCTGCTATGTTTACAAAAGGATTTTTTTGCGTAATATCAGAGCATTTTTGAAAAGGAAATATCGACACCAAAACCACAATCGTAGAGCAATTTTGTAGTTTGAAAGGGCACAAGAAGGAGATAAGAAAGGCACATGTTCCACTTGTGTTGATAAATATTGAAAGTAAGAACACACAGCATGTAGGAAATCGCAAGGAATTAAGAAGACAGAGTATTTGAAACCCTAAAGTCTCATATGGCCAGAATGTCTTGACAAACAACGGAAACTTTACTGAAAAATTTGGTCAGGCCAGTGTTAGGGCCATTTTTAACTCGGGTAGTCATAGGCTGTTCTACCCAACTCTCTTACTACTGATATCAACAGCTTTTTTTGATGAATTTGCGAGTTGAAAGCTGAAAACACCGTTTCTACTAAATTCTCAGCTAGATATGTCCTGCATTGCATTGTTGCTATTATTCTTTGCATAGTTTTTATGATGATCCTCTAGTTATTTCTTCAAGTTATAGTTTTCAATGTATTCAACGTGTCTTACCTAACTCGTGTTGATAAGTTCAACTGTGTTACTCTTGGTTGCTATCATGCCGTGGTACACCGACCAAATTCACTTCATATACTTCTAAAGGAAGCAAACATCACAGTAGTTGCAATTTCAATATCCTAAGCTTTTTGTTGCTGCTCGAAATGAGCTCAGGTCACATGACTACCAAAATGCTTAAACTCCATGTGGTCATATGATTCTATTAAATTGATATTCATGACGCGCTGACCATGCCCTAACACGTGTAAACACTCTTTACGTGACACCTTGCTCCACCCAGACCCATTGGGTATTCGTGTTGCACTGCATTGCCATCCTAGTTAAAAGGCCCGGACGTACTGCTTCCAGAAAAAGGCGCCGAGACTCTCTTTATCGCAGTGGTTACCCTTTCAATTCAAGTAATTTTGAATTTCTGCACTTTTTTCGGAGAGAAACTCAGTCGCAAAAAGAGGAATTTTTCATTAGAGTTTTATGACGCACCTAGTGACTTGTTGATGGGACGTAAAAATTGTCTCTGCATCGCCTCCCACGAGTTTCCAATCGCTTTATGGAAAGATTTGTCTGTCTCAATGGAGATGGAAAGAAACAGACCAGGAATTCCAATTTCCGTTCTTTAAATGATTTCTCTCTTTTGCACTTTGCACAAAAATACCAATAAACCAATAAAAATGTTGTAATGATACAATTTTTTTCTTGTTTTCTGCAGGAACTTGTAAATCCTAACCTGGAGAGTGGGGTGATTGGCCAATCATCTCTGAGTGCGGAGTGGCTCTCAAAGAATTCTTTCACGCGTCGCAAACGAAATTGGGAGAGCTACGATCCACCAAAGAATTTGATGTATGTCTTTTGATATAGGAGAAGGAAGGAAGAGGAAAGACGAAACTTGATCGCTGTTCTGTCAATACTCTGCTCTTCTTTCTCCGTCAAAGCGTTTTCACCTCGTCAAATTCTCTAAAGTTTAAAATTTCGAAAATATCCGATAGAAAAAGAAAATTGAAATAAAGTTTCCCGTGGTCCACTCTATATTTTGTGATTTCTCCCTTTCTCTCAGTTTTTTCTACCGAAATATTTGTTCAGCGATTTTTTTAAGAGTAAGTTCTCCATCATGCATTTTGAAAATAATTGTGGTCTGTGGCCTCTCATCAGTTTAATAGGCGTCGTAGCTGTCAGAAACTTACATATGCGTACAAATCAGTCAACAATTTTTAGTGGTTAGAGCAAAGAATGTTATAATTTGCGCAAGATAGCAAGTTACGTGAAATGGCCAAGGAATGTGATGTAAGTTCAACCTGTAAACATTACGATTTCCCATCTCGATGTCCTTTAAGATCGTTTGATGCTTGAATGTAACAAAATCCTCGAGACTTCTACCAGAGACTATCATTTGAAAGAGCTATCTGACCACTTTGATTATTTTGGTGGAAAACTGCGGTTTCGCTAACATTTGTCGTGACAAAATTGCGCGTGACAAAATCGCGCGTGACAAAATCGTTCGTGAACTTGTCAAGAGTCTTGTGTAGTCATGCTTCATTTGCTTTCTTACAGCTCACTAAGACACCAAGATTAAAGGCAAAGATATGATTTGACAGTATGTTAACAATATTCAATTGCTTTTTCAAAGGGAGAATCCCGACTTAAATAAAAGGCTGCGAATGTTCAGTACTCTAACAGCTGGAAAGTTCTTTCTTAACGGGGTTGGCGATGAAGTGACATTCAAACTTTAATTTCTCTTTTCTTTTCGTTATTAAAAAGACAAATTTTACTAACGCAGGGTAGAATTGAGGTTTACCCTTTCTCAATTTAACGGGAAATGTGCTTAGTAACAAAAAGACTAAAGCTCAAAACACCCGCAGCATTCAGAACTATATTTGGTTTCAACGTTCCGGCTAGACTTGCTATGCAATTTAAGGCATTAATCGTGGCTTTGCGTTATTAGGGCAGGTTAACCACAATAGAACCCCTTCCGTTGATCCATTGACGTCACTGCAGAAAGTTGTTTCTCTCAAGTGGTTTCGCAATATATTGGTCTCTGTCAATTGGGGTTTTAGAACTTAACGTGGTTTGAGGCCCACGATAATCGGGTTTTGAAAACCGCAGTTTATGCCAACACTGGATATGAAATAAAAAGTAATGTAGAACCACAACGTATCTGTGTTATCTTACATTGGCGAGGAAATGAGAAAGTATAAGGGTGACTCTTCAAAAAGATACAAAGAACTGTGTTACTTCTGAATTAATTACGATCATTTAATGGGGTTATTTCACTTCCAGTTGGACAAGAGCAGGCGTCGTTTTTTGTTTTGTCAATTCAGAGTGACCATGCCAAAATTTTGTTATGCTGTGACGCGACGGCCATCATTTCTGAGCACGTGACGATCTAGTTATCAATAAAAGTTTACAGTGCGGTAATACGCCACTTACAACAGAAAGTCGCATTCGTGAAATATTTCTGACAGGCGGTGTTCGTTGGGAATATCCTCGATCATGTTTTTTTTTAATTATGACTTTTTATAATTTTTTTTAGTGATTTCTTGTCTGTCTTTTTTATTTTTACTGAGAGAAATCTAAGATATCAGTAAATTGAAAACACTTGCGATTACAAATTTATACATCCTTTCATTATTTAAGAGAATGGCAACTATTCAGAAGATGAGAGATTATGGATTCAGCATGCTTACCTTTAAGTAGTTAGTTAACCATAACTAAACACGCAGTATATTCGATCACCATCATTAGATATAGCCAAAACTGTTCTACCGCCAAGTGTATCATATTTGTCGCGCTAAAACTACAAAACAGTTATCTCACCTGAAATCGATGTTATCGGCAAATAATAGAGATATTCCAATCACAACGAGTACGCGAAATCGCCTCTCTTTTGTATCTAATATACCGATGCTTTCTGAAAGCAATTTAACTGGGGTTATTGTTATGTACGAGCTATTCGGGAGATAACAGCCGTATCACTTGCAAGGGAGTTGACTACTTAGGAAATGAGAATGTAAAGATAAATTAGGCGCTACAGCTTATCTTGGTCGCCATCTGATATTCTTGAGTACTAATGATATTTTTCCAATTGGCGAGGATAACATGATGGTGAACATTAAAGGGATCATGTCGTTATCCCTTCCTACTAGCGAAGAAAGGGGATAATTTCGAGCTATTGTGTCACAATTATAAAACGGTTATCAGTCATCACAAAATAGACGCACGTTCATTGGTTTTCTTCAATACCAACTGAGAATTAACACTGAATGCGTGCAGCTTGAGAAGGAAGTGCCGCGATCTGGAGGAAGCCGGCCATTTATCAATTACCACAATCGCGCTAACAAGCTGCAGATTTAACTCAATGCCTGTCCCAGCCACGAAGAGGACTTGAGTCTTTTTTCTGAAACATCTTAATTCGGATAATTGGCTTTTAGGAATAGTGATTTATTGTTACAGTTCTTCTTACAGTTAATCTCTCCCGTTCTTTTCCTGAATTACATTTTTCTCATGTTGGCGGTCACAAAGCTAAACATGTTTGATTCAACAGCTAATGATCATCAAGGTTCCCGTTAAAATTTTGATCAAATCTTTGTCTTTAATTGTCTCAGTAGAGTATTGTTCTTTTTAATTCTCCTTAATTCTTGTTAAGACACAACCGCACATAGACTATAGAGTAGATCTAGTCTTACTGCCAAATCTAACCTTTGGCAAGATAGCACTTATGCTCTCTTGCCTCTGGCTATGTTCCTAAGCGCTTTCATTGTTCTCTTATAGAATGTAAATCATCTTCGGCGCGCCTTTGTGAGAATGGAGAGCGACTTCCTCTGCACAAAATTGACTCGCAAATGACCTAGCTTTCCGCAGGCTCATCAGCATGGTCCTGGATACGAACTAAAGCGCTCTTTATTTCTTCCTCATGATATTTCTTCCTTATTTTCTACAGATCAGTACAGTTGATCGTGCGAATCATCTTCTTTGAAACATTTGTCTCTTTTTAGGTTTATCGTTCCTAGGTATTTCAGAATAATAATATCTGTCTGTTTGAAGAGGAGCACTTAATTTAACACCTAAACAAGGCTGTGAAACCCCCCTGAACTCACATAACTATTTGACGTGTAACATCTCCTCGCATTTCAATAAATCCAGCATGTAAGAGATGAGGATAAAAAATCTTTCAGCTAAACTCTCCTAATCAATTTAAAGGGAAAATAAAGAAGATCCAAAGGAGGAATACTCATTTGTTATAAGCTAAGGTTAAAGAGCTACTTCACGGTTGGCCCAACAGTGCATTCTGAAAGATTATTTTGGGCGACGTTTTTTCAAGATGTCATTCACAATCCTAGTAAATCTTTTCCACCCTTGCCCATTTTCGTTCCCTCTTTGTTAAGTGTGACCTCCATAGTGATCCTCATGCTTCCCGTGTTTATATTTTGTGGTTTTCTTCAATTTACGATAACCTAAAAAAGTGCAGTAATTGGAGCGAAATTAATTGAGATACAATAAGGTATGCATATGTGGGGTCTGACAAAAAAAAACTATTATTAATCACGCTACAATCAAAAGGGATCAATTAAAGTCAATTATTGCATTGGTTTCCTAAGGCTTTTAATATTTTAAGCTGGCAACACAGAACACGTGACTAACAACATCTTGTTAAATAACTTCTCGAACTTAACTATGCTGTTCATTGCCAGGTCGCACTCGGTTTATTTTTTTGTCGAAAATATGGTCACTACAGCTCCACACTTTATTTTAATTCTTCCGGTCGGATGCACTTTGATTAGCTCGACTGTAAGTTCAGGGCTTAAAAATAAACCCAAGAATAGGCAAGGTCTAAAGCTAACCCACACACGAGATCGAGATTGTTCAGCAGCCTTCACGTACACCTGTTCATCAATCATAAGTCAAGTTTGAAACGTCTGCTGCCGTTTATTTCCCTCGCAATGATTGAAAAACGCGTTACATATGATGTTGAAGACCGCTGCCATGCTGCCATGTGTTCATTGATTTAACTTGTTCATGTTACGGTTCATGGCCAGACGCGTCATAGGTTATCCTGGTTATCTGTTTCCACACCGGCGAGGCCAGTTTGTCTCGTGCCGTAGTTTTCTACCAACCAACAGACCATTATCGTTGAAATTCAAAGCTATATTGGAAAACTTACAGAAACATTTCTATATCTCTTTTATTTGGAAATCCACTGGGCAAAATTTTAGTAATGAATGTGAAAGCGATCTCCGCAGTAATGAACACAACCGACTTAAGCAGTAGTGAAAATAAAACCTGAAAAAATTAATGACTTTTTTTCAGGCCTTAAATCCACTACTGCTTAAGTCGGTTGTGTTCATTATTGCGGAGATCGCTTTCATATTCATTCCTTAAAAACCGCAATTCACATACACGATTTTCATAAGTTCAGAGTCAAAATTTTAGCAATGTTTGTTTCAGTAGAAAGGAGAAACAAAGTCCTAAAGTGTCTCAACAGCTCTAGAAGAATTATAGACAATTTTGTGGACTAATTTACGAAACCTGCATAACATTACATTAGAGGAAACTACAGTATGTATGTTTTCTTTAATCCTTTCACTCCCAAGATTTATTAGTAATTCTCCTTACTTTCTGCCATACAGTTCTTATGATGCAAGTTTGGAGAATTTAGTATCAGATCAGCTAACAATCCCTTAACTGATCTTTTTTTTAATTCCCATCACTTGTCTGCTTGATATTGTATTGACATTGCAAGGAAAGGTTATTTTCTCAGTCACTTTGTACAGGATTCTGTCTTCTTCATTATCAGACTGGGCCACATGTAAATAATTCTGTTTAGAGCTTTTCCTTTTTTTTTTTTTTTTTCTCTTTTGGGGTGGAGGGGGTTAAAATTTAGAAATTGACTTCTCTGACTGGACAGTTCTGACAGATAACATAATATTAATAATGGCCTGTCAAGAAAGAATCTTACTTTTCACCAACTCCGATCACATAATGCAGCAACCATTGTATTATAATCCCTTTAGGGAAAAGGATTGTCAGACATTATGAACTCGAACGACATTCGTTCGCCTATATGTTGTTTTACACAGCTTGCATGTGCTGTTATTGTCACTTTGCTCTGTTTCTTTCAGGAGACATGATCGACACATAATGTGCTGGCATGGCAGGTGAAATATGGATTGTGATGACAGATCCTGATCACATGACACACATGAAACAGTGGGTTTCTTTTTGATGAAGTTTTTCGAAGTTTCTGAAGTTTTTGGTGCTGGCCTCTTAAGTCTTTCTCCCAAACCTATTAAAGCACAACATAGTATTAGTGGTCACAATTTCCTTAACAGTAATAAGGGGTCACAGTTCTCTGTAGGTTTGGAAGCAATTTAGATGTAAACATCTGCTTTTAGGGAAAATGAGAAAATGGACAAATTTTGAGCTTGGTCATCAAAACAGAAAGATGTTTTTAAAATGTTGGTCAGAGTAAGTCATGAGGGTTTGTAACCTAGCCAGTGCTGATTTTTTTCAACTGCATGTTTCACCAACTAAGCCACAGAGATCTCATTAGTAACAATGAGTGGCAAAAGTCTTAGCATGCTAAACTAGTGTTTGAATTTCATCTCCCCAAGTTATTCAGGGGAAAAAGGAGTACTTTAAAGTAACTTATTACAGATTTAAGATTTCATTTAAAAGACTTGTGTTTATTTGGGTTGAGTGTAGTGTTGTCTGAACTACCTACAAAGGGGAGATGGACCATTTACTTTGGCCACTCATTGTAATTAGGCCACAAACTTGGTACACTGGTGATAAGGGTTCTGCATCCTGACTAAATTTTGAAGAGGATGATAAATTCTAAGCTCAAACATTGATAAAAGAAAATGAAAAACATTTGTTCCACACTTGTGACAAAATTTTTGTCTCATTTCTTTGTCAAAAAATACCATCTTTCCTAATGTAATGTTTTATCAAATTATCATCGTTTTGTATTTTCAGTCAAATTAACATTTCAACTTTGATCCACAATGTCCAAACAAACAGCTTGCCAAAGCATGATACCTTTGCTTGTTTCTTCAGTAGCAGGTTGTGTTACTGTTTGTGTTTCGTGATTGACTGGTCTATTTCTTGTAAACTTGTGAAGTCCTTGGAGTGTCAGATTAACAGCTGAATCAAGACTTCTAGTAACTGCCTCCTCATGTCCAAGTTCCACTTCTACCAAACAAAGAGGAGAAAAAAACAATCCTTTTTGTAATTTTATCTTCAGTTGTTTTTATCCCTTTACACTTAATGTCAGTATTCATATCCTCCATACTTTTTTCTTTACATTTCCTAAAGAGCTGACCCAGAGAATTTGTATAATGTTAAGGAGCTTCTTCAGTTGGTAATCATTTTCTTTCTTCTTCTCATCATGCTAGTCACCCTTAGGAGTTAAAAGGTTGAAATAAGAGATAGTTTTACACTTAAACAAGGTAGTTCAAGATCTTGCATAAAAAAATAGTTTCTCATACAAACACTCCTTTTTGATAGGCCAACATATAACTATTAAATGACAAAAAAAAATTTGAAAGAATGATAACAACCACCCCATGATTCAACCCTATCACTCCCAAAGTGACCAAACTACAATTTATCCTTGTGGTCTCATTGTTCTTTAAAGCAAGCAGAAAGCTAAGAAGAAGAGAAAAATTTATTAACTAGTAAGTAAATGCATGATTTTGAGTGAGTTTAGAATAAACAACCAAGAAAAAGTTCCGAAGGAAAAACCACTAGCTGCACCTGTTCAGGGTATGTGCACTTTGTGCTTACTGTGATTTATACCAAATTACATTACAATGAAAAAAAATCATGTGATTCTTTCTTGATAATATACATGAAAAAAAATTGCACATAGCTTTTCAGAATTATAGAGAAGCAAAGCAGTCAAATCACATGCAAATATAAATTATTCAAACCCTGCAAATTTCACTATGCATTTAATCAAAACCATATTCAATTTAAACAAATATTTTCTCCCTTTTTTATAACTTTTTTAGCAGCGAAAAAATTCAAAGCCCAGCTAAACAGTTCTTACCACCTTTTGCCCTGTATTAGCTTTCTTCTACATTGTGCTACCTTCAAATTGCATTCCTTTTTGCCAATGAGAATGAATAAATTTTTCAATGTATTTTATAAGACACAAATCTCTCAAGCCAACATCAAACAAAATTTAGAGAAAGAAAAAACCAAATGACGCAGTAAATCAATTTTGAAGAGGTTCATGAAGGAAGTACCTTTTTGTTCTGACTTGTGCTCACAGTTATTTGGAACTCTTTGCTGATATCTTGCACCAAATAAAGGTAATTCAAGATGAGAACCTCTGACTTCACTGCTACCAGAAGGGGCTTTTGCATGACTGTCTTCTGAAGGTCCCTTATTTGCTTTCAGTAATTTACTTTTAGTTTGATTATTTTCTTGAAGTGACACAGTCTCACTTCCAACTGTTCTCCCATGAACAGAATTATTTAGTCCTGATGACAGAAGGAACTTGTCAATCCTTACTTTAAGTAGACTATTTGGGAGTGGCTTGGAAAATTCTGAGAATAATTTTCCAGTAAATGGGTCAGATGGTAATCGTCCCCAGGTTCTCTCTGCCGTAATGTGCTTTTCAAGTGTAACTGAGTCTATATTGTGACCAGATGGGAGTAACAAAGGCACTGTCATGATTTCACATGTAATCGGGTCAATGAAGTCATCTGGAATGGGGTTACTATTACAATTTGTAGCAATGATTGATCTACAATGTTTAGAATCTGGCTTCATTATGTGTTCATCCACAGTGGTAGCAGTCTTACTATGTATGCCTGCTTGAATTTTTTCCTGGACTTGTAAGGCATATTCTAAAACTCCTGGCTGGCAACAAGCAGATGGTTGTCCCCAAATTTCAACTTTGCCAATAGCTGGTACACTTGAGCCACTTAATCGTGCAATCTTCAATGCTACATGAGTAACCTTTCTAAGGAAGGATAATCGCTGAAATTCTCCTTGCTGAATATCTGATCTTCCTACTGGGTGTATCCCTTGAACAGGAAACCTTTCTTGAAACAATTTGTTTTCCATATGAAATGTTCTACCTTCACTGTCATTAAGCCAAGCAACTTGTGTAAAAAACTGTGAATGCTCACCTTTCACAGATGTAGGGGTTACATTTAATTCATAACTATGGTGATGGGTGACAACTTCTTTGGGTGATTGTTTCTGACAAGTTTCGGCTGTACTTCGCTGACAATTTTTTCTTTTATATGAGCTCAAAAGGAGGCCGTTGTTAATTCTTTGCATTTTAGAAGACACTGTTGATTTATGGCTGGTTATGTCACCATTCACGTGAGGATCGTTTTTTGTTGCGATTCCCGCCACCAAAACAGCTATACCAGATGAAATTTGAGATCCAACTTTGGGTTTGATGATCATTGATTCTACGTGAACTGGAAATGGAAGTTGAAAGAGTAACAGAGTTGGAGGCTTGATAAAATGAGCAGCCAAAAATCCTCGTGAATTTTCTCTTAAATCTGGGCTTATGAGGTTTTGGACAGTGTATCCATCGGAGCTAACTACATCACAGTCAGCTATGGGCTTAAAAAATGGATGGAGAAAATTGACGTGCATCTTTGAAAATCAAGCTTATCCTCTGTAACCAAGCCTTGCTCAGCCTCAGTAACCAGGCTATCCAAAATACAAGATGGCGGCAGTAGATAACCCTCTGGAGATAGCAGAAGTAGTAGAAATTGTTCTTCGTTTCCTCCCGGGAAGGTGCGTTTCAGTCGCTGCACAGGTCTGTCATCTTTGGTGTGAAACAGTGGAAAGGATTCGAAGATCAAGAAGAAAATGTGCCGTCTATTTATCTCCAGTTGGCTCAAGCTTCTCAGAATTTTCCAAGGAAGCAGTGGACTTTATAAAGCAACAACAAGTCGAACCAAGAGCTTTGATTCTCTTTTCAGGACAGCTTCCGTCATCCAGTGCGTCTTTTATCAATAACTTTTTGCAGTCAGTGCGAAGCTGTCTCCCAGTGAACTGTCCGTTGATTGGCTGTACTGGTCTTGGGGTGATCGGATCAGATGAAAGGCGACGAGGTCAGCCGCGAGAAATAGAGAATACAGCTGGCTTGTCTCTTTTGATGTTTCCTCGCTGTGATGGCCTTGAGATCCGGGACTTCCATATTCCTCTTCGCAACAAGTATAAGAGAATAAGTGGTGTCAAATCATTTCTTCCTGATATGAACCTGCCGGTTCAGTTGGTGATAGTGTTAGCTCATCCTTTGTCTCTGGGTAAACTTACGCGTTTGACCATGGCATTAAGGTCGAAGTATGGCGATGACGTAAGATACACTATCAAAATTTCATTTTAACTGTAGTGATCATTTGTAATTGTCTTCTTCTAATCTTCACCCGTTACCCCTCAACACTCCTCCTACATCTGATCTTCCTCTCCCCCCCCCCCCCCACGACTTCGACAAACTACAGGCATTAATTGGTGCAAAAATTTTTTTCTTTGGAGCTTAATATGGATATCTGCGCCTGAATGCTAGGTTGATAACATAGAGAAATGTCCAACTTTTCTGAATTGTAATTGCACCTCGGGACAATCTCCGACCTTACGTACCCTCCTAAAGCCTTTCCAGCTTTCTTTTCATACATCATGCACACACAAGCAGGTTGTTCAGTGTTTCTGTGTTACTGTGTCACCTTAAAATAATATTACTCTGGGCTTTTTAATTCAAAAGAACTCTTCATTGCCCACCTTTCATTGGAAATAACTTTCCTTGCACAGCAAGAAGCATGGAAATTGAATGCAATATGTTGTATGATCACAAGACCCAAAAGTGCATCAAAAAGTGGATCCCAAATCGAGAACGCGATAAAGATTAGGTCCAGTAATAGGCTTAGATGTAAACTGGTTCTACTCTTCTTCTTGTGTCTTACAAATGTGTTGTTACATGACGTTTTAGGTGGTTATTGTCGGGGGCTACAGTGACAGTTATTTATTCTACAACACAGAAGTCACGACTCGAGAGATTATTGGCCTTGTCTTAGCTGGAAATTTACAATCGTCATCAGTAATCATAACAGGAGGCACAAAAATGGAATCTACAGATAATCTCTATGATTCAATTCACAGACTTGACAGCTCCAGTGTACCGAAAGAAGACAGTTTTAGTTTGATGTTTTCATGCTTTTCAAGGGGTATCATGACGTATGGATATGAAAATGCCCAGTCGTTGGCATTTAACGATACATTTCCTACCAACCGTCTCGTAGGATTTTTTGGAACAGCAGCGTTTGGATGTGACAGGGAAAATTTGAAGGCTAGAGGTTTAAAGCCTGGAGGTCGAGATTTCTTACACGTTGATGCAACGGTGCTCTGTTTAACCTCACTGGCACTGTAACGAAAGACTCTTTAAAAGAGTCTAGGGTTAGTTCGTTGCGGTTTATTTTAAGTCTTCGTTCAGTTCGGCGAAATGGCATAGAGAATTCGTAAGGTGGGTTTTCGAAGTTGATCAATCCATCAATGTCTTTTTCCAACACCTTAGGGTATACTCTGTTTTTCAGACGCTGTATGTATATTTCACTCGACTAATACAGCCTTTACCGTGACGCCGTGTGCGGTTGTCGATATAGCTTATTTTACTGAAGAGGACTCCTTTGTCCTTTACTTCTACCCTCTAAGCAGGCTCCCGTGCAGATTTTTTCTTTTGGCAAGAAACTGTTGTACTGCGTTGTTGTACTTATTTGATAGTCAACAATAAAGGTAGATAGACCGCCGTAGCGAATTTTGACGTGTCAAGGGTATCCGGTCAACTTGCCACCATAGCAAACTCGCCTCCACCACGCCATCAGTGGCAAAATTGGCTTAGACGTTATATGTAGTGTCTTAATTACAGAACGTTAAAAGCAGGAAGAATAGCCAGTTTCAGTGTGATATGAAATGGATATCACGAAGATTATGACCAGTTTGCGTGCAGCGAAACCTGCGTGAATTTCGCAGACAGACTTTGGCCGATGTTAATGAAATTGTGTGAAACTTATAAGCTGAGATGTAGAAGTATAGTGCAGAATTAGGCGCGTACAAACGGCGAAAGTTTGCGAAAAGGAGCTCGGCTTGCCTAACAGCTTGTACCCAGCCCCAGAGAAAATGGGAATCCTCCCTGTGTAGATGGACGAGGTGATCTGGATACATTTAAAAATAAACAAGATGGCGGGTTGCGAGCATTATGTAAGGAAATGTTCTTTCCTGGCACCGTGTTGTGGAAAGATTTACCCCTGCCGCTTTTGTCATGACAATGCTGAGAAAACCCATGAACTAGAGAGGAAGAGTATTCAACAGATCAAGTGCAATCAGTGTGATAAACTGCAAGCTGTGGTCTCACATTGTACAGAATGTGGAATCAAGTTCGGATTTTACTTTTGTGAAACTTGCCGTCTCTATGACGACCGGGATAAGGGCCAGTTTCACTGCGATCTTTGTGGAGTTTGTCGCGTCGGAGGCCAAGAAAACTTTTTCCACTGTTTAAGGTGTGATATGTGCTATCCAAACAGTATAAAGAGATCTCACGTCTGCATCGAGCAGAGCTCGAGAGCGGACTGTCCGATTTGCATGGAGGGCCTACACACCTCTCCTGTTCCTTGCCAGGTGTTGAGATGTGGCCATTTATTGCACCAGACGTGTTTTCAAGCGTGTTTAAAGTCACAACTACGGCTCTGCCCTCTGTGCTCGACATTGATGATTTGAATTTGAGATTGAAAAATAAGAACAGAGTCAATTTGGATCATAACGTACAATAGTTGAGGATCGATGGCAAGTGTGGCATGAAGAGCCAAAATAAAACAGCCTTCAAGTCACATTTTACCAGTTATGTGTGGGAGCCAACATTACCTTAAATGCAGATATTGAAGGAGAGATTTTTGAATAACCCCATTCTATTCTAAAGGTAGTATCAGTCTTAAAGGTAAACTATTTTTTGCGCAATTATTTTGAGAAGCTCATTTTCTGGTTGTGAATAACCTACTAATGCTTTATTTGGCTCTTCTTTTTGGATATGTGTATCTCTTTTTCTTTTTGAGTTATTAAAGAAGAAGAGAACAGCATAAATAGTGTCCTGTGATTTCCCCTCCAGGGGTGGCACCTACCTCTTAAAAGCATCTATAGGGAGGTCTCCTTACTACCCCCATGAGGAAGATTTTATTTTGAGAGATTTAGGTTAGTGATCTTCCAAATGCAGTTTCAAGTCATTGCAAACATGCTCTCACAAGCTATTAAGCTAAGGACTTTCAACCTCAGCAAAAGTTGTTCTTATATAGCATACCTACCCTAGAAACATCATTTAGCAGTGCCTATTTTGTATTTAAATTAAGGAGCTTTCAGTTTATTGACAATCAGTTTGTTTAGCTCTGTTTAATATAAATATTGAAAAACCTCTCTAAAGAAAATGTACAGAAACTTTTGTAACCCAGTACTTTTTACTAGTTTGTGTGAATTGATGGCAGTGTGCACAATGCTGAGAATATATGCTTGTGAAAAAACCAGTCAGTAACTGGTGCAGTATTTTACACTTTGTTTGGAATTATACTTCTCAAATATTTTTAAATAACTAGATTGCAATAATAGGTGTCTGACCGTACATACTGTTTCCTACCAAGCCACATCAGTTCTGCAATGTTAAAGCTCTTCTCTTGTGAGTATAATGCTCTTTAGTTCCTTATGATCTCTAAGCAAGGCTTACAGTAATTATTTTTATCGTTGTGTTGTTAATATTGGTCAACAACGTTTTGCTAAAAGCAGAAACATGCAGATGAATCACAATGATCTCTGAACAACAAGGCCTTTTGACTGATGCCAGTAAAATGTTGTGTTTTTTGTATGAGAAGTTTTCTTTTTCTTTTCCTTGTAATTAAAACAAGTGAGAATAACTACTAGTAGCAACTGGAGCCCGAAAGGGAAAGTCATGGACAGGACACTCAGACCCATGTAAGGCACTTACCTTAGGAAATGATAACTTGAAAATATATTTTAAAATACATATATATAAACAAACTAAAAGAAAATATAATAATGGTTATATGGACAACCCACCCTATGAATAGTAACAGCAAAAATGCAGCTTGTATTATGTGTCTTGAACTTCACTTCTTGCATACTACTGAAAGGTAAAGAAATAAATTCACCAACTGAATTTAAAGAAGGGTTTACAAATATACTTAAAGAGTGAAAAATTGCATGGTATTTTGATTGTTTACATGTAAAGGTAGGTGAAGAATTTCTAAGGTAATATTATGTGGTGTTTAAATGACCTCAGCTGTCATCTTGTTCATTTTAGCTTTTTTGTATAAAAGTAAGGTTTTAACCAATGACATTTTAAGGCAAATAAAACAGAATTTCAATTGAAAGCAACTGTATTTACTTATTTTAAAGGACCACCACCATTGTAAGCAGCTGTATTAAAACAAATTTCACAGTTTAGAATGAATAACTTTTTCTTACATCAATCAAAACTCAAAAAGAGGTCATGGAAATTGGTATGAATGTTGATAAACTCCATTCTTTGCTTGGGTTATGTTAAGGGAAGTTGAGATAAGATTAATCCATTCTTTCGGGGCTGAAAATCACCAGGACATGGAATAATTTCATGAAAATAATATTTTTTTCCAAAACATAATTTAGTTTACTAGACTAAAAAGCATGCAAAGGAAGATTACACTGATCCATTGCCCAGACAACTTCTTTAGGACATTCATGTTTTTGTCCTCTCAGTGAAATGAAATCACCTATTGTATATCTAACTAAACTCGCTGAATAACTATGGAAGGCATTCAGGAAAAGATTTGAACACAGCTTGAGAAAATACTGTCTCTTCTTGCTAATATCTGTGCAAGGGAGTGATTTTTCTCGCGTTTTAAGATCATCAGACGTAAAAAATTGGCAACTTTTTGAGATATTATCAGTCGGATACGTCGCCTTTAGTTATTCGAGAAAGATCGATCCCCAGGAAGCAGACATAACAAAGGAACGTTAAGACACAGGGGTCCACTTTACATTACAAGTCACGAAGAAGAAAGGGTAGAAACGCGTAGTAAGTGAACAATACAAAGCGGAAAAAGTGATTAATTTGCCTAAGTTTAGTACGATTACTCATTATTGGTTGATAAAAGATTAGCACGCACTGATTGTTTTATGATGATGTGACTTCTTTATATAATTTTTTTTATTATTTTATTCTTTTAGCCTTTGGAGTTGAAGGGAAAGAAGCCAAACAATCAAATAGAGTTGCTCTAATAACCAGTGAAGTATCAATACTACTGAGATCAGTTATTATCTAAAGGCTGAGTAAAATTGACCAAGTGGCACCACCATGACGATGCGATTTTGGAAGTTTTTCGCAGTTTGTTTTTGATGTCGGTTTCTACTGCGTCACAATCTCTTGAATGATATATAAGCTGACAGAATAAAATTCGTTTTGCGGACGAAATTCGTTATAATTCAATTCATATGTTAAATATGACTATTCAGTGTTGTCAGGTTGTTCAAAGATCGCCAACTGTTGTGGCTCCGGTCTGAAAACTGCATTGATGCTCTAATGATTGCGAAGGAAATATTAATAATTAATTGCCGGATTAATGTAAAAAATTATATAGTTTCACTTTATATTTAAATTCATGGTTTAATATTTATTGTTTTGAAATTAGTAATAGATCATTCAGTCTTCACAAAGTTCTTTAGTTTCCTAGCTAGTAACTAACTCATATTTTCCTGGAAGCAGTGTATTGATAAAACAACAACAAATGGTCTACATAAGTGACGTCGTTTCTTTTATTTATTCCCTTCACCAGTGGTTTTGTTGGATTAGTCAGTTGAGGATGACAATCAGTGGCACTCGTGATACAGTTTGGCTAGCAATTTTTGTCTCCTTCATTTGCACAATTATAGGTAGTGTCAAATTGTTTAAAATATCTGGCACCAGTCTCTTGTTAACCTTTACTAGATTATAAAAAAAGTGCAACCTAGAGAGTTCTAACTTCGGTTCAATATCATTCGCTAGTAATTTGTTTGACGCAAACATTTCTGAATGACACTAAATCAGCGTTAAGTTGTAATATTTCAGATTATTTTTGCTTTAGGAGCTCAAAGCGAAGTTCACTGTTTATAATAACCAGCTATCATGGATAGTCAAATACATCAACAATTTCGGTGTTCACCTGAAGTAAATATTATCGCGTGAATTCTCAGCCTTTACTGGCGTCATTCTTTGCGATATTGAGCTCCAATTTTATTGCAGCCTAAACAAAGCATTGTGGTCAGTTTAGACAGCGAATCTATAGAAGTTAACCGCGATGTCTTTGTTTGCCTTCGTCATTGTCGCTTTGTTTAGATACAGAACACGTTAATTGTCAAGGACTAGCCATAAAATAAAATTATGAATGTTCCGCTCCATGGCCATTTCACTCTTTCTCTTAGGTGGGAGTATCACGCTATATTTATGATGTTTTTGACGACAAGCGCATGAAGATAGCTCCAAGTTCCCACAAAGAAAACGTGATTTTGAAAATATGGGGAGTCGTAACAGAGTTTGTCCAATACAAAACGATGAGAAATGTGAAAATGAAGAAGGTAGCCTGCAAGAAACATGTCCTGTTTCAAATGGTTTGGCAAACAGTTTTGCTTCACACTTCTCAGCCGTGGAGTTTTGTGGTCAAATTGCAAGACTCGATTCATCCCTTAGTCACGACCAAAATGCTTTAGCGGAGGCAAGTACATGTGAAACTCAGTCTCGACCTCCCTCCAGAGTTTCCCCAATGGAAGACGAAGCAAAACGGGAAAATGAGCAAAATAGCTCGCAAGAAGCTGCCCATCATGTTTCGAATAGTTCGGCGAATGGCTTTACTTCTCAAGTCTCAGCCGTAGAGTTTCGTGGTCAAATTGTAAGACTTAATTCTTCGGTGAGTAAAAGCGCTTTAACAGTGCAAAGTGATCTCCCTGCTCGTCCTCCTTCATCACCGAGTTCCTACACGAAGAGAAGGAATAGTGATTATGTTTATGTTGAGAAAATGCTGAAAGAGATAAATGCATCTGCAGGCGTTGATTCGTCTTCAAGAAGTAGAAAGGAGAGTGTCCCTGCCTATGAGCCCATTTTGGAATTTGCGGTCGATGGGACTGCAGAACAGAACGAAGAGGACGGCAAGGGACAAGAACCGAGCGAGAGTGGAGAGGAAAGCATTGGAAGGACAAAAAATGAACCATGTTTATCTAAAGCAGAAGAGCCGAATCAAGCTCTACTGAAATATTTCGTCACGCTATCAAGCTCGAGCGATTGCAATGATTCGCTGGATTTAGGACACATTCAATCGCTGTTACTTGAAGGAGCCTGTGTCAATACTTGTGATCGCTTTAGTCAAACGTTACTCCATGAAGTGTCCAGGAACTGGGGGACAGATGTAGCGCAGTTTTTCATCGATAAAGGTATGTCACACCTACAATAAAACCAAATGATTGAAACTAATTTGAAAAGAATTGTATCAAGAATAGATAGGCAGGGGAAAAAAAGAAAAAAAAAGAAAAAAGAACTATTATCAATTAATATTCTCCAGTAGATTCCTGTAATTATACTTGACAGTATTTGATGATTTCATTGTACATAAATATTTTTTACACCTCTGCGTTTCATGTGGACATAACCTTGCTGATATCCTTAAACCATACCATGAACTTCGGTATTCAAATGCCGTAAAACCTCTGATTAGCTCATTTACCCCATGCGACCAGAATGTGAGAACCCTCACTAGTTTTAAATAGTAGTTGAAACTTTTTCAGCATAGAACATATCCTAATAACTTACCAGCTCCCGCAGGGTATCAAAAGCTATTTGGTTGTCCTCTTACAAAAGATTTGACTGTAAAAGCGATCTTACCATGCTTATCTCATAATTGCCAGTATCTTTATCTTGATAAGGTATACCTTCTACTCCATCTATTCATCTAATTTTGAAAATCTAGTTTCATTTTAAGAACTCGTCAGATGGTCGCCATTCTTTTAGTCTTTTTCGCTCCTTAGTCACTTCTATACTTATGTGATTAAATTTTCTTTCCATTTTTTACGGGAACAAAAAATTTATTGTTCTAGTGGCATTTGTTTTTCAGGCGCAGACGTCAACAGTGCCGATGATTTTGGACGGACTCCTTTACATGTGGCAGCTTCGGCTGATTATTCCGAGATGGTCAGATTTCTTATCGAAAATGGTGCTGATGTTGACTTGACAACCAATGGAGAGAAACAAACTCCTCTTCATTTTGCGGCCAAAAATGAAGCACCACAAAGTGTTAAAATTCTTTTGGCTTACGGTGCGGAGTTGGAGGTTCGGGACTACAAACAACGCACCCCATTGCAGGTAGGGTCATTCTTACTTTATGCAGTTTTGCTGTTTTATCATTTTCTCTTTTGTTTCGCTTTGTTTTGTTTTATTTTAGTTTTTCTTTCTTTTCTTTTCTCCTTCGTTTTCAGTTCGATTGTTTGTCTGAGATTTGAGTTCGTCTTAAGTTTAGTTCGTCTTTATTTATTGATCACCAGACGGACTCATTAACCTCCATGAGAGGTTGAAAAAATGATGTGATTGCGATATGCTTTGTCCTTTAAAGCCAGCTTACGGATGGGTATTAAACATATTTAGATACAGAGGGTGGCAACAAAGCCATCCCCCGGCCATTTCTGCAATTTTTAGTTGTTGTTTGACATTTCCTCCTAGCCACTGGACACTTAGAAGTTTTGAGGGTTTTTTTTTTGTCTTTTGGTCAAGGAATGGGATACACTTAAGCTCGATGATTTAACCCCCGCTGTCCTGATTCAAATTCTCTGGGTCTTCGTCCTGATGAATAAACACCGCAACTAAAATGTTTAAAAGTTTTAGTTCCGAATCGATAGAATTGTTATAAGTCATAATATACACATGTTGCGACTGAGAAATGATATCGCTACAAAATTGCCTTGTACAAAATTTCACTTCAAATATAACTATTGCCAAATTATAACAGTGGCAAATTTCAAATCCATTGATTTACTTTCGGTGGCAAAAAGCAGACGAAATCGAAATAATAAGAAACCGGAGAAAGAAAACCAACAACTCCATGAAGTTGTAGGCCGAGAAAAAGGTGGACAAGAACCACAGATATCATTACAAATTAAGATAAATTACGCAGATGGTTGCATGACGGTATTACATAACAACACAAAAAAAACCCATAACAAACTTAGCAAAATTGAACTTTCTGCTCAAGTTTTCTTTACTGCTTTATTCTCAGACGGCGAGTTAATTCTTCCATGACCTAGAATAGGTTTGTTATTAAGATATAATTGTAAAGATAACGGTGGAGTTTGCGTAGCTAGATCGCTTCAAGTTGAGTTTAGGGTGTCATTACGCAAGTCACCAACCATGAAATCCTATACAATTATTAGTCAGGAATGAAAAGGATGCCAAACTCCAAATTCTTGATAATAGCATTCTTCTGTTCAATTTTTCAAAGCCTTTATTTAATTCAGTCAGTTTTGGCAACGAGAAAATAAGAGCATATGAAAGAAAAAAAACGAATCGGAAAAGAAGTGTTTCAAAAAGACACTATCGGCAAAGATATGCCATTTTATACATGCAACAGCTTCTGTGTTTTCTTTATAGCTTGCAGCTGAAAGCAACAGCGCTGAATGCGCTAAAATTTTATTGGAAGGAGGTGCAACAGCCGGAACAAGAGACGACAGTGGAATGACAGTACTCACGCTGATGATCACGAAAATGCCGAGTGTGGTGAGTGATAAATGTTCTTTGCTGTCAAAATGATCCTTGTTGAAAATCATTCAATACATCACTGCTTCTTAACCGACGTAGACTCACAATTTGGCAAGACCCGGAGAATGTGCGAGAAGTTCATTCTCGAGCAGTCTGTGTAACTTTAGCCTTCTCCCTTTGCAATTGGAAACGAGAGTATGAGTACTTGCAGAATTAATGCACTAATTCACGCGTCTATTGTAAGAATGTTTTGTTTGCGTAAATGGAGGGCGGATGCTTTCGCGGGCTTCAACTGTGACCATGCTTTGAGTGCTAATGAAAAGCAGCTCGCTATGGCCTAGTTAATCTAATCTGTTTACTCCTAAACCCTTTTTTTTTCTTTAAATTCAGGCACCATTTCATTTCAACGCTTAAGCACCGCGATTGCACAAAGGCATAAGGTTACGCTCTCAGAGGTGATACATTCCCCGTACAAGTATTAAATAATATAAGGCTATTGCATGAGTAAAGAAGTGAAAAGCCACCAACAAAATGTATCCCCGTTGCTTAGAGAAGAAAAATTTCAGTTACTTACAGTGGAAAAGGTCAGAAAACTCAACGATGGTGAATTGGAACCACTTGACACAGCTGGACCTTGCTGGCGTTCAGTGCGTGGAACAAATACTTATCACACAGGCAGTATACTTCGTTATTCTTAAACTTTTTTTTTCTTCCTAATATCAGGCGCTTCGAGCCTTGGATCAGTTCCACGTCACAGACAGATCTCATCGCAAGCAACGATATTATCTCAACTTCTTGGAACAATGCGACCCAGATACCAAACGTCAACCAGTCAACCTCTCACCCTTGCAAGCAGTCGTGGAAGTAAACTGCTTCGAGCTTATTATGCATCCGATTTTCCAAAGACTAATTGAAGTCAAATGGGGATTCTTTGGTCTTGGGGCTTGGCTGGGGATCTTTCTGAACGTCCTGCTTGCTGTGGCCTACACTGTGCTCGGAGTGACGCATCCTACCGACGTGGCTGATTATTATTACCCACTCAGCAAAAATGCGTGGAAGATTCCCCTGGAGGCTGCCGTCGTGCTTTTAACGTTCAACGAAATCAGAAAAGAGATAAAAGAGTTTTACCAGTCTAAACGAGAAAATACAAAGTTCATAAGCTGGAGGAAGAAAGAAGTTAAACGCGATTTGCAATATTGTCATCCTCGATGGACGCAAGAAAAAAACTTTATCAAACAACATGTGAAACAGATCAAACACCGAAAGAAGACGTACTTCCAAGACAAGTGGAATTATTTGGATTGGGTGGCGTATCTAATGCTGATCATTGTGATCATACTTCACATCATCAATGTCGTCGTCGAAAACAATCAGTATAATGGATATTTCACCCGGATACATGCCTGCACGATTATCATCATTTGGGTCCGCCTGCTGAAGTTTGCTAGACCCTTCCCAAGTCAGGGACCTTTTGTAGTCATCCTGGACAACATCCTATTGGACACAATCAGATGGGGCTTTGTCATAGCCATGTTTTACATCCCTTACGCAGCAGCTTTTTGGATGTTGTTTGGCCCGGGATCCATGCGTGAGCCTGTGAAAGGATACGACAACGTGGGACACTTAGCCTTCACTATCATCCGCTTCCCACTTGTGGATAACTACAACTTCGACGACCTGGAAAAAGAGTACCCGGTCATGTCGCGCATACTCTGTGGTTCTTTCCTCATTCTCGCTGCCATCGTATTAATGAACTTGTACATTGCGTTACTGTCGAACACGTTTCAACGTGTTTATGACAACGCACGCGCGACGGCTGCAATGCAGCGCGCGCGCCTTCTGCAAGATCTTGAATCGTCTGCCTCCGAACGTAGAGTGGAGCGATACAGGGATCATATCCGTAACAGATGCAGCCCAGAGGGGAACGACTTCTTGGTAATCATATCCGACGAAGAAGAACAAAACAGGAAACAAGTAGAGAAAATCGCCTTAGTTCATACCATTGTTAGCGATCGTCTGGGAGGGAAGAAGTTTGGAAAAGTACGAAAGAGCGAGTTTGACACAGTGCTGGAAGATGTCGACTCCTTGAAACGCTCTCAGAGTGAAATGCAGAAATCTGTTGATCACCTTCATCTTCGTTTGGATGAGCTTGGAAGCCTCAATGCCCTAATCTATGAAGAAATTGCTAAATTGATGCAACACGGGAAAAAACAGATCTCGGCGATTAGTGATGTTAACACCGAAGTTACCAACGTGAACACTAACATGGAGTACAAGGTTGAGAGTCTTTCCAGAGGCATCGACTCTGGATTCGAAACTGTGGAAGCTGAGGCCAACCTGAGAAACAGTGTGCTAGAGGGCAACTTAGGCGCAAGATTTGACCAGCTACAGACAGAACTCATGGCAATTAACTCCAAGTGCGATGAACACGAATCACATATCAAGCAGTATGAAGAGAATCTCATGGCTAGAGTAGAACACCTGGAGGCGTTTGTAGTAAGTATGGAGGACGACAAAATCAAGGAGAAACCCAAAGGAAGAAAAACCAGTGCAAGACCTAAATCCAGAGCGACCACCCCAAAACCATTCCAAATGATTGATGGCGACAGAGAAGTGGTCAAAGTGGCAGGAACGTCTCTAGGGAAAAGCGCACTCGATGTGGAAACTGTCTCTGACCTGGTTAGTGCTAATGGAGATACCATAGCTGAGAAGCAGAAAAAAAAATCAGTCATTATGTCGGGTCAAGCCGCGAGAGACGAGTACGTGGCTCGACTAAAGGGAGCATTGGCACCGATTCCACCCTCAGATTTGACTCCGCGTACAGAGGATGGTGAGGCAAACAAAGGATTAGAAAAAACTGACTTGGAAAGTGCTAATGGAAACGCGATAGCTGAGAAGCAGAAAAAAAAATCAGTCATTATGTCAGGTCAAGCCGCAAGGGACGAGTATGTGGCTCGACTCAAGGAACCATTGGCACCTATTCCATCCCCAGATTTAGCCCCGCCTACAGAGGATGGTGAGGCAAACAAAACTGACTCAGAAAGTGCTACTGGAAATGCAATGGCTGAGAAGCAGAGAAAAAGATCAATCAATATGTCAGGTCAAGCCGCGAGAGACGAGTATGTGGCTCGACTAAGAGGAATATTGGCACCGATTTCACCCCCAAATTTACCTCCGTGTGAAGAAAAGAGCGAGGCAGACAAAGCATTAGACAAAACTGACTGAGCTTCCATTTGTTGAAACTCGATTAAGTAGACCAAAGTAAAGACATTTTAAAAAAATGACTTTGTCATCCCACCTTGTACTTTTTCGTAGTCCATACGCCAGTGTAAATAGAAATGAAAAATTAACTTATTTAATCGGTTCGATGTTTTGGAAGAGGCAATAAAGCCAGTAAATGAAATGATCATAGTGACAGAGCCTTTGAGCAGATATGAAGGCTGGGGCTAAAGATCGCTGTTAGGAATTCGTAATACAAATTGACTCGTACATTAAAAATAATCAGATTTTTCTTTAAATTCCGGTGTTTCTGGCATAAACGTAGACTTTCTTATTAAGCGTAAATTTGGGAAAGACTCCTTAACTAAAACGCACTAATAAAATTTGAAAAAGTAATACATTGAGATATTTACAGCGCACCCATATGGGCCCGGTAAATCCGAGCATTTCTTGTATGTATTCCTGAGTTATTAGTGCAATGATGTTTGCGCAAACTTGAAAGGATTTTACCTTCGTTCGTATACATTTTTGTTATTTTAGAGACAAACTTTGCAAATCCGACTTCTAAGCGCACGTTTTTGATGCAGACAGCGTTCAGGCATCCAGTAAGGAAACAGGCTGCAACGCAGGAACCTCTTGAAAACGCCCCCCTGAGATGCAATGGCAAAACAGAGAGAAACTAGGCGGAGTATTTCTGTACTCTACAAGAAACAAACCTCCTCCCTATTAGCTTTGCGCTTCTATTGCGCCCTGTTTAGTAAGTCAACGTTAGAAACAGGCGAAGCTGTGTTCGGTTCGCAATGCACGGTTGCCTCGTTCTCCGTATCGACAACTGAATGGACTCGAATTTAAAGGAATCAAGGAAGATGTATTTTCGTCGTGTCACGAGCGTGAGACGAAGAAAATCCCAATACTCTACTGTGAGCTAGGGCATTTGCCATAGGTTCATGTGTAACACGCGGCTTGCCTTTCACGGACTTATTTCCAATGATTTATCAAACCAGGTTCAATAATTGCTTAAGTATACCCGATTTATTATTGCGGCTCTTGCTTATACCTTCTCCTATAAGACACATATCTCTTCCTTACGAAGGGTAACAAACTTTCGTTTATTCGCATCCCTGAAATTGGTAACTGATTAGTTTCCATGGACTATTTACTCGGATACGTATCTTACGGTAAAATGATTGGCTGCACAATGATCTGCAGTGCGTACAAAGTTAAAGATATTTAAAAAGGTGTACTTCAAGTTAATTGTTTAACAAGAAATAAACTGGCTGTCAAGTACGGTCTCATAACAGCTTTACTAAACTATAAAAGGCGCATACAATTGTTTAGAAGGTTATAATTAGATGGGTAATGCTGGCATGGTTTTCATGTGAATTGCCTTAACCTTAACCTTAACCTTAACCCTCATTCCTTCTAGAAGAGTCAACGTCTATATTCTCCCTACTGTAGTCTCAAAAATGTCATGAAAACTATTAGGAGAAATTACATGACATTCTCATCACCACTTGGTAACAAGGTTGTTCAGTGTTTCTTTTTCTTTCGTTTGCCTAGAGTATGGATAATGTCACCCAACATATCTTTGACTTCACCGATCTGATTGTGAAACTGCGCTGTCAGGGCTCTGTGCTGTTGCTCTAGTTTTTTTAAATCTTCCCGCAACTTATGTACATCGTTCGTGGATGCGGTTCCTTTCTTTTTTCTATCACTGTCTTGTTCAGCTATATGCGCGTAGATATGATCGACCTGCTCCTTTATTTGGTGCGTCATTCTTTGTAGATCTTTTTCTTCCCCCTCAGACAAGTCGTCGTCATAGTAAAGCTCCTCAGGGTTGCATCTCGTGTAGATGAAGTTCGTGAAAGCGCGCCGCTTTGAAGCGGAAAGGCTTTTCTCCAAAGTCAGAATAGTAGTGGCTTGCTGCATAACAGCGTTTGCCTTGACATTGTCATACACTCTTTGAAAAGTGTCAGACATCAAAGCGATAAAAAGATTCAGACAAATCACTCCTGAGATTGCAATGTATGTACCACAAAGAACTTTAGCCATAATAGGCTTAACTTGCTCGAGTCCATCGTAATTGTACTCGTCCACAACAGTCATCCTGAACATGCTGTAGAGAAGATCGGTAATGTCGGAATAACCCTCCACTTGATGTCCACTGAAAACCATCCAAAACGAGGCAGCGTATGGTATGTAAAACGTGAAGAATAGAAATCCAAATTTGAGTATGTCATTGATCACGTGACCGAGCATGACAACAAAGGGTCCCAACGAAGTGAACGCACGCGCATACTTCATGAGACGAATCCACAAAATCACAAGAGTTGCAGATGAAATGTTCACGTGCACTATCAGAGCCCATGTGTTGCCATAGAGATAAGCGATTAGATTCGTCGCTATGGAGGCAAGGATCATGAAGTATGCCAGCCAGTCGACAAAATTCCAGGCATCTTTGAAATAAGCTGGTTCCTGATGATGCAACGAGTCAATTTCTTGCATCAAATATAACCTTTCACCAGGCCATCTCGGATGACAGAACTCCAAATCTCCTCTCAACTTATCTTCCCGCCACTTCACCCAAAGTCTATGTTCTCTTTTCGATGAGAAATATTCCATGACTTCTTGTCTGATGAAATTCAAGGTCATCAGTACCCCTATGATACTCAGCGTAATCCTCCACCACTTCTCCTTGATTGGTTCATAAAGTTCACCAGCCCTACTTGGTGTGGTGATGCCAAGCACAGTCCAGACTAACACGAAAAACAGGTTTACTACGACTTGAATCCAGGCTCCTCGCTTTCCAAAATAATTCCACTTCACCTTGATAAGCCTCTGTATCACTGGATGCATAATCAAATCAAACTGCTTGAGTTGCACAATGACTTCAAGTGCTGTCCTGGCACATCCGCTGCTCATGCAAGTCGGTACTGGGGGCTCAAGGTAGTTTAAATAGAAATATTGTTTTCTATTTGCTCGATCGGTGGAGTAAAACTGATTAAGTGCTTCTTTAGCCTGCGCGAGAAATAAACAAACAAATTAATTAGGGTCAAAATATTCAACAGAAAACAATCATTGTCTCAGTGAGTTGCCCTTGGCCGAAAGGATAAAACCATTATCTCCGACACCTCTCTCTCACACACACACACACACACGCACACACGCACACTGTGTCGAATCGTACTACCCTCTCTTCACGGTAACACGCTCGAGTTACATGGAAATGCAATTTTCAATTGAGTGTCGAAAGTACTACGATATTTTATTCCTTCTGCTCCACTATCCTCTATGCCCGGTCCAGAAAAGTTGCGACACCCTCTCAACCAACCAGATGCGAAATCTAAAATCAATTGTGGCTTGGTCATTTGCATTTTTCCCGCTCTTGTGGCAGCTTACATATATTCACTTTGAGATCACATGGGTCCACGTACCATTCTCTCTTTTTTTTTTTCTGATCATACATAGTGATAAAGTTGGTTCAGTTTTGTTCAGTTACCACCTACCACACTGGGCATCTTGCTGATCATCATGACAAGTGCTGTCATGCCGCTGTCATCAGCCACATTAGCCTCCGCTGAGCGTTCTACCAAACATTTCGCTGTTTCCGAGCGATCCAATTCGGCAGCGACCTAACGAGAAAGTGGATGGCCAGTTATATTCGAAGAACTCATTCTTGAAAACGCAGTGGAAAAAAATCTTTTTATCTTTTTCTTACATTATTTTTTATAAAACCCACTCTCCTGATGCGCATCAAAAATGCAACTTTCAGACATAATCAGTTGGTACACATTTTAGCCCTCCCCTTCCTTCCCCTTGCATTTCCTCTAGATTTCTTTTTTCTTTTCTCCCCTTCCCACTATTTTCTCATTCTCACTTTGCGAATGAGATCTCCCAACCTATCATTGTGTTTGCCAGAGTAAGTAACAATCTCATGACGTCTTGCGGTGAACATCAAAGTGTAGGTGGTGCACCAACTGATGTTGACTTTTGACACGAACTTTGTGAGATTGTGTCAATAATAGCGCACCCACCAACCGATATACATTTTTTTTTTCTACAAAAACGGATCAACATTGAAAATTGTCTCCAGTCATTAGTGCAGACCTGCAGAGCGGTTCTCTGTTTGAAATCCTTATCGGTTATACAAGCGCCACATTTCATCAACATCTTTAGTGAGGAAGTTGCATCGTTGCGTGCAGCAAAGTGTATGGGTGTCTGTAGTTCTTTGCCTGTCTTAGCATGAATGTCTGCGCCTCGCTGCACCAGGAAGTGGACCATCTCAGGATAGTCCACCGCGGCTGCCACGTGCAGAGGGGTGCGGCCATATTTGTCAGCTTGATTGATAGATGCCCCTGTGTAGGAAGTTATACATCGTTTATTTTAAAACACTCCCACTAGGTCCAGAACAGTTTCCCCGTCATGATCAAAAAGGAGCTATTGGTGCTTGATATAACTTATGGGTGTAGACCTTATTTTACTCTAAGAGTGGGATAACCTTCTGGGGGTGATCCTGTAATCTGAAGCGGATTTCGATTGAGTGTCATGAATCTAACCCAAACCAATGCGATCAAGGCAACCAATAAAATCGAAGATTCATATTAATGAGCCAATGAAAGCTCAAAGTAAAAAAGCCACTAAGTGGTAATTGGTGTCAATCTCATTGGTTGAGAGAGTGGTGTGAAATTTCTTGACCAATTACAAAGATTGCTTTCAACCCTCAATTTTAAATTGGTCCAACGTACCAGGCATCTATTTTGTCATCTATAGTCTCCATATCCACCACTGAAATACTGCTGAGTTCAGCAAAGACATGTCTTAGGTTTAATACCTTCAAACTTTGGCGCGTCGCACGAGAAGTCAAAAATGTGTCCAAGCAACAAAATAAATTTGCATTATGAACTGAACTTTGTAGAAAATGGATAAAAAAGCTGATATGAAACTAAAAATAATCACATTAGATTGCATGCCGAGTTATGCGGTGTTTTTTAATTTAATTGAGTACCATAGACGCCTTCCTTTATTTGAATGTTCGACACAAGGAGGTGACCATTTCGGTTTCTTTGCGCGCTCGGAAATCTTCAATTATTAAAGAAAGCACTCGTCTATTCCCTACCGCATATTTTAAGCCCTTGACGAGCTTAAGTTTACCTGTGCCTTGCCCTTAGGAAAAGCTATAAACTTTTGTTAAGTTGACTTTGTGTTCAACAAACCTATGGTCCATCATCGAACAACAGCTCTTAGAATCAATTTTAGCCGAAGTATTCTTAGATATAATTACTTTTATAGGGTGATGCACGTTTTAATACGAGGACGTTACTATATGCTCAGAGTAGCTCGTTCGGCTCACTTTGAAGTAAGGTTATGTGTAGATTATGTGCAATATGACGGAAGCCGTAAATGACTATTGCCATAAACAAAAACCATAGTGAACAACCCAGTGATGTTCAAGGTGCAAAGTGAATTGATATATGAATATCATAAAACCCTCTCTGAAACATTTTCTTTGCTAGAGACTTAAACGATATCGGGCTGACGTTAGAGACACGACGCTATTGAAATAATACGCTTTAAAACCTGATGAAACGAAAACGTTGTTTGTGTGAAAATGTTCAGAGAATTTAAGGGAATTCCTATACATAGCAAATATTTCCCTATTCCATCATTAGTATGGGTATGAGTTTTTCATGAGTAATATTTTGTTGTTGTTTTTACTTCCCTTGAGAAATTTTTGGTGAGAACGAAGACATCTGCGATTACCTGCAGATTATGTTTTCAACGCTTTTAAAAGTGCTAATTTGTTTTTCTATTTACCCTATTAGAAGCTGCCATTTAACTGGCTACCTATACAATTTGTTTTTTTTGTAATTAATATTTCAGGAAAATGGAAAAAAAGAGATAAACGCAAATTCAAATTTCTAAAAGCAATAAAAACGGAGCAAACCGTACCTGTTCTAGGTAAATGTTTACTTTGGAAAGTTTGGAGTAAGAATGTTTTGTAAAACTACAGACTACGCATAGGTTTGAATTAGACTGAAAGAAAGAAATGAATTATTGCGCGGCAAAAATCGCGCCAAAAAGCAAATGACGGTCAATTGGTGCCTAAATGCAAAGTGAGTCCATAAAGTGAGCTAGAGTGTATTAAAACAATAAAGACATTTAAAACTGCTCCATGTCAATTTTTTCATGAGTTGTATTCGAACATCTGCTCCCAAAAAGTAGTTCTAAACCTCTAATAATTTTAGAACTATATAATTCCTACTGCGCAATTTGCAAATTTTCTCTGCGAAGTTAAAATCTGACACCATTTTAAAAGAGCGTAGATTTCTAAGTTACTGGTCGGTCAAGAATTGTTTTGGCAGTTTCGGATCATTTGAGATGCCACAATGTACCAGTGTTTATGCATTTCTTTCCGCTCAACGCTTATGAGAAACAGTCGGTGGTAATAATTTTCATTTCCTATCATATGTTAGCTTATCATTTGACTAATTCCAATTTACTTAGAATAAATGATAAGATCACGATAAGAAAGGAAAATCCTGTCCACCCTTTCAGTGCTTTGTACATCACGAATACTGTTTTCTTTGTCTCCATGCAAATAAGGAAATATTTGGCGTTCCTCGCGCTATAACATAGAAGCCCTCTGAAGATGTATAGTTACGTGCATTCGTAAGAACAGCTTTTTTGAAGAATCTTTCCTAAAATTTTCAGAAATTAATTAAAATGCGTCTGAAATAAAGAGCGCTTAGAAGAAAAATGCTACCTCAACCAAAGCCACAAGTGATTGCAGCACTGAGATAAAAATTACTGACGTGACTATATTTGCAAAACCAATAATGACTTGTACATATCTGCCTCCCCATGTTTACGAGTATTTTTAACGATTAAAAGCAATTTAAAAATTTAGACGTTAGTCCACCAGACTATTATGCACTGAGTTCAAAACCCTTCAAGTTATTTCTCCCTTACCTCGTTCAAGTAGTAACTTAGCAACGGACAAATCCCACTGCCTTGCTGCCTCGTGCATAAGTGTCTGTCCATGACGATCCGCCGTGTTCACGGAAGCGCCATTCTGAATAAGCGTCTCTACAAATTCCAAATCGATTACCTCTTCTTCACGAGTTGACGCGGCCAGCTTGGCAAAATAATATAACAAAGCCCGGCTGGGTGAGCTCACAGCTGTAACCCCGCCATCTTTCCTATGCCCCTGGTGGATGGAGGTTATTTCCACTAGTTCTTCCAAATCACTCAACTGCGCCGCGTTTATACGTTGATGATTCTGTCTTTGGCTTTCGCGGATTGTCGGAAAGTCGATTCGCGCTTTTTGATGCTCACGCCAAGCTGCTATATCGGCTCGTCTCCTGGCATACTTTCGCCATTTTGACACGTTTAACTTAGCTTGCCCAGCTGATTTCAAGGGAGAAACCATACGTACTTTTTTGTATAAGTTAGGGCTTTCCTTTTCTTCAGCGTTCTCAGGCGAACAAGCTTGCGCTCCTCTATTCTCCTCAACAGTTTCATCTTCCTCTGTCGCGAGTTGAACCGGAATCACCTTGTTCTTATTTACTTTTCCATTTGCCGTCATTTTGTCTCGCTTATCGCTTGAAGTCAGTTTCAGAAGCGTCTATGCTAATGATCCTTTTCAAGTTCATCTTTCCCGCATGTGGTGGCTCCTCAACTTGCTCCTTCTTCAAACGTGAATTCCCAGTACAATTGTTGGTTTATTTGCCCACAAGTTCTGAACTATGCCAATTTTCCGAGTCAGTGTTTATGCTCTTGTTTTATGACGCCGAAAAGAAATATCAATAAAATTAATACTAAATCGCCAGATGCTAACTTGTTCAAATATAACGACTAATAAAGGTAAGTTATAAACATAGACAAAAAACTATGGAAATATGCGTTCACTTACCTGACTTACTGTCTGTATAGCAACCTCAGACCTATTTACGACGCGAGGCTCCTCGTTATGACGTTAAAATGTTAAAAGATGCACGCCGCTTTATATCTTGCTACCTGCGACTTCTGTCACTGATGGAAATTCCTCAATGACGAGAAGTTTTAAATTAATTGTAATCTTTTGGGAGATAAATCAACCATGCGCGCACTGTTTGTTTATCTCGCCGAAATGAACTTCTCAAAGTGATTGGTTTAATAAGTGCCTCCTACTGATCTCAAATAATAATTTCTGAAATATCTCGTCAATAAAATTTCACGTTTTTTTTTCTTCAAACATTGAACATCCGGTATAATACTCCTTACCGTTGATAAGTCGCCAAGTTTGTAAGTTGATTTCCTTGCTCTGCTAAAATCATCGAGAGAAAATTAATTTGCAGTTAATTTTTCCTGTCTAAGATTTTTAAACGTGTAGGTCATTTGTTATTATAGGTATGACTTAAAAGCTTCGCTGCGGTTTGGTAAAACTAATTGAAAGACCCTCCTGAGCGACAGGTGGAAAATGGAATTGGAGCCCGCGATGTTGCCTGTGTATGTTGCAGAACCTTTGCCGTGGGTTACATGCGCTCACATTTCGCCCCACGTGCAAAAATAACAACATGGCGGATCAGGTTGAAGAAAGTAGCTCTTTTCATGAAATGGGTTTAGACGATCGATTGGTCAAGGTTACAAATATTTTCGCGATTTTATAAGGAGCCAGTTGTATTTATATCCTTACGGTTTCTTCTGTTTTGTTTTATAAGGCGATTGCCAAGCTAAATTGGTCACAACCTTCACTGATCCAGGTTAGTGCTTTTTGTATACAATATGTTTAAAATCTTCATAAGTAACGAGCAGGCATTTTGTCTTGTTCCATTTTGCTTTTATTCTTCTGGGACAATTCTCTTAACAATAGACTCTTATTCTATAGGAGAAGGCCATCCCTTTGGCCTTGGAAGGCAAGGATATTTTAGCGAGAGCCATGACCGGGTCAGGAAAAACGGCAGCGTAAGTGAAGTAGTCTGTAATTGTGACCCTCCATGGGAAAACGGACACTAACGCTTTCCCGTTTAAACTGCGAAACCGTTTGCTATCCGTTTAAATCCGTCTAAACGGTTCATGAAAGCGTTGAAATGGTTTGCTCATCCGTTTAAGAAAGTTTGCATCCGTTTAACACTGAAGCAAAAACGTTTAAACGGTTTGCTTATCCGTTTTATATAACTTATGGACTCCTTGCCTGGGGCAATGCGTCAAATGCTTATTTAAACAAGATTTTAGTTCTTCAAAAGCGAGTTTTGCGCTTAATCTATTTCACCGATCGAAGAGAGCATGCCATCCCTTTATTTGCCAAAGCAAAAATTCTGCCTGTTACGTTCCTATATTATGAAGCCGTAAGTAAACTTATGTTTGACGTGCACAACCAGAGGGCTCCCATTAATATTTTGAAACTATTTACTAAAACATCTCATATTCATACCTACAATACTCGATCATCCAAATCGCAGCTCTTTAGTACAAAGTACTCTAGACTTAACCTACAAAAAAAGGCTTTCTCGCGTGTTGGTGTCAAAATTTGGAATAAGATACCGAAAGAATTCAAAACGCTATCAAAACATTCCTTTAATAAACAAATAAAAACGTCTTTATTTCAGATACTAGATAATGAAGATTCTTATCTTGATGTTGAAAAGATCTCCTCTAAACTTAAGGACTGCATAATTAAAACAAATTGATCCAATTGCTTTCAGTACTAATTTATTTGCTTCTATACTTTATTAAACAACTATTGATGTATTTACCAGTTATGCTTCTCTTTATAATTTAACAATATCTAACTATTTAGTTTTTTATTTTCTTTATATATTGTAAATAATTTTTGTTGATGATTGACCCGCCTCGAATAGCAAATTTGCTATCTGCGGGTCAACATAATCTAAATTATTTTGTAAGAAAAAGAAAAATAAAGTGTATTTAAAGTGTGTTTTAAAAGAATTATTTCCGTTTAACGTTCCAAGGAAAACTTTAAACTGTTTGTTTATCATTCTGTTACGGGCAATTCGAAGTACCAATCTAACGTTCGCTCGATACTCACCGGTTCTTGAAATGCGGAACGACCGTATCTTACTTTGGTTTTATCTTTTCCGGGATTATAGAAAGCGAGTAATCGTTCCATCCTTGGACAAACGAGTTAAGTTTAAATATCCGTTTGTACAAATGTAGAGCATCGACAGCCAATGAAGCCATTTATTTGACTATGATCCTGCCATCGATCTTGTTTGAACAGTGCACCTATTCTTGTTTACAGATTTAGTCAAATCGAGATAACCCTGTCTTGATTCCCGTGTCGTGGTTTTGCTAAATCGGCTACTCTCTATCTGTTTATATCATCTTGATTCATCTTTCTTGGTTTTATTGACAATTATTTCAAGGGTCCTGCTTGGTGTGTGACACCGATTTGACCTTTTATTTGCAATGGAAATTCATTGCATATTTGACCCTGAAGTGTCTCAGCTTTCGACAATGTTGTGGCATTGCGTGTGCAGATGATTTTTCGTGAAACTTGATAACAAAAAAATATGACGTTCATTTTCAAAAATAATATGAATAAACAAAGGAGGAGATTATGAGTTTGTCGCAGAGGCTGTTTAGGATATTTGCCAGTGAAACTATTCTTGGTAAATTGCACTTATTTCATGAAAGTCACATGAAAACGGCAACAGTTTACCCAGAAATAAAATGCGGAAGTGTATCCTAGTTATTATTTTTTAACTTATTATGCTCAATGTTTTCGCTTCAAGATAATTATCCGTCATCACTCAGAAAGTTTTCCACAAAAGATCTCACCAGCTCAACCACAACCGCTTAACATTAATTTTAAGTTCCAGTCTCCAACAAAATAACCATAATTCAAATATATATTCATGAATGAAAACAGTGCCTTTGAATTTTCTCAATTAAAAATGAACCCAATCATACTTCTAACACTGTGTCCAAATGCATGCATTGTCTGTCCAAGGCCCAACCATGTGATCAGGCAGAGTTGTTCAAAGGCCAGCTTATATGAATGATTATGTTACTGGGATGTAAACAAAATTAAAGCTTTCTATGTTTCTGTTTCTTTTATCAATCTAGATATGCAATACCAGTTATACAGAGAATCCTACAAGATAAACAGGTTTGTTGATTTGAACATTAATTTACATCAGGATTCTCTGTTTAGTATAAATGAACATCCAGGCCAGAGGTATAAAGAAACTGTTCTCTCTGGCAGGCAAATTCTTCAAATAGTGGTATAAGATCTGTTGTGCTAGTACCCACCAAAGAACTTGCAAAGCAAGCTCATCGGAACATTAAGGTATGTACATGTCAAAAATGTTTAACAGTACCTGAGGGACTAGAAAATTCTGGTTTTAATATGATATGTACTTCTGGTGAATTGTAGGTTTTTCTGAGAGAATATTATGTTAAGATTGAAAACAAGATAGAGTATTTTTATACAATTGAAAGATTTTTGACAAGAATCAAAACTTCCTTAACCTATGTTATTTTTTTTCTCTCATTGTAGGAATTATCCTGTTACTGTTCTCGTGATATCAAAGTTGCAGATGTTGCACAAGGAAATCTCAGTAGTACCAAGTGAGTATTACCTACATTTTTGCAAGGATTTGCAACATTTATGTCTATCTTTTGCTTGGTATGTTGTGCAATCTCATTGAAATTTAAAAAAAGAGGTAAGATTCTTATTGGTTAAGTTACTAAGATGATCGTTACTCTCCATTAAAAGTCCTGATAATTTTGATCACTGGGAGGCAAAAAGCCTTCTTACATCATTATCCCTGATTAAAGCATTATGGTAAGGATAAGAATTAGTGTGTATATTGCAAAGTGGCAAAGATAAAATAATCTGATTTCCACACGAGTCTCAATTAAAGCTGGTTATTGTCTGTAAGACAACTTCTCACCATCTTCTGTTTAGCCTGGAAGCAGGGTGTCTTTTTGGGGTTTCACCTTATCACACAGCCACTTATTACTGCAACACAATTGGCAGCTGCTTATGAAAAAAGTTATTAACATCTCTATATCATTAGGAGAGCTATAAAACCCCAACAGTCCCTGTACAGACATGTGACTGTTCCAAAGGATAACATAATAAGATGTAGCTTGCCAGCAAAGTCTTGAGTCAAAATTAGCCAAAATGGTATCTAACGAGATACTATCAAGGAAGGATTCTAAGACTGTTAAAGATTACTGAGAAGAACATTTTTAACATTGTTAGAGGGTCACTGGCCACCAAAAAAGTTTTTTAAGTAGTTTTAAAATGAAACTTGTGTCTTTGTTGATAGATAATTTTACTAAAAAATATTGAAAATTTATTTGTATTCTTAAAGGTTATGAAGTCAGATCAGGGTATACTGTAGCTTTTTCGGTTTGGTAGATAATTTTACCAACAAATGTTCATTTACAATTTGTATTCCTGTACATTGTGAAGTCAGACCTAGGTATAGTTCAGGTAGGAAGTATTAACTTTATGAGCAGCTGTACTTTTATTCAGGGAGAAGATAATAATTGTATCAGTGCACATTATGTGAAATTCGTTGGTTTCTCATTTAGGTCACTTTTGATGGAGTGTCCAGATATAGTGGTTGCAACACCAAGTGTGCTACTAGGTCATGTTCAAGCCAAAGTGAGTGTATTTATTTATTCATCTATAACTGTCAATAAGAGCTAGTGTTCTGCAGAAATTTTAAACTGCCAATCATAAAAAATAACAGGCAGAGGTTAAATTTATTTCTGATCAAGACAGGTTTTGACTGTGTTGTCTATTTAAGCTGCTGGAACTTCAGTGGCAAGTGAAAATGCTGGCTGCTAGGCTTTTTGGAGAATACGAATAATAATACTCTGTAACTACAGTTGATACTCTTCCCCTGTGCTAACAGATAGCTCATGTGCAGTAGACTTTTGATCATACCCTAAATCTTGTTGTCAGCCATGCATGTACGTATTTTAAACCCTACATTTTAACTCCTTCTCCTCTACTGGTGACAGCTGTTATAAGCAACCGCGTCCTTTGTATTTCCTTACTCTACTAAATTTCCTTACCCTAACTTATGCACGTGCTGTCAGCTGTTCAATGGACAACCAATCATAGGGGAACACCCCAAGAGATTCAAGTAAAGTGTCCATCACTAAAGTGACCAAAAGAGACAAAAAGATCAAGACACATACTTTTTTCTTGAGTGCTTGATTTATCACACCCCTCAGCTATTTGAATCCAAACTTCAGAAAGAAAAATTTTTTCCTATTTTTGCCAAGACAAATTATTGCTAATTCCTGCACAACATTCAAAGAAAAATAATTTTTTATAATTTATTTGCGAAGAACTTTCCAAACTTCTTTTCTTGTCTGTTATATTTACCTACAAGAATAATTCTTTTAAGTCACAGGTCACCTTTTTTTGTATGTAGCATGCATACAAATACATGCATATTACAATCAGAAATGATTCTTGGGTGAAGTTGGATTGTATAGGAAGAATTATTAAGTTACAGATTCTTTTATCTGCCCAACCCAAAGACTTATGCAGATTCATGTAGCACACTTACCCTTTTGTTTTTTCTGAGAGGAAAAACAAAACAGTTGTAGTTTCAAAACAATTTCATCCCTAAGAAAAAGGAAATTGTCAGACAACAAAGAAACAAATCCAAAAACCTTTGGCCAAAAATTAATTAGCAGTACTTTTGAGTTATTTAAAAAAATGACTCAAAACCCTTGTTTGAGATATTTTTTCTTCACTTTCTATCATTGTTATTTCAGAATATTGACCTTAAAGCCAGTCTACAGATGTTAATTATTGATGAAGCTGACCTTGTGTTCTCGTATGGCTATGAACATGATCTCAAATCTCTACTGAGGTAATTGCTACAAGCCATGTTCACTATATTGAAAAGTAGAACTCCAATAACTTTTCCATGCTCAGATGAAAATAATGGTATTAATGTGTTGATTGAAACTTGATGTCTTTGCAGCCATTTTCCAAAGATTTATCAATCATTCTTAATGTCTGCAACTTTAAGTGAGGTGTGTATTGTGGGTCTGCTTATTACTTGTTAGAATAACCTAAAAGGATTTTCTCTTAAGATTTATTAGCAATAAAGTAGAGTAAAGTAAGATGGGAATTCATGTATTCTCCTTCTGAGTAGATAAAATATGGAAAAAATAGTTGGATTATAAGAAAATATGGTAAGCTGGATTAAAATTACAGAATGTATAGCTATAATGATATTAGCACTTTTTACTAATTACCAGATTGTTAAAGAAAATATGTACCAGAGCAAATGAGATTGAATACAGTTCATGCACTGGGACTCAGATAGCTGAATTAATAACAATTATTTATAATTTATTATGGCAAAGATGGAGCTTGGAGCACTGAAATGTCAAGTGCCATAGAGGGTAAGAAACTATCATTACAAATTGTTTCCCACTGTGATAAGTATTTTAAAATTTATCTCTATCAGGATGTTACTGCATTGAAGAAGCTTGTCCTTCACAATCCGGTAAGTGTGCTTACTATTTCTTAGTTTTTTTTTTGTTGCTGTTTATCTAGAGCAGAATGTAAATTCAATGTAAAAAGAAAACTTGCTTACACTGGAACAGCTTAAGCCTGGAACTCAGGAATTCCAGATCAAAAGAATCTCTTAAGAATAATTATGGTAAAAACTTTTTTGATATGCCACAGAAATTACAACATTTTGTCGTTTAATATTCAATTTATCATTAGCTTTTAATTCTTGTTTTACACCTCATATTCCTATTATCCTATTTTATCATAATTTTAGACATTTTTAAACATTGATACTCAGACATATATTGACATTTTGTAGTTTCATTTTCAATTCATCTAGCTTGTAATTTTTTGTGTACACTCTGTACATGTAATATCTTTTTTCTGTTATGATTTTAGATAGAAGGCCACAAGTTTGTCAGTTATTTTAACTATTCAGTGCCACCCTTTTTAAATAAAGTGTATTATAATTATAGTTACAATAATTATTATTATTATTATTATACAGCTGAAGGCAAAGGTGCTTGCCAATATCTTTTAGAGGTCTTGAGCTTTAGTGAACCTCATGTGTATTTCACGTGTAACCTCTAATCAGCCATATTTTTTCTGCTAAGAAAAGCAATATGGGAGGGCTTTTAACATAGGCATTTATGCAAGTTTGTTGTGTCATTACAAATTTGTGTACTCTTTTAAATGTGTCCGACAGGTCATTCTCAAGCTTCAAGAGTCACAACTTCCGTCAGATGACAAACTTACCCAGTATTTTATAAAGTATGTTCAATCTAGCAACAAACAACACAATACAGTCATGTAACTGTACAAAATGTAATCAGATAATGCAGAGACAATTTTTTTAAATATGTAAAGAGGAAAGAGGAGCTGATTTTTTTTTCTGCGCTGAAGGTGCAAAGCATGAAAGAGAAGCTAAGTTCCTTTCTTGCAATCTCCCAGAGGCACCTTTAATTTGAGAGGTTCACATTTATCATTGTTAGCACATTACAGTACATGAATAGTTGGCTTGTGGTACACTTTGTTGACAAGCTTTTTGTACATGTAGTTGGTTAATTTAGATGGTCAATGATAAACTAATAAATTTTATCCAAAACTGACCTTTCAAGCACAAGCCCTTTATCTTAATAAAGTAGGGGGATTGCAGGTTGTGTGTGTTTTTGATTGAATTTTTTTTTTTTCATTTTTTGTTTTTGTTTTGTTTTTCTTATTTTCAGATGTGAAATGGAGGAAAAGTTCCTCTTGATATATACCCTGCTCAAATTAAGGTAGAATTACCTGGTGTGTGGTTGAGTTTTTGCTTTTTTCAGGATCCTTGATTAGTTTTTGTACAGAAGGAATTTTTAGGCCAGTAATTTGTGATTGGCTTTTTTTTTTTGATAGGCTTGTTCAAGGGAAGACAATTCTGTTTGTTAATGGTATTGACAGATGTTACAGGTAAATTATGCATGGAACATCTTTTTAACTACATACCCATGAAACTGAAAGTTTGTTTGCCTTTTAACATGTAAAGAAATGTATTACAGACATGATTTTATTAGTAGTAACTTATTAAGTGGTGTACATGTATGCTGACAGCACTCTTGTTTTGCAGACTTAAACTATTTCTTGAACAGTTTTCAATCAAAGCCTGTGTTTTAAATTCTGAATTACCTCATAATTCAAGGTAAATATGGTAATGTATATGTTGTTATTAGAGGTGTATTCCACCACTCCAGCTTCAAGTGTAACATATTGCTGCTCAATCCTACTAGATACCCACAGAGAAACAATTGAAGTCAAACAAAACATGATTAACAACAGTAACCCCAGCTCTCAAGTGGGACACCCACAGGGTTTTTTGCAATTGCAATGTGGTGTTTTAGTCAAGACTACCAACGAGTTAATCCAGTTTTCGCCAGAGTAGAATTCAATTTTGGGCATACTGACCTTTGGCCACAATACCTTCTTTTGTCATCATATTTTCAGTTTTTGTTTTATATGACTCAATTAAAAGCACCCTGAACCCTTACTCCTTTGACCCCTAGAGTGACTGGCTTCTAATATCTCTCAATAGTATCACCCTTGAATGAAATGTAAAGGTTGTTAGAATAAAGGAAATAATCGCCAATGTTATAAGCTCTTGATTGTCAAAAAAGTTCTCATTGTCAGTGTCATAGGAAATGTAAAGCGAAATGTGTGGAGAATATGAATTTTAGTGTTTGGGTCTGAGGGGTCAAACCCCTGGATTTGCTTTGTAATCCTCCCTTATGGCTACTGAGTGTTTTCTTGTGTGTTTTCTTTACCAAGACAACAACCTCTGGCTGATCAGTTTGTCTACTCTCAATACTTCTTTTCTGAATGATGTATTGGAATTGTAAGGAGAATGTTCATGCCAATCACTCCTGGGAGTTAAAAAGATAAATTGTCTATTGGGGTAACACATCAAAATTTATAGCAAACTGTATACTCTGTCAAAAAACACAATACACAAGTACATATAATGACTCTAAATCAGAGATTGGTGTTGTAACCACCTGATTAATTATCAGATATTTACATGTAAGTATATTCTTGTTGAGCAAAGTGTACCAAAAATATTTTTGACAAGGCACATGGACAGAGCAAACTTAGAATTTAACAAATGCACTTGTATGTTGTCTCATTCAGATTACATATAGTAGAGGAGTTCAACAGAGACATTTATGACTACATCATTGCATCTGACGAAAGTGTGTTTGATGCTGTTGCTACACCATCTGGTATCCTTTTTAGAGATTAAGTGCAACAAAACTCATATCAATGTAATAAGATGCTGAGCTAATTTTATTTCCTTAAATCTAAATCTGCATTGATTTAAAACTTTCCATGAGAGAAATTTACTCTATGTGTGTGTTTGTTTTTTTTTGTTTTGCAATCCACAATCCAAATTTTTCAATAGACTTATTGTGTTATTATAGACTTGGGGCAAAAATGATTATGTGAATTTCAGTAATTTTCATATTGACCAGTCTGCTCAATGCAAAGCAAACATTTGCAATGCAAAAGTCTTTAGGTGTAATTGGCTGGTGTGTGTAAGGCTACTGTTACTCCCAGTCTTGGGAACTGGTTTTCATACTTCAGCTGATGTTAAAAAAATGTTGCCTCAAGTGTTCAAGATTTGTTTCCTTTGACTTTGAAATCATGTGAACAGTAAATGTTAAGAAAAAGAAGTGAGTATACTGATGTGATTCTTTGTCAAAGTATATCTTTGTTTTAGGAACATTGAATACTTTTGATTCTTTTGCACAGATTTTCTTTTGCTTTTAAGCTTTACAAAAATTTAAGATGTACTTGAAATGTGGAATGAAACATTTTTACATGTTCTACATTTTGTGCATACTAGACACTGTTCAAATCAATCCAGTTAAAGACTAAATTTTGACTATTTTAGAGTTTGTCAGGATATACTAATGTTTCCCTTAAGATTTTATCAAAACATATGCCAATCTCATCAATATACTGGCAGTGCAAAGCCACCTTTTTTTTTCCTCATTCTTTTGAGAGAAATTTTGATTACTGCATTTGAATTATTTTTCTTGATTTTCTAAGTTTTACTTGGCCTTTTGAAAACCCTGACTGGTTATGTAGGAAAATTCAAGTTGATTGGTATAAATCAAACTTTCAAATTTGTATCCAGTGACTGAAATCTGTCTCTGCGCATATTTTGTTCCTTCAGAAGAAAGAAGGACAAAGAGTATGGCGTGTCTCGAGGAGTGGATTTTCAAGGTTTGTATTCAGAATAAAAGACTAAGACACAAATCTGAGCTCCCCCTGAAGAGAAACTTGGGAAGACGTAGCACATTGGGATCCTGATTTGTGATTGTCTTGTGTTCAAGGGCAAATGCAGATACACTTAAGTTACATCTGAACTGTCAGGGAAACTATAAATGGATTGCTAGAGGTAACCTTCTCTGGACTGGCATCCCATCCAAAGAGGATAGCATTACCCCTTGTCTAGGGAACATGGATAAACTCCAGCAACTAGGGACACTTGGCCTGAGTGATGACTTACTTTAACTTGAATAGAAACAGTGAGTGATGTGCAATCACTGAGGGTTAGCACACTGGACTCACCATATCCGCTGGATAGCGATTTATCCATTGGATAGCGTTATCCATCCTTTTTACTACTAGGTCTAGGAGTATAAATGGCTGCTACAAAGACAATTTGGTAAACATGACACATCACTCAGAGTAGTTTACCCACAGTGGACTAGCATCCCTTCCAAATGTCAAATGAGAAACTTTAGCCCGTTAATTTTGCTCATGCTTTTTAAGATTTGCTTAGTCAAGGAAAAATCCCATAGCTAAAAGTTGTCTTTTTACTTTGTTAATCATCTTGTCTGCCTCACAGTGTATTGCTGGAGTTATTTAATGGACATGAAATATTAAGCAGGTGGAACTCAGGTCACTAACCTTCTTTCTGGTTGTTTTTGGGTTTCTAGGAGTTGAAAATGTGATAAATTTTGACTTCCCTACAGCTGTTGATGCCTACATTCACAGAGTAGGAAGGTAAAAGTTTCATTTCATCTCTGGACAAATTCTTTCTCTTTGTGCAGGTCGCCTCCATTTTGGGAGGACCTGACAGGGAGCTGTTCGTTTCAGTCACTTATGGAGAAGCTTGACTAGTTAGTTGGCATTCTTCCACCCTCCCTGAATTTCCAAATTAGCTCCTGTTAACAATCTTGACGAAGAATATGGCACACTGACAGTGTATTTGTTTCTTTATGCTTCCTTGTTTTAAGGTACGAAATTACATTTAACCTCCAGGGCCCTAACCACTATCTCTTTACTGCTTTACGCGGTTGGTATGCAAAAAGCAATTAAATTTAAACCGGCAGATACTTTGTTCTGAGTCGCGTAACATTGGGCGTGTCAACGAACCTTCACTCATTTTCTACGACGCCTGTTTAAAGTTAGGCCAATAACAGCAAAATAATGGCGAGTTACAATCAGCTAAATTTACCCCTAGCAACGGTCTGAAATGATAATGGTAAGGGCCCTTAAAAGGCAAAGTAAAATTGAAGTGTCACTGGCAAAGCTTACTGCACTTGAACTTTGTAAAATGTGCTCATTTGACTTGGGAAGAATTGATTTCTGTTTTGCTCTATTGATGTAGGAAACATTCGTTGTCTTTTAAACAAGGCGTTATTGTCTCCACTTTGTAGGACTGCCCGTGGTGACAATGACGGTACTGCGTTGTCCTTTGTGACAGCAAATGATTATAAAATGCTGAAAAAGGCCGAAGAGGAACTTACGAAGGAGTTTATAGGTACAAACATCCAGTGTATGCTTGACGTGACGTTAAGACGCAAAGTCTATGTAAGTGACATAATTGAAGACATTGTAATGGTCAGGTAGAGATGTTAATAATTGTTAATAATTTTGGATGTTCTAGGAGAGAAAAAAGAAATTTTTAAACCTTATCAGTTTAAAATGGAGGAGATCGAGGGGTTCAGGTATCGTGCACAGGTAAGTGCAGTTTCTTGTAGCAGGATGCTGCCTTGGTTTAGGAGCCAATTGCAACAGTGTGTTTGGTGACGTAGGGAATGATAACAATTCTGTTAAGTCAACTTGTTTTCCAACGCACGATAATCTATAATAGAATTTCAGCTCACTTCTTGGCCATGCAAAGGGCTACCAGCAGGGAGGGTCCTCTGGATCCTCATGCGCCTTAAGTAGCTCGATACCGTAATCATCATCTTCGACAAACTTCCGAAGAAGAATGTGTCGCTGTATCATTCCCTTGTCGTTCAAATTGTTTTCTTTCAAATTTTTGTCGCAAAAATTTCATCTTTGCTCTTTTATCCTTATCAGGACGCACTGAGGGCAGTCACAAAATCAGCAGGTTAGTACAGTTGCATGGGATCAGTGCTGGAGAGAATCTACAAGGTTAAAAAACAAAAAAAGATGGAAAATATTTTATTGAGCTCTGTTCCGTATTTAACTAAACTCAATTGTAATCCATTTTCTTCTTCACATGTTTCTAATTTCACGAGATTTGACTTTTACTTACCTTTCAGTTAAAGAAGCGCGTCTCAAAGAAATCAAGTCCGAGATACTGAATTCTGAAAAACTGAAAGTAAGAATCCGCTGTTCTTTACCATACTGCCAAGGATGGTTAATTTGTTATTTATTTGTTGTTTATTGGTACAACGAAAACGCGACTCAAATGTTGCTTCTGAGACCTCTAAGACCTATAGACCATCTATTTAGCCTGCATGCTTGCTCTCGTGATTGGGTTTCGTGTACAGCCACCGACTACACCGATGACATCCGCTTCTAGAAAAAAATTATTGAAACCTCTGTGTTAATAGCGCCGAGAGGAAAACTTACTGGCTAATGCATATCTCCTCGCAGTGAAAGAGATTTTATAAGGTAATCTTATGACCATTTAAAATTTGATTTCTTTATGAAATACTTTCGTCCAATCTTTTTTCAAGGCATATTTCGAAGAAAATCCCAGAGATCTTCAAGTGCTCAGACATGACAAAGATCTACATCCCACAAGAATTCAACCTCATTTGAAAAACGTTCCCGAATACCTCGGTAAGTTGTCGACTGCCGCGAGCTGAGTCATTGTGCGCTAGTAATTCAGTTCTCTGAGTTCTATATTCTTAATTGCAGTTCCTCCCACTCTGCGGCCATCCATGGCCAAATCTTCCCGAAAGAGAAGACGTCCTTTCATATCATCACAAAAAAATGCTCACACCGCACACAGCAAGGTCAGTTTACTTTCTATATTCTGTATTCCGCTATAGCTTTTCCCTCAATGGACATTTCACAGTTTAAAGTTGTCGTCGATTGCAGATGGATTGTTTCAATCTAAGCGAAATAGGTTATATTCACTTGTAGACAGTTTCGAAAGCTTTTCAGCACCGTCCGTTTTTAGCCTATCAGCCCTTTACAACCTAACATCAGTATTCACATTCTCCATACTGTTCATACATACATTTCCTGAGGTGCTGACAAGGAGAATTTTTCCAACAATCAGGGCTTCTGTAGTTGGTGATCATTTCATTTATTCTCATGACCTTTATCTGTATTTCAGGGATGATATTATAAGGAGAAGCTAGATGCTAGTCACTCATAGGGGGTTGAAGGTTTACAAGAACGTGACATCTGACTGAACGTAATGCTTGTCACCAGTTAACCCTTTTGCCCCTAAGAGTGACAAGCATCTAATGTCCTCTTACAATATCACCCCGGAATCACACAGTAAGGTCATGAAAAAAAGGAAGTGATCACCAGCGTGAGACTCTTGATTGTCGAACTAATTCTCCTTGTCAGCACCTCAGGAAATGTAAAGAGAACAGTATGGAGAATATGCATATCGATGTTAGGGTGTAAAGGGTCAAGCCATGGAGATTCAGTAGCCTCAAGGAAATAAGAGGATTTGTTACTCTTGTGAGAAGAGTTAGATAACAACTCTAAGGTAGATTGGTGATCATGCGTTTATCGTGTTTAGTCTAATGTGCCCTATTGCTATTTTTTTTTTCTTTAGAAGAGAAAGGTGGATCCTTTGAAGAGTTTTAAATATCAGAGACATCAATCAAAGGGAAATAAGGTATGTATATCCTTGTTCAGGATAATAAATAAATTTTCCTTATTGCCCTGTTCAGGATACTAAATAAATTCTCCTTATTGCCATTGTTTCTCTTGTTGTTCTCACCCTATGCGGGAAGCAGTGATTTAAAAGCATGGGTTATACAATGTCTAAACGTGGCTATGTAAAAGAACTATCTCTTTAGATGGAAATTTTATAGTGTTAGAGATGCACATACATGGTTGATTTGACGCCTGGTGCAGTTCATATGCCTTACCACTGAATAAAAACATTGCGCAGTTGCACACTGCGTGCGACACGGGTATCCTAGCAGTTTGTAGTACGCTTATCGTACGAATCCAGCTTTATAGTTAAGCTGACACGAAGCAGAGTATTCGATTTAATGATCGAAAGGTAGTAGGTTTGTCCCTTATTAGTTAAGCTAACACGAGTCTTCGTGGGATAAGATGCAGAGTATTCGTGGGATAAGATGCAGAGTATTCGAGTTACTGTTCGAAAGGTCATGGGTTTGTCTCTTACTTGGAGCACCTGGAATTTCTCTGTGGGAGTATGCAGCTCATGTCACTCAATAAGAAATGTTCGTACCCTAATAAGTACATCCTGTGTGTTCCTTTTTTGAACAAATCCCCCCTGAATATCAGAGCAAGGCATTTCAACAAGGTCTTTTCGCATTTTCAGGGACACGGCAAGGGTAAGAGAGGATAGGCAGTCATCGCTGGACCTCTTCTTTACTTAGAGAGTTGATTCCCATGAAGCCCGGGTAGATTGTTTTTAGCTCCTCGTGGATCACAGCGCTCAAACAAAGGACAAGTTTGACTAAAATCAATGAAATTCTGCCGTGAGTGGTGAGGTGTAGCTGGCCTGAGTTTACAGCATATCCGAGATTAATTGAGAGAAAGAAAGAGCCACGGAGTACAAAATAATGGGGCTATCCTCTTCCACAATATGAACAACAAACTGATACAGTTTTGAGGAAATGCGTCGTCTTGGAAGTCTGCCTGTGTGTGCAGATTTGTCTTTATGCCTGGCAAGATACAATTTTTTTTTGCAACACAAATCAATTTATTCATGTGGGAACAGAAGTATTGATACAGAAAGAGTCTTTTCGGAGACTTGCATTTGGGCGATCAACTCCGACTATACTTCCTTAATATGAGAGCGTTTTACTAATAATGGAACCAGAAAACTGGAAAATTTTTGAGGACTTCCTATCGCGAACTATTGCTGTCTTATTACTGAGCAGTGTTTCGTGGAAATGTGCAACCAGAACATGCTGTCTCTTTGAAATAAATTATTTGAATTGAATTAAAGCGTGCAGCCCTTTTCGCTTACCGTTCTTTCCAACTGGTAGTTTTTCAGTATCGTTGATTTGACCTGAAAGTGGTTCCGTGTGCAAATACATATGGGTGACTTGAGAATTGGAGGTTAGTAACGAAGTTTACTATTTCGGTCTCCCAAGATGTTTACTATAAAATGTATGTGCCCTTATCGGAGGAGAAGGTTGCGAAACACAACTGTTCCTTTTTCTGTTACGTGTTGTGTCGGCATATTTGTAACTTCAAGTACTTTAGAATCCCGCTAATTCGAAATGCCAACGGAAACGGGACACATTCTGAGATAATAGGCAGTTCAAGTAACCTTGTTTTAAAATGATTGGAATGATTTTTAAGGTAATTTGTTGTTAATCTCGAATTAAAACGATGTTTGCACCTCTTCCTAAAATTAACGAAAATGACCGAAGGGCTCTTCGAAGGTTTTCGGTCGGAAAACTGATTTGAATTACAAATATTTTGAAACATTAATATTCATATTTTCGATCGGTCTTGCACGTGGGAAGACCTAGCGAACTTTAAGAAATGTCAGCGTCTTTTTCAGCTTCTGTGGGGCCAGGGAACGCATTATTTCGACCCAAATGCCTTGGAATCCTCCGTTCTGTAGAGGCTGGCGAGTGTTTCCTCGAAGTTGCGGAAGGGAGTGGCTTGAACTCGACGACAAGGATGGATGAATGGATGTCAATATGTCACGACTTTTATTAAGGTAAATAGCCTACGTGCAGATACATTTTGGATAAAAATACCTTGCTCGAGTTTCTCGGTGTTGCTCATGTAAAGTTAATTTGAGAGTTTGATGTAGGACGGAAGAGGATGGGGACACATAGTTCAGTTTAAGACAAATCGTTAATTGCAGCCGCCATGACAGTTCTTGCTGGATCACGTGACTTTAAGGGCAGCAGCAGCGAGAAACTCGGGCTTTAGTGATATTGTACTGATTGCTTATTTACATATTTATTTTTATTTGTATTATTATTTTTTAAATTTTTCTTAAATAGTTACGTATGTGTGTTGGTTCTCGAACACTGATAGCTTCATAGGAACATTTCATAGAAACACACTCTGTCTTATCAGATAACCATGGCAATGATCTCCACTCCCGACGTAATAAATTGGGATACTTCTCCCGAATAACGTCTATGAGTTTTTTTTTTTTCACCCTTCTCCCCAATTCAATGTTGATAATTGCCAATTGAGAGAGGCGGAGGAAGCTGTAAATGTCCCAGCTAATGTGTCTGGGATTGCAGCTTGCTGAGACCCCAGTCAGAGTGAGTTTAGCGATCCTCGATTTTTGTGTAAGAGCTTTTGTCGTGGAAACAAAATTACCTGTTGCTTTTTTTCAATTAGGAACATCGAAATTGTAAATCCAGTCTGTGGTGGCTCCAAGTCAGTTACCATAATTTAAGTATGCACATTTTCACAAAATAAATTTTCTACTTTTTCTCTCATCAGGGCAGCATCAAGCATAGAATGAGGTTATCACTCAATCAAGAAATTCTAGGCAAGAAAGGAACAAAGGACAACTTCCAAGAACGTGAGTTAATTTTTCCTTTTTTTACGAATTAGCTATCTGCGCTTGTAAGTCTGGTCTGCTGGTCTCTACTGAACGTATCAACCTGGATTTATCGAATGTCTGCAATTCAAAACTAGTACGAGTCGAAAATGTAGGAAACCTACAAGCAAAGAAATGATTGGTTTTTTTTTTTTCGGTTCTATTTCCGGTGAATTTCTCTTTGATTAAGGTGATTGTCAGTCGTTTATAGCACTATTTGGCTGATGAATTAATAACACCACGTTGTTTCTGTTGGTGGAAAATTACCTCAGTCGAAAAAAATATATTTAGTAGTCGTTCTGAAACTTATCGCCATCTTTAGACTCAATCAGTTGATTTAACTTCAACTTATCAGTTACTTCAACTTATCGGTAACTTCTACTTCCGTGGAACTTCCGTTAAATCGGAAAAATCTAATCAAAAGGGCAAACTACAGGCATAAGGTATATTTTCGCAAATAGCTATTCAGCTTTTCCACCAATTGTTAAAGACCTTGACTTACTTCAATCACAAACAAAAAAAAGTAGGTAGTTTCAGACTGCACGTGGCTACTAATATGGCACAATTTTTCTAGCATTCAAAAGAACTAGAGGGTTGTATAATGATGCCAAAAGGTAGTGGGCAGAAGATTTGTCTCAAACCAGAAAACTTACCGTATCCATCTTTGGCGTTTTTTTAGACCAAAATGTGAAGAAGAAAAGACTTTTGTAACATGGAAATTTTACAAAAACGAAGCAAGTTAAGCAAATATGATAATAAGTTGTAAATGAAACTCTAATCATACAATTGCCTTATTAACATTTCTGTAAGATTTTCTCAGAGGAATTGCCAGCGAACTTTTACATTTATTGCTTGTTGTTGCTTGAATGCAAAATCAAAACTTAATGACTCAAATTTAAACAACTCAATGTTTCAATACTTGAACTCAGTTAGGAGGAAGGCAAGTCAACAATTATGAGAAGATTTAACGGGTACCAAATTGAATTTATCGGTAAATCCAGGTTACGTTCATGTTTCTTCATTGAATAACTTGACACTACAGGACTTAAATTCTGTACTTTTACATATTCAACATTGCGAAATATTTTTTAGCGTTTGACTGTCGCTTGAATTAAGATCTATTGAATTTTATGATTTATTGTTTCTTTTCATTTTCTTGCAGATTGACGGGTGAATATTACTGTTGTTTCAAGCACGAATCAAACAAGAAAGGCTGTGGTTAAGAAAAGTCAAGATTTATTCAGAGGTACAAAACAGATGAAGTGCATTTCTCTCAAGAAAGTCGAGTGAGAACCAAGAGTTATTTGCTTAAATCGACGACTTGTAGCCATACGTAAGGAAGTGTTGTGTCGCAATTTGTCGGCTCAAAAGTCGTGTTAAGGGCTGTTTAAATATTACAAATTTTCCCGCCAAAAAACTTAGAAAAAATACGGTGCTCAAAAATACGCATGCGCCGGATTTTTTTTTCCAAGTTATAATTTTATTTCATTGCCAATAAACTTGTATCTTTTTCTTGCTGGTCAATAAAGTTGACTCATCTGTTGTTCTGTCTCATCTTTTATTGTTTTTCAATGTTCACTCAATAAACCACAAAAGTTTCACATTCAACAAAGCATTTTATTGTTTTATAATTCTCTTTCATTACAAGTTAATTGGTTAAGTAATTTTCAATTAAATTATTAAAAAGGCGTCGAGAAAAAAAATTCATATATATACTAAGACTTTTGGCGGGAAAATTTAGACCAATTTGCACAGAGTTTCCCCTGGCAACTTTTTCAGCAAAAATTTTAACGAGACTTCCTCTTAAATTCCCGCCAAAATACAATTCAACAACATCTCGTGCCAAGAATCGTGGTTTTAAAAAAATCAAACGGTTTTCTAAATGTTTCGTTTCTAAGAAATCTTGACTAACTTTTTTCTTTTGGACTTCGATTCTTTGCACGAGATGAAAGTTCTTTCGAAAAAGCACCATGGCAAGCAACCCAGGGTTCCACTACAAATCATAAAATTTCCTACTACATGTCCAATCCTTTTTTTCTTTTATAAGATTATACTTTGCCATGATGTTTTTTCGGAACAAATATCTTTAAAGCAGCCACATTTCGAGTGTAACACAGGGCACAGTTTGTAAAAGCACCGAAAACAAAAAATGATCAAAGATTTGGACTAAATTTGAGTGAAAAAAAAACTATTGGAGCAAACTCTTTAAATTTGAATTTAGCCACAAAAGCTAAGACATCTTACAATTAGGCTCCAGGGTTTTGTGACCAAATTGGCGAAGTAGTTTGAGAAATAATCACATCCATTATTGAAGCAAGCTTTTCACAGTTGGACTCCAATTTTTTTTTTCAATAAATTCGCGAAGCAATTTGAGAATAAAGTAGTATCAACTATTGGAGCAAATGCTTTGAATTTGATTCCAGGCACATAACAATTAAGCTCCAAGTTCATTACGATCACGTCGAATTCTTACAATAACTTTGTGAAAGAGATTCAGTCGTTAAACGCGTTCAATTTTTGTCAGTTTCAATGGAATAATAAACTAAATTTAAAGCTCAAAACTACGTTTTTTGTTGTGTGTCACTGTGTTACACCGAATGACTGCACAAAAGATCTTTCTTCCACTCAGAACGAGGAATAAATATATTAACTTCCATATTACTTTAAAACCAAATGCCTGGTCGGAAGAGCAACAAGAGATTCATTTTTTCGACTGCGAGTTAAATTTAATTGCCTGTTGTATAAACCAGCAAGAACACATCCATCACGAGTAGAAAATAATCAAACACTAGCTTTTCAACACGAATAAAAAATAAACGCAACCTTTGATTTGGATATTATTACTTTCTGTTTTCGGTTTGCACTTCGGTTTGGTAAAATCAACATGCATTTATGCACAAATTTCAATTCGATTTAGAGCAAATATGGTCATAATTTCTTTAATTTCCATGTTATTTGTTCAGTATCAATCGATGAAAGTATTAAACATGAACACAAAACATCGCTTTTATCATTGGTCAAACTAATTAATCACCTAATTTGTCAGTCCACGTTTGTCCGAATTAGCAACGTGCCTTCGCTGAAGTTCAAACTATTTCGAGAAATAACAGTAGGATTTCTTCCATTTTCCTGTCTGTTTGAGACAAGTTTTCTCTTTCATTAAAACTAACGTTTGGCAATAGTTGTATTTATTTTTTGTTCGTCAAAAGACTGGCTCGTGCGTATGTTCTCGTTGATTTTCGTCCAGACTGCTTACTATTTTTCAACGATTTGCGAAATTATTTATTTTCGTCATTTCTATAAAATATAATGTACTTGAAATTTCGGGCTCTAAAAACTGGTTTATAAAACGCTAAATTTCAATTCACTCAGTTTCCAAAACAAGCTCTCGACCAGGCATCATAGTTTTAAACATAAAACTTCTACACTAAAACCAACACCAGTTGATTGTACAAAGAAATGAATACAGGATGTAAGATGGCACTGTACTAGTCACTTTTTTCCTTCGTGCAGGACAAAACACAAATGCTTCCTTTTTTAAGAAAGTGTTCAAATTTTCAGTTTTATCATTCCATGCCAAGAATGCAATTCAATTAAAAGAATACTTTTTTGCCAAATTTTTCTCTTGGTAGCTTTTCGTTGTCAATCGTGTTGTGCGATCGATCAGGTGAGTGTAGTCCTGAAGAGGTCTGTTGTCGAAATTAGGGACTGGCCTGAGCAGAAGTCATCGTTAGAGTCAAGTGAAGAGTTGAAGTCGAACGCTACAACTTTGGTTCGTAAAACTGGTTGATCAGTGTTGTAATAGTGGCTGTCAGACTGAAATGGCGTTAGTCCGTTTATGAGTCAAAGTGAGGTAAGGTCTGTTGTCGTAATCTGTTGAAGAGTCTTTTTTGGTTGCGCAATGATCTTTTTCAGTCGTTTAAGGCAGAGCAATGTATGATTGACGTCTTGCAACGTTCCAGTCAAAATGTTGTTTGTCAGTTGGTGGTGTTTAGCAATGCGATTTTTGATACAAATTAAACAGCCAAAAATTTATGCACCTGTTCAAAGAATTCAATTCATTATTTCTTTGTCCGAGTGCCAGCTTAACGAATATCTCCTTTGTACGAAATCAAATGTGATGGAACTGTGCTACTAACTGTTAGGCAAACAAAACTGAGCGATTAGAGGCGATTTCAATTTCAACTTTCTTCAGCCAGGTTAAATCAATTTCCAATTGTTAATTTTCATATTTCAATGTAATGAGGTAAATTGCACCAAATTATCGCTCAAGGTCTGCATAACAATCCGTGTCACAAACTAGTCCAAAAATGGTGGCTATAATTGAAAACTATTGACTCACCAGGTATCCAGATTTATCCATTCCATAACAGTTGGTGAAAAGATGAAGACTTCTTGAAATAATAAGACATTTAAAGAGCCACCATTTTTGCTACTGTTACTAAAATACTTAAAAGTTCTTATCTTTGCAGTATCCACTAACAATTCAGTCATTCCTGTGTCTCCTCTTGACTAGAATCTTTGTCCTTGCATCCTTCTTACAACTTTGCTTCTCCTGAAAATATGAACAATGAATGTGATCAGGGAATGCTTTTTCTTTCGAAACAATATTAAATTTCAGCTTTGTCTAATTTTTTCTTTCCTCCATAACACAGTTATAGAAGAGAGGGAAAACACCAAAACTTATCAAAGTGTAAATCACGGCGAGGCAATCACGGCTACCGAATTATTTGAATAGAAGTAGTCACATATCCACGTGGCGTTTTCAACTAAAGAATGTCCTCCCTAAAATCTTTAATTCAGTGTTTCAGCAAAAGATAGCCATGAATTTCTCTTGAGATATTTCACATTCCTTGGTTTTTCTTTTCTCGAAGCTAAGACCCTAGTTCAATCAAGTTTCGAATTGAAGAGCCGCTCAAGATTAAGCAACTGACTTGTGTAAACTCGTTAAACTGAGATGATAAGAGTCGTTTGGCTCTTTGGAGGAATTTAAAGCAAATATTTTCTAAACGAAATGCTCACCTTCTGATGAAGTGGCTTAAGGGTGCTTTGTTACTTTGCTTTGCAGTCCAGTGTCTTATTACTTGCAGAGTACAACTTAATTTTCAGCCCTACAGACGACACGTCTTCACTCTACGACGGAAAGCGTGGTTTGCTGAAAATTCCACAAATCCTGATGAATATGGATTAACAACTGCAGCCAATAATCAGCTGCTACGTCAATGATTAGGTGCAAGGTGTTTTTTCACGCTTAAGAATTAATCGAGAATCCAGAGGAATGAGAGGCATTATGTAAGGTGAATTGACGTGTGAGATGAGGGAAAAATTAACTTTACTGCACTTTTTAGAATATTCCGTAGCAAGGAGAGAGCTCTGACGCTTTAAAAGGATTGAATGAATAAACTGTTTATTAACAACTCACAAGATAATATTCTCTTGCACCTCATCAAACTGCTGGAACTTATTTCAAAAGACGGCGCTTATTTTGACATTGCTTTGACGAATAACCTTATCCCAAGGAGAATCTAGAGAGGACGAGGGAAAGGAAGGGGAGGTGGCGGAGTCTCATTGTTCGACAATCTCCCCCCTCTCCCCCCCCCCTCCCCTATACTTCCGCACCCTTTCCTTCCTTCTCTTTTTCGCGTCGACGAAATCTGAGGAAACGTGGAAAAGCTGTAGCTATTATTCCGCCTAAACGTGTTGGCAATGTGTGTTTATTTAGCAAAATTCCCAAAGTGATGATAGCGTTAAAACTTACTCAAATATAAAGACATTTAAAGAGTCACCCTGCGCGAGGTGTTGATAATACAGAGGTACTCTGTGAAAATCACCAAAATAATTCTACTAAAACATACGGTAACACTCCTCAGGCTTGGAGGATATTTTGAATGACGCCCTCGACCTCATCACGAGGATTTGAATAATAAGATCGTCAACAATCCTCGGTCGCGCGCGATTGGTTTGAATGCGTCACGTGACCGTAAATGCCGAGAACCTTACAGGATAAAAATCTACTTGAAAGTTCCTTCAAGACGGGAGATCAGAGTGTGTCATTATTGTTAGAAAAAACGTATTTTTTCATCTGAAATCTCGACATCCGTTCTTGACTTCAAAATGTGCTCGTATGTTTGTCCTTGGAAATTATCCGTACCTCAAAGTTCGCAGTTTACAGGGTGAAGCATGCATAATACGTTCGCTTTTCAGAATGGATAATATTCGCTGATAAATGTGCGAGCGTATTTTCGCATCAAATTGAAGCTATTGATCATAATATTACATCGTCTTGCAAAATTAATTGTTCCTTTACCTGACCTTTTACACCCAAACCCTCCATACTGTTCTTCATACATTTCCTAAGGTGCTGACAAGGAGAATTTGTTTAGCAATCAAGAGCTTCTTTGGTGATCATCACCTTTTTTCTTGTGAATTTAATGTGTGGTTCGAGTCGATATTGTAAGGAGAATTTAATGCTAGTCACTCTAAGGGGTCAGAGGATTAATGCCTTGCGAAATTTGCCGACCATGACAAGAGAGAACACTAGCCATTTCATATGTTGGCTCATGAAAATACTTTCCAATTTTCCAACTGATCCTATCAAGAGGTCTCACCCGTTTTAAGGCGGAATGAATTGTAGCTGATATTATGTACTATGAGATAAAAGGATCGAATCTTAAAACTTTGTCTCATATTTCAACATGAAAATTCACTCCTTCTAAAAACCGAGAAGTTGAGTACAAATAGCTAGACATAGTGCGAACCTAATGCGCATCATCCAGACGCAAAGAGTACTTCAACACCACCAGCACCATCATATTAAACTTTTTTTAATAATTTTTTCTCTTTACCTTACAATAATCATACTTAGAACCTCGGTTTAAAATACTTCCGAAGAGCTAAGAGTAAAATTATGGCTATTGCAGAAACAGCTATCGTGAAATATTTTCAGCACGTGAACATGCGCTACAAAACTTTCGATTCTGAAATGAAACAAAAACTACTTACTAAGAGGTTTGAAAGTGAACCAAGCAATTTGTTAGCTCCTTGGCTCAATTAATTATTCCTTTACAAACTTAAGTTATTATTATTGTACTACAAAAAGTGATCAGTTTTACTAAGAAAAGAACACATACAAAACTTGTTTAAAAAAAATTTTGGTAGGAGACCAAATTTCTTAGTAACTTAGGCTGATTACCTCTTCAACGACACCCATATCATCTCCTTCTTTTCATCAGTACAAAGCAAAGCCATCTACCACAGGATACAAATGGCTAGATTTTACAAATGTGGTTTACTTTAAGTTCAAAGTAATTAAAAAAGTGACTAGTGATTAATTATGGAACTACGCGATTTGCTCACGTTATCATTGCTTGATGAAAGATGCATTCACTTAATGTTTTCCAATTTTAAAACCCAGGCCCATTTAGAAGGGATCTTGTTAACAGCAATGGGAGGGAAAACAATCACCATGCCACCCTTTTCACCGGCAGGCTCCCAAAGAAATTTTCCATCATAACCTAACATTGTTACGTGAGTGTCTGCAGTGGAAACTGGAGCTCCGAGATTCAGGTGATCCGAAGAGGGCCACTCAAGAACAATGGCATACACAGTCTCATTTTTTAACGTGTACCTAGTGATTAAAAAAAAAATTTATTCAATAAAGGTATTCCATGATACTTTATACAGAAGCAACATTAAATACACTGATTTTTTCATCTCTAATACAGTGAAAGTTAACCCCCCAAAAAAATACAACCAAACAATCTAAAATTTAAATGAAACCCAAGTTGGCACACATCACCCCGTAAAAAATTGCTAAAAAGTTATCTTTGTGTCTCTTAACCCTTCTACTCCCACGTATGACCGAGACAGAATTTCCCCTTACAATATCAATACAATATCAATACAATATCAACCAGATAAGTGATGAGAATAAAGAAAAATATCAATTTGAGGATAATTAGTTGATTCAGTACTAAATTCTCTGAAGTAACATCATAAGAATTGTGTGGTTGACAGTAAGGAAAATTACAAATTTGATCTGGGAGTTAAAGAGTTAACCCTTTACTCCCTAACATGAGCATCCATTTTCACCATACTCTTCTCTATACATTTCCTTTGTACTGACGAGGAGAATTTGTTTAACAATCAAAGCTTCCTAAGGTAGGTGATCATTTCCTTTATTCTTATAAACTTAATGAATGATTCAGCACTGTTACTGAAAGGAGAAATTAGATGCTGGTCACCCTTTGGGTCTAAGAGGTTTATGTGTTGATAAAAAAGGGACATGAACATGTTAGAGTGCAAGACCAGAAGCCCACTTGAGCATAACAACTGAGAGTTTATTTACTATCAGCATCACTTCCATGTTGTCTAAGCTTACCATACATCCTTGTTAACGGTGTCATTCTGAGCTCTCCAAGGTTTGGTGCCATAAATAGCTTCACCATTTATAGACAGCCATTCTCCCATCTGAAGCAATCTCTCCTCAAAAGCAGGTATAATGCGACCATCTGCAGTTGGGCCAACATTCAACAACATGTTCCCTCCACAACTAAAACAAAGGATGGAAAAACTTGAGAGGAAAGCTAATCCAAATTAACAATGACATAGAGCAAATTGTGAATGAAGAATTCTAAAAGAGGGTGTTCTTCTTTTAAACAAGATAAAGAAGGCCTCTCTTCCAATGCTTCTTCTTAAACTCAAACTGTGCAATTACAGACCACACAGACTACAACTATCACATGGTTTACTAACAGTACAGAATTATGATCAGATTGTGTGGAATCTTTTTGTGCAAGTAAAAATTCTTTTTATAACTAATGCTTGACAAGTTACTGCTGTGAAATCTAAAGTGCAAAAGGACCTTGCTGTAGACCCTTACCTAACAGTTGATGCCAACTGATATAAGAGTTCATTGATGGTCAAATAGGAGCCAATGTCTACATTACGTCTGTAGCCCCAAGATCCTTTGTCCACTGTCAGTGCATTCTCCCATTTGTGGTTTTGCAATTTGCCTTTGTTAAAATAAAAATTCACCAACACAGTCAACTGTTGATTGTGTTAACCTGTTAACACAGTCATCTCTTGAATGAAATCCAAGCTACACCACTTATGATGTTTAGAAAATCGCTGAAATCAGTATCAACCCACTGTGTCAACTATAAAACCCTAATACCACAAACTGCCAAAGGACAGTGAAAATATGTAACAAATTGATTCTTACAAGTAAATTGCCATTAGAATTTCTTAAAGCTGAGTGGATACATTAATCCATGCAGGAAAACTGTAATTAAAGAAATTGGAAGAGGGCTTTAAGAAGTGGCTTCAAAATAATTAATGGGTGCTAATACCAACAGGGCAAGGTGGCCACCATGCCATACAAAAATTAAATCATATTCAGCAAACAACAGTATATTTGATAAAACAATATTACAATTCACCTGGATTGTAGCGGTCATGACAAGTGTACACCCCACCATGATGGCAGAGACATCCATTGTCACACCATCGATCATTTGTCACAACAGTATCTTTAACAGGACTTGTAAATAGACAAGAAAAGGTCAGATGTCAGAAGACTATTCTATCATACTTTAACCCTTTAACTTCCAAGATTGGTTTGTAAATTCTCCCCTCTAACTGCTACACATTTCCTTGCAAATTGTTTACAAGAATTTGGTGTTAGTTCAAGATAACAACTCCAACCTGATGCATTTGAGTATTCCCATTGATGTATAATGTGTGGACATTTTAGCAAGAACTTAAATGTTAATCACTTCTGGGAGTTTAAGGCTGCACCCTTAACCCTTTCACTCCCAAGGTCTAATTAGTAATTCTCCTTACTATCTGCCATACAATTCTTATGATGTTAGTCCAGAGAATTTGGTGTTGGATCAACTAATAATCCCATAATTGATATTCTTCTCTATTCTCGTCACCTACCTGCTTAAAATTGTATTGATATTGTAAGGAGAAATTCTCTCTTGGTCACTTGTGGGAGTGAAAGGGTTAACACAACAAAGATCATTACATTACTATTCTTCATACATGTAGTAGCCAAAAATATGGTTTTCAAATCCCTTTTGAAACTTTTCCCTAATATTAATAAGATTTCCCCAACAAATAAATAAGAAGTGTTCCATAATCACTGTAGATGTTTCTAGCCCTCCCTTACTTCAATCCTTTCCACATTTATGAATATCCGATAAAAACTTCCCAGTAAAACATCCACATCAAGGCCTAATTCACAAAACTGTTAAGACTGAGAGAGTGAAAACAAAATTTGCCTTCTTCTCAAAGGACTAAACTGTTGAGATCAAGCCTGAAAGGAAATGATTATAAAAGCCAAATATGAATGGTAACTTTAATTTTCCTTGGATTCCAAAAATCTCACCTTTCCATCCTAGTCCTTCAAAAAAAAGATTCCTTTCCCTACCAAATTACAGAACTGTAGCAACCATACTGCTGTTTCATTATAAATGGCTGATGCTTACAAAGGATTTCTTAATAACTAAAAGTATCACATTAGAATCGTATCTTTTGAAGTCAATTCAAAGTATCATCTTTACCTCTCATTATAAAGCCAGGCAAGAAACTTTGTGCTCTCCCAGTAAGTGTCAGGTCCACTTGAACCATCTGACCATAAATATTCAGGTTTATATGTGTTAATCAGGTCATACAACTCTGGCATCAGAATTTGCTGAAAAAAAAGAAAAAAAAAAACAGGATAAGATAATTGATTCTACAACAGCTCGAGTATTGTACTGGTAATTTCTTCTACATAAACTCAACAATTTCACTCTTTTGAAATACTGCCACAAGTGAACCTCTTCACTGAATTTATTACAACTTTTGAATAAACTTGATTGATGTTTCAAGAGCCTGAAAGGAATTCATCTATAAACTATTGTGAAAAGATTTACCCTTTGTTGTGCATATAGTAAATAACTTCTTGTTAATGCATTAACAAGAAGTTATTTACTATATTATCATCAGACTTACTTAAATGTGTTCCATAAGGCAATTTACATGTCATTATACTTTGCCCTTCATTCTTGCTTTTTTTTTTTGCATTCTTGTTACAATTATCAGCTTGTTTCACACCTTCCTAGCTGGCTCTTCTTCAACGTTCTAGTATCACTGGTACATTTGATAATGGTCTTGTAATATGAACTGAATTTTATGTTTTGATTCTTTGTTGTGTAGTTCTTGCTTACACTCATGCTTAAGTTGGCAAGATTTTCTACAGAGTTGTTGGTAAAGGATTTTTGTTTTTAAATCAACTACAGATTTGTTTATCTGAGTGAATTCCATTAAAACCTGGTTGGCTAGTTGACCAGAATGACTTGATGTAAAAACATATTGGGTATTCAAATGTAAGAGACAGCAGGACAAAAAGGATCATGTATCAATATACCTCTACATAATCCTGTGTCTCAAAGTGGTTGGCACGATCCTTCAAATAGAGAGGATTGAACCATTCAAAGAGTGAATGATACAATCCAAATGTGATGTCTGTTCTATTTCTTATGGCTGTTGCCAGTTCCCCTGAAAATGAAAAATAAAGAGGAGTTCTAATAATCTTTACTTCCACACACACGCACGTATTTAGCCTTTAAATTTTCCCTACCCACAAGATCCCTGTGTGGACCATTGTCAACAGAGTTCCAGTTCCATGATACATTTGATCTCCAGTTTGTCCAACCTTCATGATGTTTACTGGTCAGGACTACATATCTGAGAAAAAGGTTGAACAAAATAATGTACTCTCTTGATTTACCAAACTGACCACTGAGACAAACAATTGATCTGGCAGACATTGAAGGATAATGATGATATTTAAAAAAACCCAATTTAGATAATCAGGGATTAGGAAGGCCGTGCGCCATGCGCGTATGACGCATAAAGCTACGAAATGGTCCATTATAAAAATACTTACCGGGCCTGTGATGCGCCCTGACCGCACAAAGCTAGTGAAATATAAACTATTTTGTGAAAAGGAATTTAATTTGTAAAAGTTTCACTTTGGTGAGACATAAACAAGCGAAAAACTACGGTGCCTTCACTCATTTGATCACGCTTGCTTCATTCTTGTTCCCAGATCCTGAACTCGGACTTTGCATGCAAACGAGGCTATATATATACCTATATATATATAGGTATAGACTGTAATACACAAGCAATAAACGTTTGTTAAAATTTTTACTGGCCCATTTATTTACCCTAATGGCCCAAACGTTTTATAAATGGCCCATAACTTTCCAATGATAGGGGCCATAGGCTCATTTGCCTGTTAAACCTTCCTAATCCCTGATAATTGTTTTATATTTCAACTATAAGTGTTACACTCCACTTTTTTCATAACTTTTCATGAACCCTTTGATCCCTGAGAGTGACTAGCATCTAATTTCTCCTCACATTATCACCTGTGAACCACATGTTAAAGTCATGATGATTGTTACACAAATTCTCCTTGTCAGCACTTTAGGAAATGTATAAAGAACAGTATGGAGAATATGCATACTGATGTTAAGGTGTAAAGGGTTAAGAGAAATCACCTTCTGCCAGCTTGGGGAAGCTATCAGCCATTTTTCACAAATGAGAACAGATACAACTATGGCTGAAAAACACATCATTTGCAGTACAGCACAGTGGGCATTGAGCACAAGCATATCACTCTATGTAGAAACTGAGTTATATGCAAATACATAGTGGGGTTTGTGATCTTTTCTTTTGTGACCTTGATGTATGATTCTTTTTGTATTTGTATTTTTGTATTTTTTGTTTCCTCCATTTCAACAATAGACAACCTTTTGAAAAATTATAAAGGAGAGAGAAAATGGAGAAAGGTATAATGTAGCAAGCAAATTAGATGCCCTTTACTTTAAATTGAATTTTTCACACAGTAACACACAAGCAGAAATGAGAGGGAAAGAAGAATCACAGCTTAAAAAAACAGATATTTAAATAGTACATAGTCAAAAGAATACACTGATCAATGCTGAGATAAAACATGAAAAGTGCTCTCTTAAATAGTTTGCTAATAGGCTTCTCTCATATATATATAAATGTGGGGGTAAGAATTAAAGAGGACACATCAATTCTCTGTGACTGAGTTTCGTACCTAAGCACTCATCAGACAGGCGCAAAACTCAGAGTCACAGAGAATCGATGAGTCCTCTTTAATTCTTTAACTTGTATATATATATATATATATATATATATATATATGAATGTCATTTAAAATAGCATCCAATAACTGTTGGACAGAATCTCCTAATTTTTACTCTGAAGTTGCTAGGGTTTAAGAGCTGCAAGATGTACTTCTAGTGGTATAATCATGGTTCTCAGAGACAAAAGACAGTGTGAAGTTGGATGGTTTTTTTAATCTACAATATGATGATAAATAGTTGACAGTTGACACATACTCTGTGTGACTAAAGGGAGTTTTGTAATCTTAGGAGGAAGTAGTCATGCTAGTCGCTCTTAGTAGTTAGAAGTATAAAACAAATCATGAATTGTCCATTCCCACCTTGCACCAGACTTTGTTAAAAGATCTGCCCAAGAGTCTGGATCAAAGAATTCTGCATGAAACATTGGGGCAAAGTCTTGATACTCAAAGTCAGGTGGATAGTTATTCTTCATGAATTCCACAAAACTTGGATCCTGGTCATGTTTCCATCTGTACCAGAACCACTCTGTTCCAAAACTTGGTACTGAGTACACTCCCCAGTGCATGAATATACCAAACTTGGCCTCATCGTACCAAGGGGGAAGGGGACGAGAGTCTAGTGATTCCCATGTTGGATCATATTTACTTGCCACAAGGGTGAGGAGGGATAGGGTGAAAATGACTTGTGCGGATCTCATCTCCAAGTGACAAGAAAGTCTGCAACACTGCAACAAAACATGAATTGCAATTGAGTATTCTAAAAATAACCCAACAATATAATTATTTGTAATTGTCATTTATTCTCCCTCATATGGGAGTAGTGTAGACACCTCTCTGCTTAAACTGTCTTCCACTACCGATAACATAATAAGCTGAGATGCTTATGCAATTTAATAAGTCACCATTAACAACATTTCTATCTTTCATTATACAAAACAAATAGCATCCCTGTTACAAGTGGTCTGTACAATAGTATATCATAGAAAATGAAAAATGCGGTAAGGACATCAGAGATACACACTACTTAATCTGTGATCTATTATGTAATAATGCACAGTTACATAGAATCTATTTGTTAAATAATGTTTCAATCAGGTTGCATTGGTTGAGTTGTATCAAGAGAGGAGGTGACATGGATGTGCCTGGTTGCAAAACAAGAGCATTAATAGACCCTTGCCTATTTCACCATTTCCAAATGGAATCCCACTCAAGTGTTATGCAGCTTACATCTAACGTAACAGTTTTTTTTCCTATCTATTCAGCTGTTTTATCGTTTCTTTCTCATCTCATAGCAATAAAAAAATGACAGCTTGAAAATCAAAATGTCAGGGCCCAACTTATTTAAGCACACAAGACAGACGGAAAGTTCAAAGTCTTCTTGCACATAATCAGCTTCATCTGAAATATTAGTATTCGTAAAGGACCAAATAGACAATCAGGAGCAGGGGTGTCCTTGACAAATCCTTCCTTAGTCTATCATATTACATCCTTTGCGAGGAGAAATGTACAACATTCACAGGCAAGAACAAATTTAAAAAACAAAAAACATTTTCTGCGCAATAAGCAATTACTACGCTGCAATATACTCCACAGGACGAATGCATGTGCTAATCATGTGATTGGCAAATGAAAGAAACTTTCTAGCCCTTACAACAGTCCCAATCATTTAGACATGTGTCCGAAGAGAGGTGTAGTTAGAAAAAGTTGTGAAAGAGCAGAGATTGGTAATTATTTTCAGATGAAACCTTTTCTTCTCAAATTTTTCAAAACACTGGTTTCAATATGAGAGAAGATTCTGGGTGAAACTTGTTATAAACAACGATGCTGTCCTCACTTCAAGTTGTTGTGTATCACTGATCGCACGCAGATCATTTCGGGATAATTCACTATTATAGTCTTTCGTATCAATGAAAACCTCATATGATCCATATAACTCAGCATTACTTACCAGATTAAACTAAAAGTTATTCACAGCGTTGCAGCACTGTCTGCATGTTCAGTACACTCATGTAATGTGACACACAGTGGCCAAGCAGAGGGGGATTTCGTCTGCGCATGCGCTTATAAAATTTGTTCGGCGCGTTCGGCATTATTCTGATGTTCTCAGCGCTCTTCCTGAGTTACGAAAACAAAGACCTAAGACTCCCTACGAAAACGTCTCGTTTTAGCTCTAAAGTAGTCCCATTGAAGGCTCCATGAGGCTCTACTGTTGAAATATTCCGTAATAAATTACAGACGTGCCAAATTCAGAATTCAAGATTTCCGTAGGGATCTTCGTTTTCGTAATGTGCCTCATGAACATAATCTTTGTCCACAAAGGTAATACCAACCTCTTTTGAACTTGTTTTAGTAATGTGTTTTCGTTTTCGTGATGGGTCTTAGTTTTCGTAGGGGGTCTTCGTTTTCGTAATGGTCTTCGTTTTCGTAGGGGGTCTTAGGTCTTCGTTTTCGTAACTACCGCGCTCTTCCGCGGATTTTCAACTGCGCGATCGACACCTTTTTGTAAAATTTTTTGGAGAGGAATGAAAGAGTATGACAAGTTTACCACCATTTCTAACTCTGTGGATACTCGTGGAGTTTGAGGATACTGATATCGATCCGGATATTTTAATAATCAAAGTGCGAACAAAACGCGAAAAAAAGGCCGAAAACTTGAAATTTGAGATTTGATTTACGGACGATCAAGATGTGCACATGAGACAACAAACCTTGAAGATTAGTCCTAAGATGTTGATGTCTTACTTCTGTGAATCACGAAGTTGTATGTGGAGACGATCGTGAGATATTCGTTACGATAATAGAAGGTAATTTAGAATTTGATCTTATTTTACCTCAACTTTGAAATAAAATCAAAGAAGGGAATCGTGCTTAACTTCTCTGAATGGGGGAGGAAAGAGACTTTCGAACTGGATGACTCTGAAGGCACAGGGGGCTGAGTGCGAGTAGCCACAGAACCGAAGAGTTCTCTTAATACCAGAAAATACTTGTCCAAACAAAGGTCTGTGGTTGACTATATTCACAATTTAGGAGACAGCGTCTGTTACACAGCTTATAACGTAAAGTTCTAGACTATTCCTGAATATTCCGGAATGTGCTCTATCGTGCCTAACCATGCAAATGTCCATTTCTTTCTGGAATAAAAATCCAGATAAAAGTAATGAAATCTTAAAGAATGATCTAGATTGTTTACCATATATACAAAAGTGAAGTTCGCATGAACCTGTAATCGATAAGCTGTCATTAAAGCTATCATTTGTGACTTCTACAAGAACTGGACTGGGCCACTCAGGACTACACCCAATCAGGCCTATAGACTAAGCTTGGTTGAAGGCGTACGAAGATGAGTAAAAGAGGGGCCCTCCCATTTCAAAGTGTTGTCGCTTTGCGCTCCCCTATTTCTCTTCTTTGTAAGCCTACCAAGCAGCCGCAGCTCAACGTTTGAAGAAACGGCCTCATGAGGAAACGGCTTCTAGTTTAGGACAGGACAGCCTCGGACCGGATTGGACTAGTTCAGTGGACAGGCCTAAATTCCCGCAGCTAAGTGTTGTATTGGACAGCGATCAGATATTAGCGTAAGTTCCACAAGTTCAAATCCTACTAAAGCAGATCCAAATGATGCGAAATTTAGACTGACATTGACAGGGTTAGGAGACTTTATATTTAAATCATTTTGGACAAGTTTTGGACTTGTTTCTTTATTGGGTAACACAATGGCACGTCTGTTTGTTTTACTTGTGCGTATACAACAAACCATTCCTAGAGTATAGACAACGAGTATCGGATGCGAGAAGGCTATGGGGTTTCCACTGCTAGTAATAAACTCACCTAGAAAAAAAAAATCACATAAAACGTTTTCAGAATCCAAGTATACAGTCCCAAGAGGAAAACAGTTCTAGACTCAAGAAAAACAAGATTAATTTATTATCCCAGTCGGGTTGACACTTTCTGTGTTTGGCACAGTTCCAACGTCGTTACCCATTACAATATGTCCATCTCTTTAGCTACTTTATTAGAGGTATCACCTCTAAGGGTTAGTACAGGTACTTATTTTTAAGCGATCTGAACGTCCCATATTGGCGCTAAGTTATGAAAAACAGTCTTTCGTATTAGCACTTAATCTCAACAGTAACTGATCTATACGAATAAATGAACGCCGTGATGAGAGCTCAGCCCGAGGAACTACCGCTCCATACATGCTGACAGTTGAGTGAAATTAAAACATCTTCACGATCGCCTCTATCATCTTGCCGATACCATCGTGTATCTCATGAACTTTTGTCTCACACATGAATGCTGGGGTTGTAACAACTTTGTTCTGTTGGTCCACATGAATTTCGTGCAAGCAGTTAAGGAAAAGCACCAACACCTTCAATCTCGGTGCAGCAAAAAATGAGGAATCTAAACATCCTTATGACTGTTGTGGTCCATTGTTTATGTAAAGTACGCTTACAAATATTTTAAATTACTTAAATCTGAACAAATAATAATCCCTTTTTCGCCGGGTTATCTTAACTTTTTTAAACCCTTTCTGCTTGAGAATGATTAGTAAAGAACAGAGCTAGACTGTTTCAAAATAAGAACCTCATTAAAATCACGTACGTTAACACTCGTTATTATGTAGAAAGATTTATATGGAAATTTCTTAAATCAAACAGGGCATTTCTGATATCGTGATGATGGCAGACTGAAACAGTGTTTATGGTGTTATTCACTGACTTCCATTGAGTCGCTCACTCTGTTCCGTGTTTCATAGTTACGTTAGTTACTCCTAGACTCTGTTCTGATGTTTGATTTTAAAGTTTATGGCTGGCGCACGTTGCCCTCTGTTTTCTCTATGATTGCCACGATAGTGACGGGTACATTCCGTTTTGAGTTACAAATTGTTACATAGGCAAATCTCGCACCCTTCCTTGTGTGATAGTCACTCGCGCATTCTGTTTTCTGTTTGACTGTTACGTACGCGTGTGACTTTTGTTTGATTGCTTCGACTGCTGTGAGATTGTTACGTTGGTTCCGTGCGCAATCTGTTTTGCGTATGATTGTTACGTTGTAACTTACGCGATCTGTTTTGTATATGATTGCTACGTTGGTAACTCGCAAAATCTTTTTTCAGTGCGATCGTTACGTTGGTCATTACCTTTACGTTGTAAATAGCGCAATCTGTTTTCTGTGTAATTGTTGCGCTGGTAACTAGCACATTCTGTTTTCTGTGTGATTATTACTCTAGTAACTAGCACACTCTGTTTTCTGTGTGATTGTAACATTGGTAACTCGTGCATTCTGTTTTTTGTGTGATTGTTACGTTGGTAACGTGCATTCTGTTTTCTGTGTGATTATTACGCTAGTAACTAGCACATTCTGTTTCTGTGTGATTGTTACCTTTGCTCCTTGCGCATTCTACGTCTGTAACTCGCGCATTCTCTTTACCGTGTGATAGTTACTTTTGTAACTTGCACATTCTGTTTTATGTGTGATTGTTACGCTTGTTAATCGTGCATTCTGTTTCTGTGTAATTGTCTCGTAAGTAATCTGCACTCTGTTTCCTGTTTGATTGTTACGTGAGTGACTCGCGCATACTATTTTTTGATTAATTGCTTCGATTGCCGTGTTATTGTTACGTTTGTATCTAGTACATTCTTTCTTCTGTGTGATTGTTATGTAGTTAATTCGTGCACTCTGCTTCTGTTTGATTGTTACGTTAGTACAGTGTAAGTCGCGTTTTCTGTTTTCTGTTTGATTGTTTGGTGCGTAACTCGCGCATTCTGTCTTTTTATCGGATAGTTAGGTTGAGCTTATCTGTTTGATTTTTAAAAGGGAGTAACTTTCCAAAGAAACTGTGGCGCTGCGTCGGTGAGAGAGTATAACAAGGTAATTTAGTATTATCAACTGAGTTGATGACGTAAATTGGCCACCGTAAGGAGTCTGAAAGCTGACTTTTCGAGTGTTAGCCCTTCGTCAGAGCGATTGTCTGATTGTTAGTTTGATGACTCGCACTCTCTGCTTAACGTTTTGTTGTCACCTGAGCGACATGCACACTTTGTCATGTGTCTGATGATTACGTTAGTAACCGAGTCTCGCACACCGTTTGGGATTTGATTGTGACATTATTGACTCGCACATTCTCTTTTTGTTGCATTGTTACACGCATCACCCTAGGATTAGAACCAAAGCAACACAATTTAAAAGGATATGTCGACATTTTTGTTTATGTGTTTTGCTCCCATCTGTTGCACAGCATCTGCAGTACCCGCATATGGCCAGCGGCCTCCATCGTCCTTGTCCTGTCCTACTGTTATCTCAACACCCGGGATGAGCTGACATTGATAAATATTCCATGTCAGATATCAATTTTAAGAGATGTAACGAACCTGCCAACTTACTTCGATCAATTTTTTTTTATCTAAAAGGAGATTAGAATCTACAAATAGCAATGCAAAATTGTTGAAATTAATTTTAAATATAACAATGTGTTAGGGACTAAACTAACCTTGGCTGCCAACACTGGAGAAATGCAACAAAGACTGAAATGAAACAAGATGACAACATTTTTGATATGCAATTGTTGTTTTGGTTGCTTTTCATCTTTGGCACAAAATTGTACTATTGATCTTAAGGAATGCAGGAACAAGTCAAGTTTTATTTAAGGTAAAATTAGGTTAGAAATGGTGCTCTTTTGCTGTAAAATTATTTGGTTATTCGTTTTAGAACATTTCTGACATTTGGTCAAATGGAGAGAATCTTTAGTATTACATCATATAAGACATATACATTAAATTTAAAATGAAATAAATGTCATTGACTTGCAGATTGAAATGAAATAAAGCCATGATTGTCACAGGTGAACTGCAATTTAAGCAACTGCAGAAAAGAAGCCTGAAAAAATTCTGGCCTCAACAGGATTTGAACCTGTGCCTTCCTGATACTAGTTGGGTGTTACTACCAACTGAGCTACTGATCCAGCCACATGTTGGAAGCTATGCATACAGAGCTGGATAAAGGGGGTAAGTTTCTAAAGAAACTGTGGTGCTGCTTCAGTAAGAGGGTATAACAGGGTAAATTAGTATTATCAACTGAGTTGATAATGTAAATTGGCCACCATAAAGAGTCTAAAAGCTGATGTTTCAAGCCCTTTGCCAGAGCAATTGACGAAGGGCTAATGCTCAAAACGTCAGCTTTTAGACTCTTTACGGTGGCCAATTTACATTATCAACTCAGCTGATAATACTAATTTACCCTGTTATACAGAGTTAGAGCATAACATGTCATAAATCTGAGACAGCCATCAGGCCACAAGAACTGACCTCTCCTACTGATGTGAGATCAGAATAGAATAAAAAATATAATTTACACAATTCAGTTGTGCTCTCACCCAATAGGTTTTTTGGCAGCATGAAAATCATTGATACATTTTGCAACTTCTTCATTAACTGTGCAGCCTGCACCATCCACAGCAAAGGAACTCCTGATAAAAATACAAACACTGCATATTATCTGTTTTGTTCAAAAATAAAAATTAATTATCATTACTACTAATATAAGTTAATTATTATAAAACATCTTTCCCACCTAGGAGCTTCAGCACCCTAATAGTTAGCTTACAACTCCATACTCTCCTTATGCTTCACTAGACATTTCCTTTGGTATTGACAAGGAGAATTCATTTAACAATCAGAGCTTCTTAGGTGATTTGTTAATAAAATATTACCTTTGAATATTTGTTTTAAATAAAAAATGGAATTCATCTCATGAATCTTTTCCTCCGGATGTTGCAGTGAAAAATATGAAAAATCTATAATCATCAGTCTCTGGACTTACAAATTCTTTGCTGCTCCAAATCCTCCTGGAAAAATGACAGCATCATGGGAAGCAGCATCGAGATTGGCAAGAGGAGCGATCTTTCCTCTAGCTATTCTGGCAGACTCAACTAGAACATTCCTGAAATCAAAAATTGTCATTAAGCTATTAACCCTTTAACTCCCATTGATGATCAAGACACAATTTCCCCTTACAGTATCAATACTATATCAAGTAGACAAGTGATAGGAATAAAGAAAAATATCAACTAGGGGAATATAAGTTGATTCGATACCAAATTCTCCAAACTTACATCATAAGAATTGTATGGCAGACAGTAAGGAGAATTACTATTAAGTTCTTGGAATTGAAGGGGTTTATAAAAAGCTAACAAGTGATGCTTACTGAAACTGATCAATACAAAGCACTTTCAGTCTTAATTCCTTTTCTGGTTCCTTTACATCACCCATAATTTAGAATAATACATTGATTCTACCAAGACTGAGGAGATATTCTGAGTTTTTATTGTTTAAATTTAACTGTTCTTAGAAAGACGTCCAAACAAGAAAATTTTAACAACAAAAAGCCAAAAAGCTGGGGAAACTACATGTCAACTTGAATCAACTAACTGGTGCAAATATTAAGATTTGATACAAACTGTCAAAATAAATTTATCAAAAGCTATCTCAAGAACTAATATGTTACCATATGCCTTTTGAAAAATTTATTTGTGAAACAATTTCTCCAACTTATTTTCTCTTCCCTTCTTTATTCAATATTCTTCACTTATCACAATCATGTGATAAGTTAGTAATCTGTTACCGTGTCTCATTCTCCATTACATCTCCTTTAGCATGATTCAATACATGCATCTGTGGAATATCTGGTGCATACATGCTCACATCAGCCCCAGCTCGGCTCAGGTGGACCAGTACCCTTATGTTAAGAGAGAGAAATATTGTATTAAATCACCTGGAACAGTGCATCTACAAAAACTGGGGCCACCCAGACCACCAAACCAAGTACAGGACAGAATTGAAACAACAGAGTTTACCTCCAATTTAGCCATTCCAAAAATGCCCTGACAATATTGCACCTAACCTTTATTGTTACATAATAACTATGACAACTAAACAACCCAGGGTTTTCAAGAGATTTCAAAATGGTACAAATCTATGGGTTAGATTTCATGAAAATGGTACAGGTTATAATTGCGCAGTAAGCTGGTCGGTGGTTTACAGCATAGATTGGCTTTATATATTTAATATATATTATTCATATTCAAAAATGGTCTAATACGTAAATTATCTACAATTGGCAACAAATTGGTGACACATTGACCTTTTGGACCCCCCCCCCCCAGTACTTTAATGTTATCTCTTTTGCCCTCAAGTAAGTTAACCTATTCATCCCCTCCCTCCCAAAAATATTGGATTGTGATTCCAGGAACTCTTACAGAAGTTACATACAGGCAACCTTGAATGGATAAGAGAGGGTTTAGATCAATGATTCATGGCATGGTGTTAATAATAACAACAGTGGTGTTATTCAATGATTCATGGCATGGTATTGACAATAAGTCAACAGTGGTGTTATGCAACACATAAATGATAAAAAGAACTGTTCAAATGAGATTTGCCAGCTACTTTTGATGCAGATTATTGATCTTCAGGGAAAATTTTCATTATTCTCTAATACATAGCAGAAGACTTACGCTGAAGCCTCATGAACTTCTGCACCATCAAAAACTCCATTCCCAGATAGCACCTATAAAATGCATGAAACAGTAAATTTTTTCTTGAAAAAGAGTTTGTCATCTGTGATCTATAACTGAATATATAATAAGTTGAATTATGCATACATTTTTATTGGTTCTTATTAATGATTTAGTGGAGTACATATGCACAGATGCCTCACCATCAACATTTTTATTTTTATCATAAAAAACAAATAGAATCCAAGTTGTGGTAAGAAAATAAATGTAGCACACAAGATCCAGCTGAGTATGTCACAGATCTAAAACTGAGCAGACATTATGCATGGTAACCCGAAATCAATTTGCAAAACAGATGCAAAGCACAAGGAATCTATTTGGTTAACTTTATTGTGAAAGCATTTATCTTTGATAGAAATGGAACCTTTGAAAAAGAAAGAAAAAAGGTGTGCAATTTATTCACTATATGATATATAGGTACAGTTATAACAACCAATGAAATCACTGATCAGTAAAGACGCAACAATAATAAACATAGCGAAAATAAGTTGATAATGCCAATCAAAAACGATAAATACCTCACAGTTGACTGAGTATTATAATTAAGTTTTTACTATTGGTCCAACGATATTTTATATACATATACTATTTTTTAAGAGATAAAAAAAATTGCACAAAATGATTGATTTTCGTGTTTTCTTTGAGGTCCACTTAATTTACGCTGTTTATGATTCTTTCAAAATTCAAAATTCATTGTACTAACCACAGCAACTGATGCACGAGACGTTGAACCCGTGGAAAATGCACAATACGCTTGAAAAGATCGACATCTTGCTAAAGATCGCATCGCAGATAGACCATATGCAGCCATCTTGATTGAAGGGTCATGCAAAATGTAACAGGCGTTGATAACAAATACCGATAAATCCTGGTTACGATTCTATGAGCCCGCCATCTCATCGCCCTCGTCAAAAAATTAAAGATGGCGGCCACTAGGGTACCGAGAGTGTTCTGTGGATCTCCACTGATTTCGCTAGCACTGAAAAACACAAATAACTTTTTAGCCCCTCTGCGTTCGTTTACAGCCGTCTTAAGCCACAGTTTCCACGTAAGCACGTCAGGTAAACGTGATGAATGCGTTCTTATTTTCATTTTCAAGTGATGCATTGTAGCTAACGCTTAACTCTTAAATATAAGGCCACTTAGTTATGTCTCTTTGATTCATCGAATCATATTAGCTGAAAATGGTTTTTCATTGCAGATAGCAAACAGTATCACAACACCCGGAGAAAAAGGATGCTTCGCCGGTTTAAATTGAACCAGTTACAGGCGAAACTAGAGGTATGTGTATGACAGGACAAGCATGGAATTTTTTCAGTTGCACTTCTGTTGATAGTATACCGCATTATTCCTTAGTTTTGTTACATCTCGCCTGGTTTATTTTCGTTTCGTTTCGCAAAATAGAATAAGCCACTTCTGTTCTTAGTAGATAGTTTGAGGAAACCTTTAATTTTATGTCTGGCTCACAAGGAAACCAGTCCACTGACAACTGTTTCTCCTGGAATGATTGTTTTAAAGCTTACAAATTACGACCAGTGTGGAGTAGTTGATGACTTGCTTACAAATTGGTGGTTGTCAACTATAAGTTTAGTTAATGAAGTTGGGTAAACCACAGTACAAGTTTGATACAGCTGGTCTCACATGCATTAGTCGTTTGTTGGCACCAATTGCTACTTGCTCCAAGAAAGGGATGACACTAAAAACAGCAGATTTTGAGAACGAGCTAATTTGCCTTACCAACCTCTACAAACTTACAATATTATTTGACAATCAACCAAAGCTGCACAGAACTTCATAACAAAGAAATGCCTTAGGTGATAAAATATTTTAATGTGATCTTGAACATGAGTGATAAAATGAATGATCTTTTATAACAAAATACAAATGAAAACAAGAAGGAAAAAGTAAAACTAATTTAAATATTGGAAATGTAAATTTTCAATTGCCCTCTGACTGTCCTATAAGATATTAAATATAATTAATTGAGTACTTAGGTAGTAATATTGAATCAGAACAGTTGAATAGATTTAAGTGTGATGTGATAACAATCCCACAGATGTAAACTCCATTTTTTTCAATTGTTCCTCTTTATTTTGGTCAGAGGTTAGATGAAGAAGACAGGCCAACTGGCTGTTTACTTTGTCCAATGAGGGGAGATGTGGAAATTGACTACAAAGTAAGTTATTAAATAACCATTACATGGTCTGTAAGAGGCTAAAGTTTAAAATATAAATTGTCATTTTGGTCACAAATTGCAGTCAAGCTTGTGAAGTGCATGTGTGAATAGTAAGGTATTTGTTATATTCTTGTATTTATAATTTATCCTTGTGTACCTACAGAATGTCCGTTTACTGTCCCAGTTTGTTTCACCTCATACTGGTAGAATTTATGGACGCACTCTTACAGGTTAGTTTGTGTATCACCTACAAAATTAACTATTTTTGTAGCTCTAGACAGAGCTATTTTTCTAATCATAGTTTGCTTAGTAGTGTTGTATACCATTTTAATAACTGCAAAATTCTTGTCTTGGAAGGTTTGTGTCATAAAAAACAAAAAGAAATTGGAAAAAACATCAGAAGAGCTAGAGCCATGGGTAAGGAGTGAGTCCCTTATTTTAGCAGTTAATGCACTAACATCAGTTTGCAAATACTCCATACTGTTCTCTCTATGTTTCTTATGGTACTTTCAAGGATAATTAATCAATAGCATGTTGACCTCATGATCATTTCTTTTAATCTCATGACCTTAAAGTTTTATTCAGGAGTGATATTGTTGGGAGAAATTAGATGCTCATCACTCTTGGGCATTAAAGGGTTACCTGTGACTGCTTGTTTAGAACTTTTTGCTCCGCTTTGAGCAATTCCTTATTTCTTTGTTTGATTGTTTTCAGGTTTCATGCCTGTTACCATGAAGTACCTTGACTTCCATGAGGACCCACAGTTATTCTAGCAGCAATTTAGAAATAGTTTTGGCCCTGGTTACACCTACATTACTATTTTGTAAATAAAATCAAAATTAATAGTGACCTTGGTATCTTTTTGTTGAACTCAACTCTTTTGACAAAGTATTAAGGGTATGTGGGAAACATATTGCTACATAATTATGTTTCACTAGCATCTGCTAAACCAGGTTTGACCACTCTAAAAAGTAATTTTTGGGGGACGATGAAATAATGAGGATTAGAATGCACCACTAGCAACAGCTCAATGTGGTAGATACAAAATATTATTCATGATGTAAAGAGTTATAGTCTCATTATCTGGTGAAAACAAGCATTTCAGCTGCAAACAGTGTCACTCACTCTTATGACCAGCCTTTCATTTCAAGAGAAAATGTATGATTTTTCTGCCCTGTGTAAGTGGAAAGGTTCAACTCTAGAGAGCATGCAAAATTGATTTGTGTATCAGGATTGGACTGAAAGGAAAATCAGAGAACTAAGAGGAAAAATTTGAAAAACAAGGTCGTGAACTAACAACAAACCCAACCTTCACATGAAGAAAAGTCCATTTTTGATCCTGAGCAACTTCACAGGGAGGCAAACACTTAAATAATGGCACCCCCCTCAGTTCCTAGAAATCTATTTATTAGAGCAATGCAAAACAAATTTGTCTTTTTTATTGAACATCAAAAAGTATCATCAAGCTTTTCCAAAAATTATCCTGATTATTTCCAATCCTGTATGGGCTGAACTGGATACAGGTGTGTACAAGCAAAGTGTATATCAGGGAGAAAGAGGATGGGTATGAATGTCCTGGGAAAAGAAATAAGCTCTGCCAAGCAATGCTTTTTTGAGTCAATTTTTTTGTAGATAATATAATCAGCTCTGTTTTAATATTGCAATATAAAATGAATGTGTGACAAGTTTGTAGTCAGTACATAAAACATGCAAAATTTAAAATATCTTTTGCCCATAAGTGGTAAATCTGTATTTAAAAAGAGACTAGTGATTCATTATACAGGTCTTAATAATACATAATCCTTATTTGCAATTGTTGAAAAACTACATTGTTTTGTTCTAAATATCAGCCATGCTATTAATATTTAACAGTAACCATGTCTTCAATAGGTAAATTAGAGTTATTCCTGTATTATGAATATTTCAACTGAGCTGTCCCTAAGAAGGCTATGTTCAAGGTTGAATGCAACTCTGCTAAAAAAAAAAATCAAAAAAAGGAAGGCTATCAAAATATTTGCCAGGCTATGAATAAATAGGAATTCACGAAAAAAAAACTGTTCATCCTGTTTGTAATAACTGTATGTAATACAGTTAACACATTACACTTTTATGCTTTCAGGGCAAGATAAATGGGTGCAGGGTAAGTTCCTTAAGAAACTGTGGTGCTGTGTTGGTGGGAGAGTATAACAGGGTAATTAAGTATTATCAAGTGAGTTGATAACATAAATTGGCCACTGTAACAAGTTCCAAAACTTGTTATGGTGACCAATTTACAATAACAACACAGTTGATAATGCTAAATTACTGAGATAAATGGGTTTTGTTTTATGTCTGTAGATCAAATTTTTATTTGACCCACTGTTTTGAGTATTGAAATGTGACAATGAGCACAAAACACAGAAAAATAAAATCTAAAACAGTTAGGATAAAAATATCCACTGATATTATTTAGTGAAGTACATGCTTGTAGCGCTTTTAACAAATTTCATAAACTTTGTAGAAAATTTGGAAAACTACTGTCAGTAATAATCATAGTTGCAAAAATCTTAAGCAGGCAAGTGATAGTTTTCTCTAACAGATCACAGGTGAGATTATTTTCTTCCTGGAGGGTTGATTCCCTAGAACCTTAAACAAAGCCAGGACTTTAATGGTTTTTATCTTATAAAAAATGTGTTAACTGGCTAAATAAATGTAGTCCTAATTATTTTGGTACTGTTGTACTGAAGGATAGTTTCACCTGCAGTTATTATGAAGAGTATCATTCAAACTTATTTTGAGAGAGATGTGCAAAAATAAGATTGTTCAATTACGCGACTTGTGAAATTTAACAAAAAGTGTCCTATCTAACTTTGTAGACAAACCCCTTACTACACCTGTATCTGCAGTTTGCTAAGCAAAGTTTTCAACTGCAATGATGCTAATAACTGAAGCCAATTGGACAAAAACTGACCAATCAAAAGAATAGCTAAACAGAAAACATTGAATTGGGATGACATAGTTCTACTTAAATTTTGAGCTAATCTTACACCACACTACAAACTCATTCCTATCAGTATCAAACAAAGTTACTGACAGAAGAACAACAAAACCTATTTCAACACATGGTTTTAAGGGTATCCAGTCACCTCGCCACCAAGCAGACTCGCCACCAGCGAACTCACCACCAAGGAACGATCTCGCCACCAACCACCAATAAAGAGATTAGTCGAGGACAGTAGGATGTTCGGCTGATAAGTCTGTACTCAAACTTTATAAACGTATGTTGTCGAAAGCACGTTCGAAACCGATAAGTTTGTTCGCTTGTCTGTACTCAAACTTTATAATTGTATGTTGTCGAAAGCACGTTCGAAACCGATAAGTTTGTTCGCTTGTCTGTACTCAAACTTTATAAACATATGTTGTCGAAAGCACGTTCGAAACCGATAAGTTTGTTCGCTTGTCTGTACTCAAACTTTATAAACGTATGTTGTCGAAAGCACGTTCGAAACCGATAAGTTTAGTTTTAATACAACTGCTATCGAGTTTCATTTCATCACTTATTTCTTCCCATGAAGTTTCATTTTCTCTCAAGTAAGTTTTTATTCCTCGCATCGAGTTTTGCAATTTCTCCTCGCTTACGTGCAAAAGACAAACACGATACGTTTCGATGTCAATGAGTTAGGAACGGAACACATCTAACACGTCGCTGAAGGTCATAATTTAAATACAGACAAGCGCACAAACGTATCAGCTGATTTAAATTGTGCTCGTTCGAACATCCTACTCTCCTTGACTACTTTATTCTAGTTTATCTCTTTATTGGTGGTTGGTGGCGAGAAGACTTCGCTTGGTGGCGAGTACGTTGGTGGCGAGATCGTTCCTTGGTGGCGAGTTCGCTGGTGGCGAGTCTGCTTGGTGGCGAGGTGACCGGTAACCGTTTTAAGCTAGCATCCAAAATATCTATTCTTTGTATATTATAACTTTTCCAACATACATGAATGCCATCCATTAATTCACAACTAGGTTTCCCATCAGTTTTTGATTGATCAGTTTCTTATTTTTTAGAGCAGCCTCATTTTAGTGTAACATACAGTGTAGTAGTTTGTCTCCATAAAACACATTCACTTAGTCTGAGATCACACACTTGACTGTGTTGTTGTTGATCATGGCCTATTAATCTGCAATAACACAGCAAACTTGATTCCCTTCTACATAATTTTTGATAAAAGAAAAAGTCAATTTATAGAAACACATGCAATGAGGAGGAAGCAAGTTTTACCTTTGTATATCAACTTAAAAAACATAAGAATACAGTTTGTGGCAATCTCTCTGTGATTTTTAGAATAATAATATTCATTTGTTTAATGGACAAAGGCCTAACTATTCATAATTATTATAAACTTAGACCAGTAAATGTGTTGCAAGGTATTATTGTATCAAAAGTTTATACAACATAAGAATCTTTAAAATATCTTCCCTGCTGTCAGAAAACTGGTGACGACGTCTCCATTGCAAGATTTTGAGAGAGTTTTTCTTCATAGTCTGGTCCACTTCCTGTAATTTTATCCTCTATAGAATATGGCTGTGTTTCATCATCTGTGACATCATCATCGTCAGCCACTACTGGCTGAACATAACGAACAACAACTCTAGCAGGGGTTCTTTGTTTCCGCCTTCTGTTAAAACTAGGAGAGTTCACATTTGGTGATCCTTCTGCAGTGGCATCTGTACTTTCCTCAGAAATTCCTTGGTCATTTTTCTCCCCCAATTCACTATCACTAGCTGGAACAAAAGCTATAGATTTGTTATCATCACCAGGCAAATTTGATCCATGTGTTTCAAAAGTTCTTTCTGCTTCTTCTTTCTCCTGGTTGGATTCACTTAATAGAGAATTAGGCTGGAGAGGCCGTTTTTCATCCACTTTGTAGGAAGCTGTTACAATAAAAAGTAGAGTAGTCCCAAATTAACATCTGTATGACATGAGTGGGGTTAGTTTTAATTTTGAGTCTTCCACATGTTGCTGTTCAAAACAATTAAATGGAGCATGGATCAAACAAACTCTGCAACCTTTGATTTACTTAGTAACAGATTTGTAGTTGTAACAATTTTCTACCCCCTTAATTAATTTATTAAGTAGTTAAAAGAAGCAGTGATGTTTCAGTTACCATTTTTCCTTGAAAGGTCCTTACGACACTCTTCCAGTTCCTTTCGTCTATTTTCTACTTCTTCATTCAATGAAGACACAGTGGTTTCACTACCTTTTACAACTTCAACTAAATTCTTGGGAGACAAAATAAACTGTTTACCTCATGAAATTAAAAGCACAAGCAAAATTTTCCATTGTTCAAAGCGAATCCTGAGGGAACCCCTCGAAAACCCTCAGTATACAGGTATGTTCTATACCTAGTGTACAGGTATTTGCTGCCCAATGGGGCCAAGGTATTGAACTCCTACTTTAGTGCAAGGTGTCCATTTAAGAGAAATTTTCCTGAGGAGGACGTGACATTTTGAGCACAGAGAAACCATCTTTTCTCACACAAACCACTAAAATTTCTCCAACAAGGGTTCAAATCTGAGCTATTTTTAGCATGATGTATGATTTTGGGTGTGAATTCTTTCTCAATACAGCTCCAAATTTGAAAATCAGGGGACACATGCCTACCCAAAGCAGACCCAAATGCCAACCCCATGGGTAAAACCCTCCCCTAACCATATGCTTCATTCTGTAATCAAATTGCATTACCCTGAGAACATTTTCTCAAGATTCTTTAAAATATCTTAATAACTTACTAACTATGTTAGTTTGTGGCTATGTAACAAGTTATGTTTTGTTATAAATCCATCATCAAATTGATGGATAACATTTTTCCACTAATGTCTTATACTTATATGTAAAGTCAACAATATTATACTGCTTTTATAGGTAAAACATCTTTTACTGACAAATAACTAACAGCAAAGTAATAAGTAGAGCTCTAAGAGAGCAAACAGTTGTTTTCACAGAAGATTCTGAGTCCCAGGGGAAAGAAAACATGCATAATTTGCAGAAACCTACAACCCACGCAATTGTTCAATCTTCCAGCACTTTACCCATGTCAATCAACATCTATTGGCAACAACAAATTTCAACCCAGAATTTAAAGGAGAGTATAGTGTTTGCAATAAAATTGATTAACATAAAGGTTTTTGCAAAAGTCAATCAATGTCTTAACAAGAGTCATCATAAATGATGGGGTGAAGATTTGCATGGGCTTTTGTGCTACAAACACAACCTACTTGATAAGGTTTGACTAGTCCTTTGCACAATTATGTAAGAATCCCTGTTTAGCAGCCCCTCCCCCTCCACTGTCAAGGGAACCTAAATCATCAATTTAATGTACAAGATACTTTAAATTCACACCTGCAACCTTTTCATCATTGTTATGTACATGCCATGCATATTGGAGGACTGTTGTATACATCCTTTATCGTCAACAAACTCATTTCTGTAAGGAATAACAGATCAAGTCTTTGAACCAGTATCAAAACACCTTCTCACTAAACATCCAAGACCTAAACTATTTGTCTGATTCATATGAAAATGATTAAAAAGTTGTCAAGTACATTTCTCATACCTAAAAATCCTTAAACATAAAATTAAATAAGTGTAAAATTGTGATTTCTAAAGACTGCAGTATTGATCATCCAAGGCCTAAAGCTGTCACATTTTGTTTTTCAAGTGTAATTTCTGAATCAGCATTTTTTTACAAATTTGACATTGATCACTTCTGCAACAATGGTCTTACTATTAGAACAAGGGTAGATAAATTTCACAGCCTTTTATCATGTTAAATGTTTTTTCTGTGAGAACTTATTTTTCAGATCAATGGCTACCCACAAAATCCCCAAAAAGGATGCACAAGCTACCCATATGATTAAAACAAATAAATTAAGCAATTATTATATATTATATAAAATGGATTGCTTAAGTGAAGGGTTCAAGTATCTCTGAGGAATGCAGTTATTCTGATCTTTAAATAGCAGCATTCTAGGTGATGTACAGTACACTTTATCTGTGCTTGTTACCTGTAAGAGTCTATCACTTCATGAAAAAGACTGGACGTGGCTTGGGCAGAGTGACAGTTAAGTCTATACTCAGAATGTGATGTATCTCCAAGGTTTAATATCTGTACCTGAACTGGTTCAAAAAACCTGTGGGGAAGAGTGTGACTACAACATTAAGAAAGATGTCCAGAAACAAACTTTAAAAAGGGAAGCCATAAACTTCCATCTCTTCTCAAAAATCACTATGAAGGAAAGCTGGGGGGCCACACAAACATGATATTTGACCCACGATCAGGAGTTCGCTACAGCCAACAGTTACTTGCACCAACTCACAAGGTTCAGCATTTAGGGTCTAGTTGCTCATGGTAGTTTTTCTTCTCTTTCAATTTTGTCACAACAAAAGTTACATGTACATGTAAGAAACTGCCTCGTATTTCTACAGCAAGTGATACTTGAAAAAAAGTTAATCAAGTTCTCACTCAGTATTACACAGCAACTGGAGCAACAGACACAAACAAAATTTGCAAGGAATATTAAACTAAGCAACTTCTCTGCAACTTGTCTTACTGTAAAGCCAGCCATGTGTAGTACCTATAACCATTTACACCCTAACAACAGTATGTATATTCCCCATACTGTTCTCTATACATTTCTTAAGGAGCTGACAGTGAGAATTTGTTTAACAATCTAGAGCCTCTTTAGTTGGTGACCAGTAACAGTGGTGGTGCTGTATAAACTAAGATAACAGTTTTGTATGTCCAAACAACTGTTGAGAGAGCATTTAATTCATCTCTTACAGAAAATTTAGTCCAGCAAACAAAACAAGCCATAAATATGTGTATCCCTCCTCTACATACAGTCCAGTACACTTACAGTATATCAGGTAAGCAGGAGTCAGTGCCAACTACCTGACTGTCCTTTTAGCATTACTGATTGATATGTAATTTCACAAGTTTTAAAATACATTTTGCAGAAAATATCTCCCTAAAAAAATCCAAAATTATTATAATTCAGACATACCCTTCTCTCTCAGCAGAACAACAAAAGCAGTAGTCAAATTTGTGTGAGGACAGATCCCTGGACATGTGTGATGTAAAGATTGCTAAGAGGAATTCTTTAAGAAGAAAAAATGCTACCATTAACATCATTCTGTGATACTATCTACATTAAAGAAACTGTATCTGTTGCAGTTTAAATAAATTTCAGCTAAAATGATTTCAACCCAAATCAATTTGTGCTTTTCATTGTTAAAACATTATGATTTGAAACTGGTTTACCTAAAATATGTTTAAATCACAACACAGTAATTACTCAATTATATTTGTCCCTTTTTTTTAATGTCTTGTGTACACTGCTCAGGTACCATAAAGGGCTTTGACTACTTCCACAAAAGAACAGATTCCACCATAATATTATGAGAAAACTTGATAACCTTCATGTTTCTGCCCTACTCCCATGAAAGACACAAGTAGTTAATATAAACATTTGCAAGTCATACAAGATCAAGTTGTTGCCATATCCTTCAAGAAGTCAGCAAATTCTTCAAAACATGTAAATGGATGGAGCATTAGAGCAGGGAAATTATAAAACCAGGGTATCACTAAAAAGTGTGATACAACTAGATTTAACCAGAAAAATGCAAAGTCAAAAGGATTTTTTTTTCCAATCAAAAGGATGGAAAATTTCATCATACATGTAGTGCATTTTTATCCACACCTTTGGAAGGGGTATAGTTGAGCTTTGCAATGAGATTGTGATGGATAAATCTTTCCCTCATAGACACCTGTCCTTGAGTATTTCGACGAAATGAAAACCAACCAATGACTTTCTGCAATGGCAAATAACAACAAAAAGTATCAATGCGAGTTATCCTGCCTTTAACCCTTTAACTCCCATGAATGACCAAGACATATTTTCTCTTTACAATGTCAATACCAAATCAAGAAGGCAAATGGTGAGAATAAACACAATATCAATAAGAGGGTTGCCATTTGATCTAACACTACATTCTCAGAACTAAAATTGTAAGCAATGTGTTACATATGGTAAGGAGAATTACTTGTACTAAAGAGATCTCTAGAGTGAAAGGGTTATGACAAACTATAGTCTGATTACCAGTAGTTTTGGAGCCATTAAGGTGGTAGAAAGAAATCATATCACCACAAAGTGAGAAGCTAAATTATTAATAACAATTAACAATTATTTCATAAGCAGGCTTGGGGAATATGAGATCGTAAATAACAAATCAGGCACATTAAGTTGGCTATAACTAATCTCATATCCAGCAAGCATGCATAGAATAATTAGTTAATTAAATTTCATTACATCATGAATGTTTGGATATTTGGAGCCTTTTTTCAGCTCCACAATATTTGGCAAAATGCATTTCCATTTAAGGTGACTCAGGATATGAGCTGATGACTGGTGTTGAGTGAACCAATCAGAACACTAGAAATGCAAAGTTGGAAGTAAAATATAATAATAATAGTGAACCCACTATATATTTGGGGTGAATACATGTTCTTGACTTTATCATCATAATTATTTTATCATACTTACTTCACTCTTTTCATTATCATTAAGTTCCTTTGAAATAGCTTCCTCTAATATGTGCCCACTATTGGTGTAAAAACTGTTTGTAAAAATAAATAAAGGTCATATTGTTACTAAGATCATTAATGATTACATGGCCATAGCTTGAATTGAGGGACCAGGGCCAGGTTTCTTAAAGCTGGGTTTAGATAACCCAGGGTTAGTGTGAAATTTTATTTCAGATCCAAAAGCTTTAAAAGAATATTCAGGTTAAGTCCATTTGAGTACAATTTGATGATTGAATGCTCTAAAAAGAATTGGGAGAATTATTCCAAAAGGGCTTTTAAACAGAGAAATATAGAAACCCCGATTAAAGTTGAACCCTGGGCTAGCACTAATTGGCTGAAAAACTGGGCCCAGGGATATAACTCATTCCTTTTTTCAATTTCTTTTAGTTCAGGAAAATTTTCAGGCATGTGACCAGATAGTTACATGGTTGGTAAGCATTTAATTCCTAAGTTTTGCAGTTTTTTTTTTTTGAGAAATAACAAGATAGATTAGCTTGACATTTTACTTTCAAATACCATGCTTAAAAAAAGTCAATTTCAAATGCATTCAACTATTTATTTTTTCTGCAGGTGAGGAGGTTAGAGCTTTTTCCACTCATTCTATATATACTTTTTAACATAAGTAAACTTCCAAGGCCTGAAGTGGGCAAGTATAAGTGTTATCAATCTAATTTATTTGAAATCATTTGGTCATTCTAAATTTATTAGTAACAGTAACTCTCCTGATCAATAAGGGGGTAAGTTTCTAAATAAACTGTAGAGCTGCATCAGTGGGGTATTGCAAAATTTTTTTGGTTTACCAAATGAGTTGATAATATAAATTGGCCACTGCAAAGAGTTTTAAAACTGACGCTCTAGCTTTAGCCCCTGACGTCAGTTTTAGAAACTCCCTTTCCTTATCATGCAGGTATGATTTGAAAAGTTGTATTACCAACTTTATTTTTGTTGTGTTAATTAAGTTAAAATCCCAGCGATGAGACGTCCTTGTTTGTTATTAAACTACATAATACCCTTAAAGTTAGCAAAGCATGTGGCAAGTGTAGCCTTGTTCGTATGAATTTAATATACGCATAATTGCAAAATTACCACCTCTGTCAATAGTCAGTCACTTCCGCTAAATTCCTGATCGTAATCTAACTACTTACCTGTGAACTTTGCCAAAAGGAACAAACCCTTGAATCGCTGTAAGTGGAGTACATTAAAAGAGTTATTAACACAAACAATTATCCTGGAGGAAAAGAACGGTAGATAATGCAAACAAATGCGGAACTTACTTGCAACTCGCTCGTGTGTCAAGTTTTCGGATTGTGAATCTGTGATTGTGTTGGTGATACGGCTTGTAATTTGGCCCAATAGGAGCCCCTCCTAGTAAGATGGGATTAAAAAAACATAAACTGCAGCTCAAAATTATTTCGCAAATCAACATTACTGCACTCACGACATCTCCTATGCTATTCTCTAGTTCGTAGACCAGCGATGAGAACACACAACCAGAAACATAAACCTCCATCTTTAATCAATTAGCTACACTAGATTTAGAAGTACATGACGAGGATTTTCGGAAGTGTAAAAACCACTGTCCTTCACAATTCCTCGGTTGCAGGCTCAGTATCGCACTGTTTGATTGATATTTTTTTTAACGTTTTTTTCATATTTTGCTTTTATTTGCTTCTGGATTTTTTCTGCTTTCAATTAATCTTCTTTTATCTGGAAGATGCACGAAGTCACATCACAATCGACTAGACGCACATCCTTCTGACTTCTGCCAAAGCTAAATAATCAAACAGGTTCCATGTGGATCTAAGTTAAGATTTTACATGGAAGGATTCCTGAATTTCTACTCACTTTTCTCCATCCCCATTAATCTCTTATTTGGTATCTCGTTCAGAAGACAAAACCTATCACCTCCGGGCCCATACACGAAGATTGGCATCAGTGCCGAAGTCGAAAATTGTAAAAAATTACCCAAAACTCAGTTCGGATGTATGATTTCTCTTCTTTCCCTGTAATTCGCCTAATAAAAAAACTACAACCGTTTTTTAATTAAAAAAAAAAAAAATGAACATATCCCTTACGAAGGTAAAGAGCTTTTAAGGCCGATTAGCGATAACCTAAGGTTAAATTTTAAACAAGGTTTCTTTATTTCTTTGTTCCAAAGCCTTTTCGGAATAATATTCCCTATTCTTTTAAGAGCATCCAAGAATCAAATTCTTGACAAACACACACACACACACACACACACACATATATATATAGCGTTTTCTTGGCTTTTATTTAGGATTGAGAGAAAATACAGAAAATCTAACTTCAACTAATTGCAAAATGAATTACTCAGAATTATGGATAACAAATCTGTATGTGACCCTTTTTTTCGGTTTATTAACCTCTGTTGTACTTTAAATAGGCTTACAATATATTTGTTCAAAACTTACGGCTAATTCATGACATTATTTCTTACAATCATATAGATGCATAAGCTACCACGATTTTAACATGCACAAAAATACGGGAGTTATTGGGTGATAACTGTCCAGTAATTTTGCACCACGTGACGTTAAGTAGCCACCGCAATCGCGTGATATAAAGTGGGTGAGTTATGCATTTAAATCACAATAAATTTTGTCTTAAAGATGTACAATGTTTTTATGCGTCGTTGTGGATTCGCTTGTGGCGATTAAGATTCCCCGACTGGGAAAACCTTTGGTAACAAACATCGCACTGGTAAGGTTTCTCACCGGTGTGAGTGCGCATGTGTTTAGTGAGCGTGGAACTATCCGCGAACGCCTTTGTGCACACACGACATCGATAGGGTCGTTCTCCATTGTGAGTGCGCATGTGCGTAGTCACAGACGAAGACTGCGAGAACTGACGGTTGCAGATGTGACACTTGAATGGTTTTTCACCGGAGTGAATGCGGAAATGCGCCGTCAGATTGGCGGCTTGAGAGAAGGACTTTAAACAAACCAGGCACTGGTATGGCTTCTCTCCACTATGTGTGCGCAAATGCAGTCTCAAGGTAGACAATCGTGCATAAGACTTCCCGCATACGGGGCATTTCTTTGGGCCATCATCACTGGAGTGCTCTCTGGGAGACACTCTGGAAGAACCAATAACTGCTGGGTTTAAGAACTTGTGCATGTAGGGCTGGTATGATCGTAGAAATGGAACACTGCCGCCGCACAGAACTGGTGCTGGTCCGAAAGTAGGTATGCCCACGTGTGATGGTCCGGGAAGGTATGGGGAGGTCAGGGAACTGGAAGGGAACAAGCTGGGTCCGTGATTGAAAGGGAGAAAGCCTGGGGGGAGATGATGAACAGGATGGAACGCAGATCTCTCCATTGCAGAACGATGATGCATCAGGGACAAACTGAAAAAGGAACAAAGCAAAGTTACTTCAGCGGGGACGTAAGGAGATACTTTCAACACTCTGGCTATTAGATCATGATAATCACACAGAGCACAGGTACACAGAGCACTTTTCGATCCGGAGTGTCGTATAACCAAACCCAAAGATATCACAACAGCCAGCCTCAAGAAAGAAAAATATCGCGAGGAGCCGTTAAGAACTCACCAAGCGAAGTCATTGACGTTCGACACTCATTTAAAAATTTAATCATTCATAATCATCATGTCTACCAAACTCCTTTGGAAAATATTGCTTAAGCTTAGTTCACTGAGGTTTTTTAATTGATTTATTATATCATATAGGCACCGTCATCGTCATCCGCAACAAGGCTCATTACAAATAAAAACCACTCGTTACTTCGCTTCAGTGGACATCAATTGATTCAGTTCCAGATTTTGTTTTTTTATTCCTTTATTTTCTGTTTACTGTGAACCTCCACATAAATCGAAGTTCCCCAATTTCCCCTATGACTGGTTGAAATTGTTCAAAAACCAGTTGTCCCTAAAAATTTCTCTTTAGATAGTTCTTTTTAGGCGCGCTAATAAAATGTTTTTTTGCATTTCGTTTTGAATTACACGTCAGACGGAGCAACAACGTAGGGACTGCACGTAGTCTAAATGATAATAATTGAGTAGAACATGAAAATTACCCAAAATTATTTTTTGAGCATAAAGAAAATTTTTTTTTAGTATCTGAAAAACCACATCATGCAAAAAACAAAAACATCAGGAAATATTATGCAACTTAATTTACCTGGAGGCGTTAATCAGATAATTACTGAAATCGATTTGAGGTAAACTGACTTATTAGTGACGTTGTTTCTATCGTCAGCTGATTTTTTAAATACTTATATCAATAAATCTATAAATCTATTACGATTTTGCGACTACAATAGTAACCAGACAGGCTCTGAGGTAAAGTTTGTTCGAGCAGGGCAATGCTGAATGAAATTACAGCACAAGAATCGGTGACGAAAAGCTTGAGAGGATCAGAAAGGCTTTCATTTTTTGTTGTTGCGTACAACAGTTAAGCACTAGCAGGCATGTTGTATTTCAAACGAAAGTGCGTTTCTGTTTCTTTCCTAACATTTTCTTTTTCTCCGGCTTTTTCTTTTGTCGAAGGTTAAAAATAAAACAACAACAACAACGATAAAAATGATACCGCCATTACGGCAACAGCATCAGCAGCAAGAGCTGTATGTTCTTGACCAAATACTTGAATTTCGTAAGATAAATTATTCAACCCAACGATTTTCTACAATCTTCTTTGAAATATCAAATAATACGAGAGAATACCGAATTTTTTTCCTTCAGTTCTTGAGTTGATCCTGTAACAGGAACAGGGGGTCTCAATGGGACGATGGCTCTTACGTCATAGAATTGAAATTTTGGCCATTTACGGCAGACAGGTAATTTCTCCCCATCGCAATTAAAAGAAGAACGTTGACCGTTGAATTTTTTTTATAAGTAACAGTTAAAATTTACCAATTTTTACGTCTAATGGCCAAACGTTTTTTTTTTTTTGCCGTTTTAGAGATGACGGTTAGTTAACCCCTTAAAGAACCTTCATGAACAATGTGAACAGATTTCTCTTTCGTTTTCAATAACTAACAAATCAAGATTTTATTCTGACTGACGGCTGTATAGAGGAATCGGAAGAGAATTTAAAACAAAACTTACGGTGCGCTTGGCTCTCCACTGATGGATATCACAGATCCAATATGGGCCTGACGATCGGTTGTCCTTCTCTCGGTGGCAAAATTCTCTTCATGCGCGCCAAGTGACTGTGCGGAATTTCTCACAATGACAGTCTGTTCATTACTCATCCTTGGCAGAGTTTATTTCTGTGGAGGATCGTTAATTTCATCAGTAAAAAAATCTCTCTATCTTTAAGATTATGTATTTTTCTTAAACTTCTCAGCAAAGGGAGTGAAAGACAAACATGAGATATTTGGTTCCAAACTAGCCCGTTCATTTAATCCAAATTTTTCCAAATTCATTTCTTTTTCTTTGCGGTAAAGCTTATGCGAACATCAAACTTTGGTCTTACTTCAATTTCTCACAATGACAGTCTGTTCGTTACTCATCCTTGGCAGAGTTTATTTCTGTGGAGGATCGTTAATTTCATCAATAAAAAAAATCTCTCTATCTTTAAGATTATGTATTTTTCTTAAACTTCTCAGCAAAGGGAGTGAAAGACAAACATGAGATATTTGGTTCCAAACTAGCCCGTTCATTTAATCCAAATTTTTCCAAATTCATTTCTTTTTCTTTGCGGTAAAGCTTATGCGAACATCAAACTTTGGTCTTACTTCAATTTCTTACTGAGATTAAGTTTCGAAAGCAACACTTCCCTTCGAAAAATTAACGAGTGCTTTAAAAAGAATCAGCCCAAAACAACAGCTTCATGATTTGTTCAACTTGAATCACTTACCAGAAGTTATCTTTTCCTAATGTTTAGATTTCTCTCGATCTGCGCTGTCTAGCTGTCTTCGATTCAAGTTTGACAGAATACTGCGTAGGTAATCTTCGAGGATATTCGCTCTCAGATAATTGAGGATGCCAACCGCTGCTCACTGGGAAGGGCAGTGACTAAGAATAAACGAGAAGTTGTTTTGCACCGCAATATAAAGCGGTTTGTGAAAGGTAATTCGTCTTTTAACACGTCTTTTTACGCGGTCATGAGCAGGAACAAACAATTGATACATGCGCCTGCCCGCCTAATTAGCATTTACAGAACTACCACCTCTTCAATTTAAAGCCAATTTTAGCTTAATTTGTAATTTCAATAGCAAGTGTTTCTATTGACAAGAAAAATACTCAAATCGTAAATAACGGGACGTTACCACCCATTTGGAGCCCCGCCTTGGTGCTTTTCGAGTACCACTTTTTGTGTCACTGAAAAAAGATGCCAAACTCGAGCCGCTTAGCGGGAAAGCCATCATTTCTAATTTGAGGAAATTTGAAAAACAACAATGTATGATCGAAAACGCCGGCAGGCCTCTTTGTTCTACGGTAAGTAAGACGAAAACCAACATGCGGCCAGCAAAACACACTTCACTGGCGAGGCTTTATGCTAATCTGTTTCGTATCTGTAGCTAACTCGAAAAT